AAGGGGGTCGCGGTGCCTCTTGCGGTTTTGCTTTTTTTTTGAGGGGGCGGGTCATGTCATAGCCCAGGGGCTGCGTGTTGTCTGCGGGGTTGCTTCCTTTGTCTTTTGGGGGCTGGCGGTCTGTAGTAATTTGCGCGGGGGGTCATGCTGTGCCCCTATGCTCGTGCTCATATTGTCTTCTGGGGGCCGTAGTGGGTTGCCTGGGGGGTCGCGCTGTGTCTTCTTGGTGGTCGTGGTGTGTTAATAAGTTTGGGGGGCCGTGGTGTCTTTGGTGCTTCGTGTGTTGCTTGGGGGACGCGCTGCGACTGCGTGGCCACGTTGTAGCTTGGGGCCGTGCGGTGCTTAAGGGGTCGCGCTGTGTTTGGGAGGTCGCGCTGTGTTTGGGAAGGTCGGTCGTGCTGCGTTTGGGGAGGTCGTGGGGCACTTTGGGGGCCGAGGCGGGATCGATGGGCAGCCCCCGCTCGTTGAGCCAAACAACAAAGCCGAGGGCAGTCAGCTAGCCCCAGGCGAGAACGCGGGCAGCCCAAACCGGAGAGGCTTGAGCGGCCAAAGCTGGCCCCGGCAAGCTGAGCGGGACCAGCGAACAAGACGAGCAGGGCGCGCGGGCTTGGGAGGGCTCACCGACGTCGGGCGCACCTTACGGCATTGGCAACACCTCCGGCCCGCCCCCGCGCACGCATGAATGTCCGCCGGGCTTGTCTCATTGGCGTGGCGTGCCTAATTGATTCCGCGCGCCAGGGTGTTGGGTTCCGTGGGTTGCTTCGGTCTTTGTTCTTCTCCATCATCTCGACGGCAGCCGCCAAGGCCAAGGGGCGGGCGCTCCGTGCCTCAGTCGCTTTTTTTTTTGCTTTCTCTTATGTTTGTTCTACTCTGTGCCTGTGACTGTGCTGCTATCAAGGAGGGGTCGCCCAAGGGGCGACCCCGGTTTCTTGTATACATAGTAGTAAACAAGCCGTCACTTCTAATACCCTATGCCTTATTAAGAAAATGCCACTACAAGGACATGTTGGATCATCGTAAACAAAGTAAGTATAAGTTTTATCTGATTTTTACTTCGACGTCACCACCTACATTACTACAATCTATTCTGTGACTACTTAGTATGACTCCTGAGTTCGAATCACAAGAGGAAGAACACGATGGCTTTTACTACTTTGCACGCCATGGAAGGCGCCTCCGGTGCCCTGTATAATGTTGGCAACAAATTGGGTGCCGCAGCGAACAACGACCCTCTTTCTTACCAAGGATTGAAGAATATTGGAGCAGGGGTAGCGGAGGCAGCGGATGCTCTCGGTGGTTTTGAGAAGTCGCTCGCTGATCTCACGCCAATCCTAAATCAAGTTGCACAAGCAGTTGGGGTCGATAAAGGCGGACGCAGTCTGGAAGATACCATACCGCTTTGCAAGCCACACTACATCATGGGAGCGGTGGAGAACTTCCGGGATTACTTGCTCACCCTGGAAAAACAGTTGTTAAGAGAATAGATACGAGTTTTTCTAAGGACGTTTTGTTCAAATTTGAATAAGTTTAACTTCACTTGTTTCACTTAGATACATATGACTATGAGAATTCTGAAATTTTCACACGACTTGCTTCCAGGAAGTCGGGTCGGGTTCACACGACTTGCTTCCAGGAAGTCGGATGGTTGAGATTAAATGAATGGACTGACAGTCCTAGAAGATGTCTTGTTCCTAGTGTTTCCTCTAAGAATATGGCGCATGCACAGTGTAAGTCCGCACGCAGCTGCTGTGAATAACGCTTTTATGGACGCTTCAAAGGCCGAAGTGTTGCTTGCGCCACTGGCTGGCAAAGGCATTTATCAACGCGTGACGAAAGCTGAATTTGACAAAGTTGAGGAACTGGGGAGGTTTCTAGATGACCAACTTGGTCCTGGGGTCCGCGCAGCGAGTGACAGCCTCCTGGCGGCTGCTCGGGACCCCTCAGTGCTTGAAGGTCCGGGCCCGACTCCGGGAGGAAGTGCGGGTGAAGCTGATGATGTCGGCTCAGCTCTTTCCGGAGGAGGACGCGGGCAAGTACGGAGCGCAGCGAAGCCAGACTTAGGCTATGCAGCGAAACAGACGGGTGCACGAACGGGGACAGAAAATGAGATAGAAATCGATGATGACTTAGCATTACAATATCACGATGGAAACCGGTTTGAGGGCTTGAGAAAGGTGGTCACTGAAACATTCGAGAGCATGCGGATGGCTCTAAAAGACGTGCACAGAGCAGCTGAACCATGTCGGCTCAGTAATTTTTAGACCATATACGTCTACATGATTCTTGCAAAAAATACTCGTACTAAAACTTCGGAACAAATTTTTCTCAAAGTAGTGCGGGTACATTTGTTGTTATTCCAGCATTCATGGAAATGGACGAAGTGCATGTGGCAAAGATTGTGTTCTCGTGTTCGACTGAAGGACCAAAGTATGATCGTGTACTAGTGTATCTACTTGTTTAGCACAATATTAAGTCGAGATTATCGGTTGATTGTGGCGCAGTTAGCAAAAGTTGCTTTTCGCATATCTGTCATGGAGGTGGAAGCTTAGTGTCGGGAGGAGTTAACCTTTGTATCGGGATTGGTCGATTTTAACCTCCTCAGTATCAGATGTATGAGTAGATTGCCAAGTCGGTGAAGCATCCTTAGAGACAGATGCAGTTATGAATTCAGTAAAAACAAAAGATACCAATGCGACGACATTATACTACAGAAGCAGAAACACATGCAAAAGTACCTTGTTGAAAAAGATGAAACGGAAGAAGGCTGTAGCGTGTGACAACGTTGACTCGGTTTCGTTCGAATCGGCTTCCACTGTGATTATTCGACGTCGGTTGTGATTGTCGGGCTTGAGGAGACGTGACTCATGTTCGTATCCCCAACTTTCATCTTGTATGATCAAGCCTTTCGAAGATTACCTTTTTGGTCGTTTCGTAAAAAGTTTTTCTTCCCGTTGCTGCGGACCTTTGTTCCAGAAGTCCTCTTACTTTTGTAATGTTCGACGTCGATGTTGTCGATTCAGAGTCGATCGACACCCTTTATGATCTTTCATAAGACTCACTGTCACTTCTGATTCTTGTACAGCAGAAGTTAGACATAGCCCTTTATTCCTGGTGTTCGCACTGCATAATTTGGATCAAAAGCTGTGTCATAGTGATGATAATCTAGTCAACGTCATATTGAAAAAGCATAAGCGTTCAACAGTTGTTTGATACTGCTCATACACACACCGACCTACACGAACGTTCTATACAATGCTGCTTGTTTGTGGAAGTCTGTACTTAAAACTTGGCAAAACTACCTTTGGCAGCAGCACGCGAGGCGTCATTTAGGACAGACGGAAATTTCAGAAATTCTGGAGGGTCACGTGGAAAGACGAATCACCACTGGTTCTGAAACTGTAAGGTTGACTGCACTTGAAGATTTCGGAACGAAGCGCTTTCCACTGGTTTTAGCTAGCGGTGTCGGGAGAACACTCAACGCTTGCACCGTTCAGAGCCAACGACGTTTCTGTGTCCGTGTAGTTCTACGGGGTCTGAAGACCACCTTACCAGCCTCTCTGCAGTTTCTGTTCTACGAGGTCTGAAGACCACCTCACGAAGACTGACCACCTTACGGGGTCTGACGACCACCTCGTCCTTCTGCTTCTTCTACGTCTTCATAAAGACAGCTACTCCTGTCGTACACCTGGATCTGTACTCGAACTTGTTGCAGCAGCACTTGACAATTTTTTGGGATTTCTTTGCACCGGACTTTCTCTTGACAATTCTTTTGGATTCGTTTTGCTTACCCTTGCTCGACGAAGATGTTCGGGCCAGATGGGGTGCAGACGTATGGATCACGGCGCCGATCACGGACGTCATCCATTCTGTCGCAGATAGAGGGCCGCATTCTCGTTAGAAGCACGCGCACCTCTTCACTTCGCAAAAACTTGAGCCATGACTACAGACAGCGGACAGACCCCAAGCCTCAATGGTATACTTCCCCAAATAGTTTGGTCGTCTCAAAAATTGAACTACAAATTGATAAGTTGAAGTATCCAAATAGTTGTGGATTCGGTGTGCTCTCAGATGAATTGGAATAAAATTTTGTACTGAAAAAAAGGTTCTTAGTTTAGAAGTGGTTAGGGTGGGGGTTCATATTGATGTTCATCAGTTCATATTTATCATAATCATCATCACCACCAGCAGAAGTCTTTAATCTACTGGTCAAATTGCAGGACATACAAGGATTCAGAGTTGCGAGCGAGTTCGGAAAGAGAAAAGCAGGTACGGGCGCAAAGAGAAGAAGAGATGGGAGGCAGAGTCTTTTTTGCTGAAGAGAACGAAAGACTTTCAGCAAAAAAGAAAGTTGTTGATCTTGACGCGGCTACGCAACGACGGCTGGTACTGCTTGTTTCACTATCTAAGAATCATTTGTATTTGACTCTCTCCATATAATTGGACCATTTTCTATTTAGCACATTCTGGCCATCATCTTGGAAAATCGAAATCCTGGATGGGGTACTCTAGACCCATTTCTCACTCGTGCAACGTCTTTCTGCTTCTTTCTAGGGCATGATTATTATGCTGCTCTCCCTCAGGCAATGTCAACGAGCTTGCAACAGATTCTAGGGCCGCGCGACAGAGAATCACGAGGGACATCAAAGGAGCCCGTGAAAAGAAAGAGACCACCTTCTGCAGGGCGCCGAATTTTATCGCCGCGCGGGGTAATACGACTCGAAAAAGAACAGAATGTGAATTTCATGTTTTATCATATTTATCCATGATGTAGCTACTCTTCTCTGGGAGGTGAACGGTGAGAACACGATGTTAGATTTCGGATGTTTTTTTTTGCGTGGAGTACTCGACTACAAATAGCTTCGTTGCTTTGGATTTTGATCGTACTACATCAACATCAGTCGCCATCAGAAGTAGTCTTTCCTAATGAATCTTCAAGTCAGAAGAATTAATAAATAAATATTTCGCAGCCCGAGCCAAAGCCGACTTGGAGCCATATTCTCAGGACTGCGCTGAACAAACGTGATCCCGGAGTTGAGGCGGCGCATGTAGGTAAAGGCTGATCACTGAAGTTTATGAAGGGATCGGTTATGCTTATGCAAGAAGATAAATCATTCTCGTCATTCATTATTTTGGTTGTCTTACACCCATAACGTCATGTACGGCTCCTTAGGTAGCTTAGCTACGACTACAACACAGGACGAACGCATGACATGTACGTTTCTGATATCACAGCATAGTTGTGCTTTCTTGTGGGTACAACATCGCTTGTTTGTATCATCCTGTTTCAAACGCAGAAATTTGTCAGGTTCTTCACGGAGCAAGAGCAAGAGTCCGGCGCAATCGCCACGGGCAGGGAGCAAGACACCGCGCGGGGATCGTGGTGGACACAAGGGCAAAGGCGGCGGGTCGCCGGGTCGGTCACCAAAGCATTCGCCCAGTGGAGGAGATCACACGCCGCGCTCGCCTCGAGGTCCATTATCCCCGCGTTCACCTCGCCATCTGTACGCCTTCGATAACTACGATCTGCCGCTCTTCATGCGGAAGCGAGTGGAAATGGTCCCTGCAGAATCCGTCGAGGATCTCGTGCTTGAATACGCAGAGGTTGCCCCATCTGGGACCGACACGGCACACGGCGGAGGGGGCGGTGGACATCATGTTGAGCAAACGTGACAGGAATAGGGGAATTCCGCAGTCTGAGCGGCACTGCAGTTGGTTGCTAAAAATGGCGCGGACACGAAAAGTAGACTCACGACTCACTGCTCTCATCATCAATATCCATGATCATTTTCATGCATTTACTTTCAGCACAACAGGCATATTCTTATTCATAGTCATAGCATATTTTCTACAAAGAAGAACGGTTTCCGTGTCACCTGTTAAAACATGCATCGTTCATGAAGTAAAGCGATGTGTATCCTCAAAAACTGCCGTTCCGTCATTGTTGTTGCAGCACATGCAGTACCATCTTCATCGTGGTCCTCATACATCCTGTTACAAATTATTGTACTAGAAATTCCCCTCAGCCTTCATTCGACATCGATCTCACAGGACGAGCTTACATCAGGCTCGGTAATGTCAAGGAGACGACGAGCCCCTCTCAGAGACCTACTTAAATGTGCAATCTCTGCGAGCCAGTGCGTCGTCTAGGAACAGAGCTCAAAAACCTTGAGCTGCAAAAGCAAGGTTATTACCGTGTCGACCTCAGCATCTTCCCGCAATGCGCCGACTCACAAGGAGCTGCAGTGTGCTCTATCGAGTACTACTGACATCTGTTGACAACATTATAATCCATGTCTCTGCAACTACTTATCTACACAGAGAGTTTCGGTATCTGTCGGTGCAGCAATGGTTCGCCTGTGTACGCTTTCTGATCGGTCACAGAAGCCATCGGATACGCCCCACCGTCCACTGTCAGAAAAGAATCCCAGCCAAATTTTGATTTCCCGCGACGAGTTATATCTAGGCTAGCCTTTCACATTCTTGATGACATTACAGTAACGACCAACCAGCACATCCGCTTCCGATCATCTTCGCTCATACTTTCTTCCGACAATTTCTATTTGATGGGAACGTCATTTTTTATTTGCATAAATGATGTGATCTCATCATGATGAATCAACCTCAGGAAAACTAGTCTCTGAAGAGACGCTGCACCGCGAAAGGGGTGTGGCAAAAGGTTCACCGTGGAAGTGACATCACCCGGCATTGAAGTATTTTGGTACTTGACTGCCGTTCTGCTTGCGTTGCGTGGAACTACAGCAAGATGTTGCAAGGCATCCTGGTTTCGAGCGACGCCACGCCGAGTCGGGGTGACTCGGCCACGTCCGGAGACATTAGTGATTAAGGCTATCCTCATCTCGTGTGTTGTATGCTAACACTAGTCATCAAGGCTAGGCTTTCATCATCTCGTGTATTTTTGTATTCTAAAATGCTTTGAAGCTTTTACGGTCGGTAGTCATGTAATGACTACAACAATACATAGGAACAAACATGATGAACTACAGAATTCCCTTATTGGTAGAGGTTTAAGTGCTTAGACTAGAAGATTTCAGCTGCGGCGACAGCACTTAAGTGGCCTAAAGGATGATGAAAAAATATGAGCCCGTCTAATGTTTCACCGAAACGAAATCCTCGTACTCGAGGACGACACTAGCCACATCAACGCTTAGCACTGCTGGAAGTGTCGTGAAGCGGCTCAGGTTTCACGATGGCGGCCCTCTAGTGCGTAGCTATGATCCTCGCAGACCGTCCGACCATTTTATAGGCCGGAAGAGGAGGAAGCGAGATGAACAAGAAGGCGAGGCGACCGAAACTTATTCGCTTCCAGTCGAAGAGGCTGGAGTGGAAGATGGTACAGCAGAGACGAGTACCGGTACACCAGTTGCAGCCAGTAGAGCTGGACGCGACGACGATATTAAGCAACGACTAGATTCTCGAGACGGAAGCCATGTGATTACGGAAGATGCTGTTCTTCGCGATGATCTGGTACGTTCATCTTCGCGTGGTTCATCTTCAGGAGCAGGGACCACTGATGCTCGTCCTAGTAGGAGGAGATCAGACGTGGGTCTCATTGTTTCTCGAAGGTATCGGGAGGGAAGGTGGGAACCTCCGCCTGCTGATACTGGTACAAGTGAAGGTGCAACAAGCGGCATCGCGACTCCGGAAGTCCCGCTTCCGATCGAAGGCAGTCCTTCTGCTGCTAAAGATTCTACTCTTGAGCGTGGGGCAGACGATCTGTCAGTGCGGTCGGATAGTGGTTTGGCTTCGTTTCTTCCACTATCTCGCTCTGAAACTACAAGGGAGGATGTTGGTACAGCGGCTCCTCCTGGCCCTAGCCCTGAGAAGCAACTGCGGGACGACGAAAGCAGTAGACTATCTAGGAGAGGAAGCAGACGCAGAGGGGCGCTGCTGGAAAGGCAAGGACCGTCCGTGATCGACTTCGACAGGCTGAGCTCGTCTTCAGAAGAAAAGCTACCACCGGACAGATCGGCCGGGGAGGACAGTCGTGCTCGCCGGTCACGACCAGGAAGGATTACTACTAGAGCATCGCGGTTGGTGGAGAAGCAGGAGCGTTCTTTTTCTTCACCCTCCACAGTAGAGGCACAGCCCACGAGTGCGCTGGAGAGACTGTATGCTGATGCAAAAGCGATCACCTCTTTTGAACATGCTTTGACTCGAATGGCGGTTCTTCGTTCGGATGAAAGAAGAGAGAAGCGGAGTGCGGACACCCGCTTAGCAGGACTCGTCGAATCAATATTAGGGCACAACGAGCAGCTTTTAGAAGGAGGTTCGTTACCTACAGGAAATAAAGAGGACGATGAAACACATGTCGTAGCAGATTCTTCGGCAACATCGTCTACAAGTACAAGGCTTTTGGAGGTGGCGGCAGTCTTGGCGTCATTTCTCGCGCAGGAAGCATCAACGTCCTCTCGAAGCCTCGAAGACATCGGAGGCACCCATCTTGCATCTTGGCGGCATTTTTTGGTCTCTCGGCTCACTAAGGAAGTTCCATCGTTTCGTCGTATTCTCGGCGTTCCCACCAAGTTACACACGAGCCTGGGTTTGGAGGGAGCGCTGGAACAGTTGCGGGTGGTCGCAGACCAGACTATCCGGAGAGAGGCGCTCCAGAGACCGGCCGCCATTCATGCCACTAGAAACACTCTCATAGCCAACTCCTGGCTACGAAGTGCGATGGAAGCTTGCTCTACCCTCGAGCGTTTCTTTGATCGCGAACTGCGAGATCTGAGCACTCGTGGTGGCAAGATTCGGCGCGCCACCGATGCACTGCGTGGCTTTGTGTCTGTAAACGACCCTGCTTTGCCCATCTCCCTCGGTGGCACCGCCGCCACGCAGCTGCTGCGCTCGCGGCGGGAGGCCGAGTTGCACATCGGGTGTTTGGCTTTGGTACGGCCGGAAATGAGTAACTCGCGAGAAGAGCTGAAAGCAAGCGTGCTGTCGCATCTCTTGAGACAAGGAGTTAATAAGCGGAGCAAGAACAACATGTCAGCGGCGGAGAACGGCGTCCCCCGCCCCAAACAAGTGGTCGAGGCCTTGTCGGCTCTGCGGTTTCTTTCGCAGGAGGTGAAAGAGAGCGGCGGCTTGTGCAGTCCCCCAAAGGCTACATTGCATGCGCTTCAGACTCTGGCGGCGTTCGTCACATCAGGAAAGTTGCAACAGCTTCTCGCGGATTATCGCAGAGAATTCGTTCGCCAGAGCCAAAACACCCCTAAAACCAAACAGAGCCTGCGGACTGTCAAAAATATCGCTGCCACGAAAAAAGCTATCGCTTCCGCAACCTCACACTTGCGACCTCCCGGCAGTTTGGCAAGCGCGGAAGATGAAGACGATTTACTGGCACCTTTTCCGCGTCTTCGCCGGGTCTTCACTCGCGCGTTGGTACGAAACGAAGAGGCCGCTTTGCTTTTGCGCGACTGCACAACCGTGGCGTGCTTCGACGACGGTGCGGACCTCTTGCGAGCGCTTCTGAACAGCGAGCCGCTGTTTTGCGATACGAATTTTTTCATATGTGCAGCAAACCACGACCTTGCTTTGCGTGGCGATGTTCGCAAATTTCTTGAGAGAGAGTCGGTTGCGGCCGCGGAAGCTGGTACTCATATTTCAGCGGGCATACGTAATGTTGGGCGCACAGTGCGCTCCGCTGATGAAGCATCGATGGAGTGGAGCCTTGGACGACTGTTTCTTACGCCGAGTGTTGGAGGCGAGGTGGCAAAGAGCAAAAAAGCGAACAAAAAAATGAAAACAGGCCGAGGTGGAGCAGGAGTGATTGGCGGAAAATCGATTACCGAGATGGTCGTAGAGGCTGCATCATCGGTCCCGTCATTGCCAGTGTCACTTTTCGAAGGATGCCGTACTGATACGGAGCAATCAACTGAAGATGAAAAGAGCAGAGGACGACCACGCAGTGGAAGTGGCACCAGGACGAGAGTCAGTGTAATTAATGCGAGGAAAAGTAGAAGGACCTTGTCTAAATCGCCAGGCGCGACCAAGACACGAGAAGGAGCACGGGCTGCTGAGCGCGCGTCAAACACCTCAAACACCGCGGACGGTACACGTAGAAGCTCGGTGGGCACGACACAGAGGCTTTCAACCTCAACACCAATCAGTGGAGGCTCCAGGAGTCCGGAGAAGGACACATTAGCAGGGATCGAAGAAGTGTCACCTGCAAGTGTCGAAATTTCTCCGCAGCGCTCTTCTAAAGCTGTCGATGTCGCTGAAGCGGCTACTCTTCCTCTGTACTATAGCGATCCAGACGAGGGCGTTCCAGGAGTCGGGCACGAGCGCCGAAACACCAACATAGCAAGAACATCTTCATCTTCTAGGGAGTCCAAGACGGCAGCGAGTACGACAACTTCGAAAGACCGTCGCAAGAGTTCCCCAGACGGACGGAGATCTCCAACCGAACGTGCGCTTCTCGACTCGCCCACTTCACACTTGCGGCGTGGTGGCGGGGACCACTCAGGGGCTGCACCACGTTCTTCACTCGGAGATAGAGAAGCGACGAAAAACACGGCAGCTACGTCTACTTCAAGAACAGAAAATGATGGCGAAGTTACGGCTTTGGGCGGTGCCAGTTTTGAGCGCTTTGGAACGACGGCACTGATTCCGGATGAAGCAGATCTTCATTACCTTACACGGGACGAGGCACTTGCCGCGCGTTTGATTCTTGCGCGACTGCGTCATCGTGGCCACAGAAAGATCCCCGCAGATCGCGTACGACGTGCCGTTTTTCGCTGCACTCGCGGTGCCTGGATGCAACAGCTGGGAACGCGTCTCCTGAACCTACTCCATTCGCGTATCTGCACTTTGATGAAGGGAGCAGCCCGACGGAAGAAGGAGGCGCTTGAGGCTGCTCGCGAAGAAGCGCTGCTTGCGAAAATTGAAGCCGAAAGGAGGGAAAACGAATTGTTGAGCCCGAGCGCGGCTGATGCGGGAGGAGCCGCGGATCCTTCATCAGAGCGCTATGAGGAGCCGCCACAGCCGAAGTGGCTAGGGGAAGAGCTTGAGTTCGAAAGAATCGGTGTTGAAGAGAAAACCCCGGAAGAGAAGAAAACAACAGCCAAACTTGTGCAAGCAAGGCAGCTGTTGTCCGACGTTGTTGCGGTATTAAACTCTGCAGTGGCCATGCTGAAAGACGCCAGCGCGCGGCAGTCGTGGGGCCTGTGCGCGCTGAATCCAGATCACGGTGGTCGCCGGGTTGCTTCCCATGCCACGGAGCAGCGAGAAACGAAAGTGGCTTTTACGGGGAGCAGATTGCAGCAACATGATCACCACGAAGGGTTAGGGAACGGTAACAATCAAGAAAATGAGCTTGATCTTTACCATCTGGGCCCGGCGGGTAGCGTTGTGGCCGAGTATTTGCATGATGAGGTCCCAGAACATGAGTGGCCGGCTGGCATCTCCGACCGGTATGAGATCCTGCGACAGTCGCGATGTGTGGACTTTTTCTCATTGCTGGACGAATTTGAAACGTTTTTCCCGGAAACCACCGCAGACCTTATAAATTTGCTGGAACAGAACCTTGACGCCAACTTTCAGGAAGCGCGGCTTTTTTTTGCACCTCCAGAACACGACGTGGACAAACATGCCGCCCCGCGGCGCGGTAAAGTGCAGATCATGACAGGAAAAGGGGGACATGGAGGAGAAGCCTCTTCGGTCACCGTGGCAGGCTACGTGCTTTCCGCCGTGATGCAGAGTGTGCGGCCCGAAAAGGATGAAAAAAATACAGCCTCCGCTGAGGAGGGAGCAAACGAACCTGGTGGAGAACACTCGCCGCGGCGACAAAACAGTTCATCGTCAAAGCAACAGTTTTCTGGCCTTTTTTATCCCGACGATTCAGATAGTGACAACACAGGAGATTCGGGCTCGGATGCAGATGCTTCACCTAGTATATCTAAAGTACGGGGTGATGAAAAGCGCACAAGCGGACGAGGTGAACGGCACCGCTCGGCAGGTGTCCGGTCATCTCGGTCGCCAAGTAGTAATAAATCGCCTCGACATGGTAGAGCATCTGGAAAGACCCGTAACCGCAGTCCTGCGGCTCAGCGGCGAAGCTCTGTGCACCGCCCGATTGCCGACGATCGCGATACCGTCACACGTTTGGAGAAAATCTTGGACACACCAATCGTGAAAGCCGGGGACCACTTCGACGCAATTCTTCGTGAGAGTGTGGTTGAACTGCAATCCAGGGATCTTACACACCACCCCCACACAGAGGATCTGCAACATGTGAAAGATGGACGTGTTGGACGTCCCGAACCAGTTGCTGGTCTGTGTAGTGGCACAGCGCGAGCATACCACGACCACGGAGCCGATCGGACCGCCTGGGCTACGCAGCGTAATGCGGAGCTGCGTGCTGCACTGTCGGAGAAAGCAGCCGTCATTGCTGGGCGCAAATCGGGCCTGGCGCAGGAAGACGCGACAGAAGTGGAACTGGCGGCACGGATCGAGCGAGAGGTCGAAAAAGCCAAGCGAGAGGTCAGCTATGTGAGAGTGGGGGAGGACGCCACACACGGGCGGAAGCGGCGCAGGCGCAGGGGAGAAGGAGAAAAGAGCGATCACACCGATTCCGGAAACGAAAGTGGACCCGTCTCGGGATGGGATCTGGATAATGGTAGAGGCAAAAGTGATGCTAGTCTTGACCGGGCAACAGAAGATGACGACAGTCCGCCTCAGGGACGTAAAAGGAAAATGAGGGGCCCGAAAGTAGACGAAGAGTTGCTGGACATGATCAAGGGAAAAAGTGGGGGCAGTTTTCCACCCCCGAGTTCTAGTAAAAGACGAAGCAGCAGGAAGAAGGCGCGCGACGCCAAACGCGCAGGATCTTTGTTTGACGTGAGTGTTGATCCCACGGAGCTTCTGGGAACGCAATACGTTTGTCGACGAGTAGTAGCGGAGGCTGGATCGGTGGCGGGGTCTCTGACGACAAAGCAGCGGACTGACGAGCCATTAGGAGCGGCGATTGGTCTCGTTACCGAGCGCCGGGTGGGTCCTCGAGCGCGTGCACGAAGCGAGTCGGCAAAAGTTTCCCTCTCGGTCGTCTTCGACAACAGCATCGAGGTGACATTTGCGAACGGTGTAAAGACCGTGTATGAAGCCCCCAAGAGTAGCTCCAAGGAAAAGCGCTACCTTTCAGGCATCGAGCCTCCGTTGCATAAGGGCACGGGCTCGTCTCCCTCCAGTAACAGAAAACTGGGTGGCGGTGCAGATGGCACTGCTGGTGTGGTTCCAATATCAGTGGCGATCAGTGTACTCGGACTGCCAGCTTCGGTGCCAGGATTGTGGCGCTTTCCCATTACCGGACAGTACGACCAAGTACGATTTTTATCGCACTCGCAAGTGCCGTCTACGAAAGGCACAAAAGCAACCCAGGGCAGTAGCCCGGCTAGTAGTCCGAAGATGGCTGCTGGTCGCCAGGGCGTCCGGCCGCGATTCTCCTCCAGGTCGCCTGCTATCGCCGTTTCCCCTAAGCGGAAAGCATCAACTCCAGACCCAACTTCACTATTCGCGCCGTGCTTCGTTCATCCCAAAGGCCACGCAGTGCTATTTCTCTGCACCTTGATGTATCCGGTTGCGGGTGGCAAAAGCAAGGCCAGGCCGCGAAGTGAAAAGATCACTTCGGGCCTGACTGGGCGGAGTGTAGTAACGCGTTCGTCGTCAGCATCACCATCACCCGCGGATAAAAATATGAGTATTGTGCCAGCCTCAGCAGTGGTGGGCAAGCGCAGCTCAACGAAGAATGGACCAGATGAAAGCGAAGTCTCCAGAGCACCGCAAAGGTTCTGGGTGCTAGCCGGCTCGCTTCCTAGTGCTCGGGCAGCAATCCTGCGTGCGCAAAAGGACGCGGACTCCATAGTTGGCGTTCCCTTGGATGCCACCAGTACGATTTGGGCCTATTGCGGTGCAAGTGGCGCTGATATTTTTCCGACGCCGCAGCACATAAGCAAGTGGCGCTGGTGCAATGTCTTGAGAGAAAGTGGCCATTTTAAGAAAGTGAAGAAAGAGTTTTTCGTTGAACCCGTAGTATTACTTCAAAATCAGCAATTTGTCCAGCCCGAGCTGCCTGCGAAGAGCGGGCGACGAACAAAGCGGACGACCTCATCACTCGTCTGGAGCCCGGTGTTCCCTTCGCGAAGAGGGTCGGTAGTCGTGCCGCAAGCAACCTTTCCCCCTGCTGGTACGTCCCTGCAAACCGTGAACAAAGTTAAAGTGAAGAAACTGGTAGAGGAGCGCCTTCGGATAAAGCATGATCAGGAGCAGGACGAAGAGAGAACGCCAGGTCTTCTCGAGATGATGACTTTTGGGGATCGTCATGCTGGTGCTGACAGTCCATCTTCTAGTGCCCTGTCATCTACCTCTTCTGGCTTGCCTTCGGAATCGGAAGCAAAGGACCAGGAGGCCCCCTATAGGACTACAGCGGCAGTACTGCAGGAAGCCTATCTGGAGTCGATGTGGTCTGATACGAAAGCGCTCGAGGCTCGCTTCGAAGACGGTAGCAAGGAGCCTCCTGAGTGCTGGCGATTCGCGCTACTCGCGCATCGAGCGCTGCGAAAAAACCGGAGCTTAAAGCTTTATTTTGCAAGCGAGGGCGAGCAGGAAGACGAGGCGCCCACAACACTTTTCAGGAAGTCGCGGCCCCGAGGTAAAGCACAACGCCAAAGCAAAACGCAAGAGAGGAGGCCCAGTGCTCTACAAGCTTTCGTCGGTCGACACCTCGGAGGCGCTACGTCGACGGAAAAGAGAGATAGAGACGAGGACGACGACCACACTGACGGCGAGAAAGCTCCACAAAGGCCCACACGAAAACGTTCGGATGCTTACGAAAAGCTTCTTTCACGGGGGTCTACCATGGTAGACAGTCCCCTAGCAGGGATTGCGTCTCCATCACGCCGGAGACGATCAAACACGGGCCCGAGAAGCTCCGCTTCGGTCGTCAAGGCGCCCTCGCCTAGAGCGGGTGATAGACGAAGTAGAGTGAGGCCTGATGTTGACGGTGAGAGGAAGTCTCCGATTCGTGGGCGTCGAAAAAGTACGTCGCCGAGGACCCCACCATTTCGCAATCGCGACAGTGAGCAGCGCGTGCTCGACGTGGTAAGGCTGCGACGAGAAATGCGCCAGCATCTGGCTGATGGACTCCACGTTGACGTAAACACTCTGAAAAGTGCAACGGCTTCGCTTGCTGCCTCGATCGTCAAACCGGGAGATGGACACGACGAGTTCGCTGGTGTTGGTATTCCGCAGGGCAGTAGCACAGGAGAGACTGCAAAGAGAGCTGGTGAAACAAGTCCATCCGCTTCTGGCATGGTTGCGCAGTCTTCAACCGGCATTGTCGGGATGCTGAGTTTTTCACCTCAAAAGCTCTCTTCACCCCTGCGCGCTGCTGTTGTGAGGCAAGCTGGTGAATCCAAGGAATGGGACAAGATATTGCGAACAGTCTTTGGGGCTGATCGCGATCGCTTTTTGTCAGGGCGGCTCGCATCGGCTTCGCCTGGGGAACATGCTCATATCACGGAGAACATCGATATGCCCGTGAGCATGCTTGACGAAGAAAGTTCTGTAACTACAACTATGGAAAAGGCTCTCAGTACGACTTTCGCTGTCGGCGATCGTGCTCTTCTTCGATCTGAGGTATTCGATCCTTTAATCCAACTGAGCCATCCTGAAATCGCAGAATTAGCGTGTGCGGTAGAACAGGGCTGCACGTTGCGAGTCATTGACGAAGCAGCCGAAGACGACCTCGTTGTAGTGAAGCCCGAACAGACAAGAATCAGAACTGGCGCTGGTTCCTTGCGGGGATGGGAAAGCGTTCCCTTTTCTTTTCAAGAGTCACCTTCTAGTCGAGGGAAAAACGCTGGCCGCGCGTCGTCACTCGACAAATTGCGTGAGCGGCGTCTGGGTCGGACGCAAGGGCCTCCCCCGGCGGTATTGAGCTGTGTCGCACTGCCGCAACGACTGCTAGAACCGCCAAAGCGTGTCGGGTTCCGCCCTCCCGTTGTCGGGGACACGGTGCACTTACGAAATGTTGTGTACCCTCGAGACCTGATTCCTGTACAAGATCCACATCGCACCGCGCTTGTCGTCGCAAGGGTCTTCAGCGACCGTGCTTTCGTCCGGGCTGCACCTAGGACGGTGAAGCTTTTCGGGCAAAACAGAGAGCTTCCCATGGAGATGAAATCAGCTTCGGATGAACTCAGACGAGCTTTCCTGATTGATTTCGAGTACCTTGCAGAGGATCATGCAGCGATTGTCATCCCTGAGCAAGCCGAAAGCCCTAGCATCAACGCTCCAGCACTCAGATCAAGTCGTGATATGGAGATGGATCCAACAGTCACAGAGACTGGCATAACCACTTCTAGTACAACAATAAGAATGTCTGGTGCCGTTTCCGCGGTTTCCGCTGAGGTGGAAGACGTGGACGCAGATGCCATGACACGACCAAGAAAAGATTCGTCCACTATCCCAGAGTTTCCTCCTGGAGCTAAAGCACTTTTGCGAGCAGTGGTGAGAGATGGCATTCCAGAGTGGGTCTCGAATAAAATCCGTTTGCGCCAATGGCAATGCTTTTTTCCTGCCGATCCTTTCGCGCATGAGTTGCCGGTAGTTGATCTCGTTCTGCGACCACCGGTTACACAAACGAGCAATACAGCAGCTAAAGGTCGCGAGGTGGCGCTAAAGACGAGCAGAGCAGCTGCTGTTGCTCGTTCCGGAACTTCATCCAAAGGAGAAATGCCAGTCACCGTTCCATCAGCTTGCGTGCTGATAGCTGACGCTTTCGCTCAGGCGGAGCCCATACACATAGCCGCAGAGACTGACGTGCTACTGCAGGACGTAATCATGAACGAGAAAATTCCCTTTCTGTTGGACATCGTCGACTTCGTGAAAAACGGCGGCAGCATACGAGCTCTGGAGGAGTTTGATTTCGGCACTCAAATTTCCTCTAATGATATGAAGAACGAGAAGCAGCTGCAAAAAGGCAATGCTGATCCGCCGTCTACTGATGGAAAGAGCAAGATAAAGGTGCGAGACTCTTCCGAGGGAAAGCGAGCCGTCAGTAGAAGTGCGTCGCAAGTAGGTACGCAGTCGACAGGCAACTCCACTTCTCCCTCTGCCACTTCAGCGCTGTCTGATGGAGAAACCAAGCCAAAAAGTGCTATCGCACAAGAAAGGAAAGAACCGAACGAAGCGCACCGCACCGTGCTCTGCGAAGCCAGATGTGGTGCTCAGACGCGCCGAGTGCGGATTCCGAGGGAGTACGTGACCCCGCGAGAACAACACCTTCTCCTCACCAGCGCGGCAACGCGGCAGCGACAGATTTTGACGAGCATGCGCTTTGAGCGTTTTCGTGCTAGCCGAATGGACTACTTTGCAAACTTTGAGCAGGGCGAGGAAGTGTTCTTGCGTCCAGTGATCTGTGACCGCCGATTTCAGACTGCAAAGATCTGGCGCACGCTAGCGAATGGTGGCTCGCTGCGTTTTGTCCGTTACGATCTAGCAATCGCTGACGCAGAAGACGAGGACGGCGTGTGCGTCGAACTCAGAAACGCTGACGGACAACGTCTGCGCAAGGAGTTGCACCTACCAGCATTTCTACTCGAGAACCCGGATGTGATGCGTGAGAGGGCTGCCCGCATTCAGTCTGCCTGCGGAGGATCATCGTCTCCTACCTTTCACGGGACAAAGCTTGCGGCTTGTAGCAGTGACGCAGCAGTTGCATCGCCATCTAGGAAAACGGCGGAAACCCGGGAATTCTTTCTTGGCACACCAGTTGCAGTTCTCGACGGACTTCCTTCGGGCACAAAGCCCGCAGCAGTAGATGCAGAGAGCAGGAGAGCCACCGAGGCGCAAAGTGTCGACGCTGGAACCGTAGAAACCCATGCCTTTTTAGCCGCTGAAACGGAGCGAAACAGCAGACTCATGTCACCCGACGTTAAAGATGATATCACTCTAGAGCCCGCAACCGGCAGTCGCGCTGTATTATCAACAGGTGCTCTACTATCAACAAGCGTTGCTGCGGCCAGTGGCAACATGAGTGTTGAGCTTTTGATGCTTCGGGCTGCAGACCGCGCAGGGTCAGGCGCCGTACAAGGTCAGGGAGTTGCCCCTTCTGGGCAGTTGGAGGCTCTGACACAGCTGAATATGAACCAGACAGTGGGCCTGCCGGGCAACATCAACCCCGCGAACATGTGGGCGGGCTATCCGCTTCCGGTGCCCTCGCGGCTTGCAGTCCCTCACCGCCGGCTTTTTGGTTTGCAGCACTCCACACGCGGCGTTTCCGTCGAGCTCCGAGACAACGGGCGGACAATCGAGCGCATACCCACCATGGATTGGAAACAATCCTCGTTTTTAGTTCCCGCTTACTGTTGCAGAGATGTCGGCATTGACGTCTTCGAAATGGCACTGCCAGTGAGTAGGATGAAAATAGCTCGAAAAAGTATATCCAGCAAGTCGTCTGGTTCTGGTAGCCTCTCCACGAAAGCCACCGCAACCGCGGTGGTCGTAGGTGGTGGTGTAGTGCATGCCGCTGTCGGCGGCGCTTTCCGTGTCGCACTCCGAGACGTTTTCTTCGAAGATGAGAGCGCAATCAAGAATGTGATTCGTGCAGCGGAAAGCGGGAGTGTGGAAATCACAGTCATTCCAGAGAAGACCACTCGCATACCCAAGAAGCAGAATCAGGCAGGGGTTAGTTCTTTTGCTCGCGGCGATGCCTCTGGAAAAAGAGATGATGAAAAAAGTAGCGCCCAGGGTGCGGCGAAAGAGAATGACTCCACTCTGTCGGGTGGAAGAGACGCCGCACGAGCAATGAAAGCAGAGGGCGAAGGGGGCCACAAGGCTGCAAACGATTTAGAAGAAGGCGAAGAGCAGCAGCAGCGGCCCGACTCGCCCGATCTCTCATCTCCGGACAGTGCTAGTTTGGTAGAGATCGATCTTCTCGCTGCGCGTGCGGGCAGCGATCACTCACCTGATTCTTTCTGCGAGCAGTCGCCGGAAAACGAAAAAGGAAAATCGAAAAAACAAGGGAAGGCTCCTGATTTAGATTCGATAAAGGGGATCCAGCCAAAAACAAAGCGCAGCGCGCCACCATTTCCGGGCGAGAAAGGCACTCCTGGCAAGACAAAGCCAAGCGCCCCACCGGTTCCTGGCGATAAGGGCACACGGAGTAAGACAAAGCCAAGCGCACCACCAGCTTCGGGTGAGAAAGGCACACCGAGCAAGACAAAGCCAAGCGCGCCACCAGTTCCGGGCGACAAGGGCACACCGAGCAAGGCAAAGCCAAGCGCGCCACCTGTTCCGGGCGATAAAGGTATATCGAGCAAGACAAAGCCAAGCACGCCACCAGCGCCGGGCGAGAAAGGCACTCCCGGCAAGACAAAGCCAAGCGCCCCATCGGTTCCTGGCGATAAGGGCACACCGAGCAAGACAAAGCCAAGCGCACCACCAGTTCGGGGGGATAAAGGTACACCGAGCAAGACAAAGCCAAGCGCACCATTCGTGCCGGGCAATAAGGGAGCTGCACCGCGGAAGACAAAGCCAAGTGTGCACCCAGTTCCGGGTGATAAAGGAGGTGCACCGGGGAAGACAAACCCAAGTGTACCCCCTTTTCCGGGTGATAAAGACAGACCTGGCAGCACAAAGGGTAGCGTGTCTACCAAAACCAATGCGAATGCGGTGGTGTGTGCAAGTCTTGATAATCAAAATGAGAAAAACTCCATGGATGCCCCTGGCCACGTCTTGACCGCTGACACACAGAGAACAAAGTCGGGAAATGGAAGCGGAAAGGATTTTGGAAAGAACATTGTCGGAAAGGGTGCTAGCAAGGGACCGCCAGCGAAGCCGGGGTCTCTGACAGAATCGGGTCCAGTGGCGAAGCCGGCGCTGGCAGAGGAGTACAGTGCGGCCACCGCAGCAACAGGTAACAACACTGCGTCCTCTGCCGTTTCTGCAGCTCCTGGGGAAGAAAACGTCAGAGTTGGTAATTCGCCTGCGACCTCCAGTGGGGAAGCACACGGCAAAAAAGGTGAAATAAGTGCGAATGCTGGTAAAAAGTCTTCAATGAAAAAACCGAGTTCGCCGTCCCGGGACACGTTCGTAGCACTCCACAGTGAAGGGCAGCACAAAGGTGGCCAGCCTGAACAACGTGATCAAGCGGCTGGCGGCAAAAATGCAGCTTCGTCCTTGAATACCACTAACACAGGGAAAATTTCAAAGCCTGCTGCGCTACCGGGAAAAGCGTTCGGGAAGAAGAGTAAGCCGGCGACTCCTGCTGTCACGTTACCAGCAAAGATGCCGGTTGTTGCAGATGATGGCCAACGAATGCATAACGCATCTCCTCGCGCTGTGACGACCGAAGGAGAGACGCAGCCACTACACTCGCCTGAAGTTGTAGCGTTGTCGAAAAGTTCAAAGTCCGGAAAAGAAGTCAGTTCTAAGCCTAAGGGTAATGTGCCTGCCACGCCTGAGGGCGAAATGATGGTAGGCCTGTTTGCTGGGGTAGAGGATAGCCCTCTATTTGCAAAGATAAGGAAAAGCCGTCGGGACCGTGGGTCGGATGGGGTGGACGATGAGCCCCAAAAGAAGAGCGTAGTGGCACCCTCACGTGGATCGGAGGATGCGTTGCCCAAACGCGACATGGGACAAGCGGCCTCGGAGCTGCTACAAGCGCTTTTGAAAGGCAAAGGCGCTGGTAATGCGGCTCGTGCAACGAGGCCGACTGTTGCTGACTCTTCTGCTGCGAATAAAGGCGACAGCAAGCCTTCGGCGCCTCCCATACCGTCAGCTACCGGGCCGAAGGGTAGTGGAGGTAAACCTGCGCCACCAGCGGTACCGCCAGTTGTCCGGAAAAGCTCTGCTAGATCAAAGTCGCAGAATTTTTCTGGAACTCCTCTGCAAAACAACAAAGCTGGTCGTGGTCCGAGCGGGGGAGCACCCTCCGGCCGCAGCAGCGGAAATACTAGTGGGCACACCAGTAGCAGTAAGTCTACCAATGGAAGTGACCTGTCCGATGCGATGGCCAATTCGCCGCTATTTCTGAAGATGCAGCGTCGCACGCAGCAGCTGGAGGAAGCACTGTCCGGTGACAGCTCCCCTCCTGCGGAGCTCGAGAACGTGGTTGCGGACTCCCGACAACCACGATTTTCTCCAGGTCGTAGAGACACCGATTCTAGAAGTCGTATGCCAGATAGTCTTGTTTCACCTGGAAGCAGTGCGGGTTCTTCCAAATTGGTGCTGGATTCCTCTCCAAGTGTGCAGAGGGACCGCCGTGTTCTGACGACTTCTCCGAATGCAGACAGAGACGGAGCAGGAGGATTTCCGAAGAATTTGAAGCAGACAAGTAACTATGTACCTTCTTCAGCACAAAGAGCCGACGTGAAGAAAGACACAGGCCCTCCGGAGAAGCGAAAAACGGCGTTGGATCAGTCTCCGCTTTATCAGAAGATGCTGGACCGTCGGAGAGAGCGTGGGTCCGACGACGTTCCGCGGAGCAGTGCGGCGACTAGCATGTCGGTTGGAAGACTCAGCAACGCACGCGCATCGCGGGAATTCCACCGTTGTAGCCTCGGTGGGCCCGAGCAGGACGCACAATCGTTCTCAGTCAAGTCTTCACGCGCTAGTGCCGACAGAAAAACAACTAGGGACTCGCGTACAACGGCCGAGTTTGCTGGAGGAGAGTCGCCCTCATCAAGATTTTCGGGGCGCGCCTCGTTGGTCGAGAAGCTCAAGGGAAAAATCAACCGGGGCTCGAAAGACCGAGGGTGCAGGGACCGAGGTTCTAATGATCACGGCTCCACCGACAGGCCAGCGTCGAGCGCGATCAGCCGCATGCGCGATTCGCGGCGGACCGATGAACCTTTTATCGCCCCTGGGGACGACCGCGTGGAGGAAGCCGAGGCCAACACAAGTTGTTGCGCTAGGGCGCGGTCGTTCTTTTTTTTCCAGGAAGATTCAGATCTTGATGAGGATCTCCAAAGTTCAAGACAAAGTCAAAGCCGGCGACCTGTGTCGGACGACGACGAGGACCTTGATGCGTCCGACTTTCGACGCTCAGAAGCCTGGATGTCCACGCCTCGGGTTGCACTTGAAATGCCACGTCGTGTGGAGGACGGCGACAAAGTACTGACTAAATTTAAAAGACACTTTCTCGTGATTCTACAATTGATTCAAACAAGGAATAGCAAGCTTTGTGTGACGAGTAGTTTGAGTTGTTTTGTATGATCAAAATCAATGTAATATCATTTAGCACAGCTTTCGTACACGATGGATCTTTATTCCGCTTGTGTAGTTTTTCCTTACGTGGAAGACGTCCACAATTGTTATCTAGGTACAACTGGAACGCGTCACAGACATTCCCTCGAAATACCTGGCACCCTTGGTCCTCCCTGGGTTGGCAATAGATGCTTGCGTTGCGGTTCGCGTAGATCTCGTTTTTGGTGACACCGTAAGCACCATGCTGAGAGACCTTGTTATAGCGTGCTCAACTCGCGACGTCTATGGTGCTTCCAGAGTGCTTCAAGTTCTAGATGACAAAATGGAGGACTGGGAGTTGCAGCAGCATCAAGACGACTCCGAGCAGGAACTATGTATGGCTGGCGCGAACTTCCTGTCCTCGAGACGCCTTGCCGATGTCATTCTGGTCGGCGTCTTCAACACTCAAAGCGGTACACGGGAACACGTATTGCGCATCCCGACAATGTATTTGGCGCCGATATTTTTCCAGCAGGTTGTCCTTCTAAAGCGCAGGCTGAAGAGCCTTCGCGACCCTTTTTCCCGCCACAAGAAGACGAGCGCCAAAAATTCGCTACCAGACACTGTAACGTTGTCGACGAACAAGGTTTCTCTAAACGAAGCACCAGCGTCCTCTCCGAGCATGACGTTGCAGGTGCAACCGCAAGAGTACGAGGAAGAACTCGAACAGATCTCGTGTGTCTCGGGTGCAGGAGTTGGGTCGCACGTTGCGCTCCGGTTTCGGGCGGGTGAACGAGTCCTCCTCCATCCTGGTGCGCTTCGCGATCGTGTGCTCCACCCCCTTACCCTTCGATTCAGGAGGCAACTTTCTACCGGAACTACTGAGATGGCCGGGTGGTTGGACCCCGTCACGCGGTCTTACATAGTTGTGCGCGTTGAGAGCGAAGAAGAAGATGAGCACGAAGGAGAGGAAGAAGACAAGGATCGCAGCACGTCTTTGACGGCCACGGACGAAGTCAATAAGGACACGACTGTGCCGACGAAAACAGCCGTCGAAGATCCAAAGAATACGAAAACTTTTTCTAGTGATGCTATCGCGGACGGGAGCGGGGCGAGCATTAAAACGAGTGGTGTCTCCAATTCTGTTCAGATGGAACCGATCCTGATGCCCCTTCCTGTGGCTCTGTTACGTCCCGCGCTAGCTCTTTCAAATGGCCTGCACGGTCCGCGCTATGGCGACGAAGATGGGCAGGTGCGAATCCCGTTGCCCATCGGGTCTCTCGTCTGTTTGCGTGAAGTTGTGTTGCCTCCAAGGCTGGAGGTCTTAGTGAAGTGCGTCCGTCGCGGTGGCACCCTCGCGATCGTTGATTGGCCTCCACCTGAAGCACACGCGGAACGCATGTCCGACATGAGCATTAAGATTCAAAAGACGATGAGCTTTCGGCCTGGAAGACGAATGGTGCGTCTGCGATTATCAGGGTATGGTGCTGTGGGGCAAGTGAAGAAGCGTATCACTTTCGGTGGCGTACTGCCTGCAACACTTGACCCAATACGCTCAGCGGAACCGAGTCCACTGAGCCCGCTGAACAAGTGGGCATTACGAGACCCCGATTCAAACAGTGTCTCGCCGGTCTCTCCTGGTGCGTCTCCCAAGCAGAGTACAATAGTATCAAAACAGGCAGACCCGTTTCATCAGGGTGAAGAGCCACGGCGTGAGCTGCGTCGTGAAGAAATCGACGTCGAGGAATATTTTCTCTCGCCCTACCACCTTCCAGCGGGAATCACGGAAAATGAAGAACACGTGGCTGCGCCAGTTTTTGGAGACTTCGTTCGCGTCCGTGAAATTCACACAGATGCGAGATTTGAGGAGGACCTCAGGATACTGCGTCGCGCAGCTGCGAGAGGGGCTCTTCTCCAAATGCTTAACCCTCTCGCAAAAAGAGACCTTATTTTACTCGCAGGAGAAAGAGACCTGTTAAAGCGAGAGATGAAAACAGAAAAAGACCTGTTAAAGCGAAAGAAGATGAAAGAGCGGTCTGGTGCTTCTTCTGCGAGTAGGGGTGCTGGCGGGAAAAGGAGTGGTGAGGAGATAGTTTCCAGAAGGAGAAGCAAGACGGCCGGAAATATGGATGATGCCGCGCCGGAAAGAACGAGAGGGGAAGAGAAAAACGGAGAGTCGCCACAAGCAAAGAGGAGCGTGGGTGGAAGAGCCAGAAGCAGTGACTCCTCTAGAGTTTCATCCGCGGGTAGCAGCAGCGCGTCGGACTCGTCTTCTTCCCCTTCGACATTGCCGAAGCTGAAGTCTTTTAGCGTGAGGTCAACGGCACCATCTCGATTCTTGGAGCGGCGAAAATCATCGCAGTATGGTATGACGGACAAGGGCGCAAAAAAAACACAGCTCTATGCTGACTTCGTAGATGTTGCCGTTATCTGGTGTTCGGCGCGCCATGATGCTAACGGCGTGTCTTCTCTTCTAGATGCAGCTCGCCATCCAGCAGGAGCGGCCTCCTTACTGCCAGGTGATACTGCGTCGTCTCGTGCGGGAGTAGGTGTGCTTCAGGGCGATGGGCAGGACAACTCTGGTGACCTCCATGCGCCCAGACAGGGCGTCATCACGGAAGCGATGCTTCTGGAGAGTGTGCGCGAGGTGTATTCAGGTATTCCACATTTTGCTTTGGAAAAGGCAACCATGGTTAGCATGGACTCAGCAGAGAGTGAAAGCTTCTTGCCCTTCGGGGGCTTCCCTGCAAGAACAGGGAGTAAAAACTCAATGAGTGGAGTATTGGAGAAAGGTCCGCGTCGAGGAGGGGTGAATGTTGGAGTACGAAGTGACCGCCAGAGTAAGCGTACGACAGAAGCACAACTGCAAGATCAGCGCGCTCTTGTGACGGGTTCCAAGTCAAGTACAAGGTTTTCTAAGAGAGCAGCAGCAGGTGCAGCCGGCACGCGTAAAACTGGTAACACGGCGTTTTCTGGTTCACGATTTGTGTCAGGACTATTGAGTGACGGAGTAAACAATCAAGTACTAGGATCTACACCAGAAAGATTTTCGGAATCGGACGTCGATGCAGTATCTTCCGGCATGGGCTCGAGAGACGCTGACGACGCTGTTGGAGAAACGGAAACGCATGATCGCGGCGAGAGCAAATTAGCAGTACTTGATGACGGTGACGGTCAGTATAACATCGATGATGAGGGAAAGATTGTAGTGGATTTACGAGCTTCTCAGGCCGCATATGAAATGGGAAGAGAAGGTTCTGCACGTGGAGGTAGTGCGGATGGAATACGCGAAAGTGCAGGACGAATTCGCGACAGCGCTGCACAAATAGCATCGGCAGAGAGAACTTCGGAACCAGAAGTTAGGATGTCTTCGGCAAGCACAGTGTCCCAGCATCCTGTTGGAGGACACCGAGAAGCGTCTTCGATCGACAAACGCGACCGCCCACATGACATACCAGCGGCAACTGTCGAGCAACCCCTGACACAACCGAGTGCAAATGAGAGCTCACGACGAGCTACGCGTGAAAGCACCATAAAAGTGGAAGGTGCGCATAGAAGTTCAGCGCTCGTTGACGAGACGATTGCTCCTTCCTCTTTTGACAATAGTTCTCTGCTGATGTCGAGATCAGAACAAGGTAGGACAAACTTGTCATTACTATCGAACTCGATCATTTCCAAATCCCTTCCCGATAAACATTCAGCTGTCTCAGAGTCGCAGGATGGTCGGGCTGGCAAACAATCAAGTCCAGCGCAGCCTCCTGAGAAGGGTAGGGCAAACTTGTCTATACTATCGAGCTCGATCATATCCGTTCCCGATGAACATTTAGTTGTCTCAGATACACAGGATTTTCAGGATGACAAGAGAGTATCAAGTGCAGGTAAGTTCACTAGTTGCCGACGAATAAATCAAATACCGCGGATTCAGAGCATAGTGCACGCTTCGAGGAGGACAGCCAGTGCTTCTGCACGTTCAAACTTGCACGAAGGCAGGGCCCAACCGCCTTCCAGCCGAACATCCCACGCTAGCAGGGGCGCAGATAACCAAGTCTCCCACAACAGCACCGCTAATGAGGAACTCTTTTCTGGGAAGATTTGGCCCTTATCCCAAGTTCACAGTTGGTTGTCAATGTTCCGCACAGCCATTCCGCGTGAAGAGAGATCCTCCGTCGAAGTTACAAATTACCGCGAAGGTTGGGAGACGGGCGAGAGAACGGAGGCACAGGCCTCTGCCATAGACTCTGGGGAGCCACCTCGGAGACCCATTAGTCAAAATGAACCGGGAGTCTTGGTTGGTCGTGGAGATGGTTCAAGCAAGCGAGGACCTAGTACGCTTGGCCTGCAGGCGTCCTCGATTGAGCATGGCATTTGTGTGCCTGCTCCTTCTACGTCGTCACCAGAATCCGCACGTGGCTACGCCGATGACCAGCCACTTTTAGGAGATGTCGAGCGAAGAAATTCTCTGCGTTCAGATCACAAGACGTCGACAAGACCTACTGTGCGACGCAGAACGAACTCGCGAGTCACTGCGGATCCGCATGTTGGTTCGACCACGGACCCGCAGAGGATGACCGACCCTCACCGTCGCACAGCTTCTATGGCACACGAAAGTATAAACCAGTCGACGCTTGCACTGTGGGGAGCCTACCTGAATATATAAGTAAGTAGTAACAGCTAGCACTGTCAGCGTACGGTTGAACGAATCCTCGGAGTGGCCGCGGAAGTCAAAATCGGGGTAACCAAGATGTAAGTCCAGAGCGAAATGCATCGTTCGTGATCCACGATGATGCCGCACTTTGTCGAGTAGATGAACTAAACACTGAGGATTTGATAGTTGCATCTTGTTCCTGAGAGCATGTTACGGATGTACCCATAAAAAAGACAGTGATGGTACTTTACGCTGATGAGTGCACAAGTTCGGGAGATCCACGACATGACATGGACATGATTTTATTTCGCCTGATACCTTCTTTCAAGATAAATTGCCAAGCAGAACTCAACTTTTATACCATTTCAATTCGCACTGGTTTCATCACGCTTGCGCGTCGTTTCCTTTCCATTTCATTTTGTTTTTGCGGTTGGCATCTCTGTTTACAGTTTGCCCTCGCATCCCAAGATTCATTTAAGTATACGTGAGCAAAAACAACGCTGCAGATGACAGGATATCCACAGTGGATGCCAGAGTTTGTTTTCCGTGTGCTCGCCAGAGCGAGAAAAGTATAACAAGACTGTGAATGCAGCGTGTGGCTGTAACACAATGAATATTTACATCGAGCGTCATCTTTGTTTTAAAACAAGGAGATGCTTCGATTTCGAAAGACAGTAGCAAGTTCTTTTGTCCTCTGAAACAGGCCAGTACCGCGTGTTCTTGAACAACAATCATGTGCGTACTGAAACTCTAGTACGTCAATCTCGTGTACTAGAGTAGGCGGACCACGGCTGGAATTTCTACAGAAGCATGATCTAACAACACGGATTCGAAAATCGAAATTTATTACAAAGAAATGTTCCGAAATACTAGAGACGCGATGTAGTTGATGATGATGCGGCGAGCTGGATGTTTCAAATTCAGTTAAGAAGTCTTGGAATGACGAATTGTCAAAACCGAATGTCAATCCCGATAATGCTGATGTTGATGTTATCTTCTATGTGATGTGTCTTCAAGAAACAACGATCTTCATAACTGTGCAATGCGAACGGGCTTGATCGATAAGTGCTTTGGCGAAATTTCCTATAGTCTCTGAAAATCATACTAAGTAATTCTGCTTATAATTTATAGTAGTAGAAGACGTAGGGAAAGAGGGCACGCTGGGCCGCTAGCCGACCCTGCCAAGCCGGCTTGTCTAAGCCATCCGACCGGACCTTAACCATCCGGCCGGACCTAAAGAAAACCATCCGGATGGTGCTGAAAAAGCACCCGGGCCCAAACCATGCGAGCCCAAGGTATCCGTATAGCTACCAACCTACGAGGATCCGGATCTAAACCGTCCGGATCTGTTGCGCGTGCGTGGGGGAGTGTTCTTTCTGGGGCGTGTTGATTCTTGTTTGTTCGTTGTCAAGTAGTTTTTTCTTTTGAAACTACTCCCCATTAATCATGATCAGCCTTATACTAGAGCTTCAGCTTGGTGAGCATGCTGTAGGCGCGCGATGCTTCAGCCCATGGCGTCCCACCCCCCAGGTCTACGGAGGAGGACACTGGGGGTTGGCTGCTCGCATTTCAAGCGGTCGTCCAAGTGATGCACGACCATGGGTTCGTTGTCAATTTTTTCTCGTTAAGAAACATTGCTTATTAATCTGGTAACAGCGTAGTATAGATACAAGAAGGTCTGTTTTTGGATGACGATGAAGTACTCTTGATCAATAGTGACTGTGATGAAAGTTCAATATTCTACTTATGGTGGCATCAAAAAACATTTTCGGTTTTGTCTTCGATGCGCAGCATGAAGACTAGCTTTCTGGAGGAAGCAAGATATGTTGACCCTGTCGGGATTTCAGGGGCCTCCAGGTGAGGAACTGCTACTGCTGGTGTAGGCGCATGCGCCTCGCTGCTCGGCGCCACGGCGAAGCCGCACTATTATCTTACCGGCTTTGGCTCCAAACTCGTGCTGCCGGAGCCAAGGCGAAGCCACTTTTAGTCGAAGATTCACCAGGTCGCAATCCGTCGTGTTCTTATGAGGTGATAGGATTGTTGTGGAGCAAAGGAAGGAAAACGTTGCTGCCCAAGCCAGGAGGACATGAGTTTTTTGAGATCTACTCATCTTTTCGAGGACGCTTAGAGGACACTTTCGCACCTGAGGACCTCGCAAACACTCTCCCATGTCGTGGTACAACGAGCGACGCGGGGGAGGAGGAAAAAAGGGGAAGAATGGAAAGGGTATTGATTCTTATCAGATATCTCATTTCAGCTCACTTCATCTAGGTCTAAAAAATAGACCTTTATAATAGGTCAGAAATGGGAAGAATTTCAAGAAAAATAGGTCAGAAAGGGTATTCTTGTAGGAGAAGAATTTCAAGAAAAATATAGCATCGTCGTTTCACTATTGTTGTAGAAATAGAAGCCACTTCCGCTTCCTTGGCCCATTCCAACGCAGATTCACAGAGTATTGGAGTGATTATGATTTTTTAATAGGTGGTCACCTTGTTGATGTAAGTATCTATGCAACTACTTCTTTTACTCTTGTTCATCAAGTTGTGTCTTTCGGAAACGCTCGTCATGCTTTAGACCGCTTCGTCACTCATGGCACACTATCACATTCATCACAGGTGGCGGCTATGGAAAGGAGAAGTCGGGAAGGAGTGGATACGATGACTATTATGGCAGCTGGGATGCCGCGTCCACGGCCAGCGGTGAGAATGGAAAATCCGCGGGAAAATACGGAGAAGGCTCTGCAAAAGCGGACAAGAATGGAAAGACGACGCCTAGTGCTACCGGGGCAGCTGCAGTGGGACCACCTAGCGCTGGGATCTCCAAAGGGGCTACCGCGACGTCAAAGGCGGCTTCGAAAGCTGCCTCAAACTACAAAGGACTTCAGCGACAGTACGAGAAAGAAAAGTTCTATGACTATGCGGAATACGACCGGAGCAACATCAAGACTACTTCCAGTACGACAGTGTCTGCGCCGTCAGTGCCAGTAGAACATCTGCCATGGGAGGGCGGGACGAAGGACAAAGACATCACTGATCCAGCGAAGGGCGAGTCCAGTAGCGGTGCAAAGGGCAAAGGTTTTTCCTCAGCACGCGAAGGCGGACTCCTAGAGAGAAGTAAGAAAGGAGGGGCCGGCGCACCCAGCCCACGCAAGGCCAAAAGTCTGTATAAAAACCAGGTGTCGCTGCAGAATCCGCAACATATTCCCCTTCCGCTCGCACGAGACGAAGCTTCACCATCACACGGTACGAACGTTGCTTTGCTCGCTGCGCAGGAGATGAAAAAGGAGCAGCGCTCGGCGGGTGGTACGCCGGCAAGTGGCACGAGAAAGGAATTAAACTTTCTCGGAAACGAAAACCAGGATGAGGCAATGGGAGAGGCCGCAATCCTGGAGCAAAGCGTAGATCCGAAGACCTTGTCGCCGGCGGCTCGGGCTGACTACGAGTTTCGTCGCATGGATCCCGACCGAAAGCAAAGACTAGAGGCGCAGCAGAAGCGGTCCCGCTGCAAGGAGGCCGCGGCCGCTCTGTACTACGATTCGATGAGGTTAAGCGGTCACGAAATCGCGTTTGTGCTGGGCAAAGGTGGATCCACGAAGGCCAAAATCGCGAGTGCGGCGGGGTGTAGTATCGACATCGACAGCGAGCGGGGCGTAGCAGAAGTTTTTTCGAACACGAGCTTCTTCAACGTGAAGAAAGGCTTAAAATATGTGCGTCTGTGCAAGCTGTCCCGTAACATCAATGTCCGACTGCGGCTGCCGGACGACGATGACGGGGATTTGACGGTGATGCGGGTACCGAGCGACTGTGCGGGCTTCGTTACTGGGCGCGAGGGAGCTTTTCTGCGCGCATGCGAAGAGCAGTACGGAACTTTCATGTTCTTCTGCGACCTTCCCGACTTAGACCGAGGTGGGGGCAGCAACTCCTCGGGCGCAGCAGCAGGAGGTAAAAATAGCCGGAAAAAGGGCCGCGGGAAGAAAGGAGCCGCCGCGGCGAATAATTCGCCGTCGCCGATGGACGATGGAGTCGACTATCTGGCGGTCTTCGGCGACGAAATGGGTCGCAAAGGAGCGAGCTTGAAAATCATGGGCGCAGTGGAGACGAAATTACCTGGCTACTATTTGGATGACATCGACTCGAACTACATCTCGGACGAAGCGGGCTTCGACACCGAAACACGACAGCTCTCGAACGACGAGATGAGTTTTGCCATGGGACGGGAGGGCCTCACACGCCGCAAGATTGCCCGTGCGAGCAATGGCGGCGTCCTCGAGTTCGTGGGCCTTGTCGCGTTCCTGTGCGGCAAGATGCCGGTGCGCCGACGCTTGCGAGACTACCTAGAGATGCTGTTGAAGCAGCGCGCATACGGCCACATCCACGTCCCAGACAAGATGGAGCGAGACGACTGCACCGTTTTGAAGATCCCGTCCACCTACATGGGCTTGGTGCGCGGACAAGCTCTGAGGGATGCCGAAACAGCGACAGACACGTTTCTCCTGATCGAGGGCGACCCGGACCTCTCGGACGTACTGTTGCTGTTTGGAGGAGAACGCCAGCGCAACAACGCAACGCTGAAAATGAAGGAACTTTTGCGTGGCGACGCCATTGTCGAAAATCTCACGAATCCCGAGCAAGACTCGGCGCGTGACAAATCGGAAGCCGCGATCCTCGCCGGGTTAGGCAGGGGTAAGACGAGTTCTTCATTTTACGATGTTGCGTCAAACGCGTTTTTCGCGCACATAATTTTCATCGTAATTGAATGATGAATTTCATTTCGATTTCGTCAATTTTGATTTCTTGTTTTTAAGAACAACGTACTTTGACTCACCGTCACCTCTGTCTTTGTTCTGTGCGTCCTCCTGATCCTTGATTTTTTTTCGTTGGTCACTTTATTACAATTTTAGGTGCAGCATCCCAGCTACAAAGCAAGCAGCTGATTCTTGTCGAGGTGCCTATCCCTGCACTCCTTGTGGTTGAGCGTGTGGAGGAGAACTTAGTGAAGCTAAAGGACCAACTGCATAAGTTGAAGATTTCGGAGATTCGGATAAAGGATGACGTCCTGCGCATCAAAGTGGATCAGGGACAAGCTGCAGCTTGTGCGATGGCAGTTGAGGCTTTTTTGAACAAAGACATCCAGTGCGAGGTTCCCTACTACATTCCACGAGGCATTCCGTTCCAAATACTCACCTCCAAGGCTCGCGAAGTCTTCCAGTTTCTCCCAGATCCGGTATCAGGCGCAATACGGAAGCAGGTACTTCTTAATGCAACTTCTTGTCTGCCTCATGAAGATGACATGCCCATCTAATTGCTTGACACCGCATTTTTCATGTCTCTGAACATGACCTGATTCACCTCGAGCTACCTTATACATAGTGTAACTTCAAGTGAGGATAACTTTTATTGTGCGTTCTCCTCTCTTTGCCTGTTGCCTTTCTCGTCGTCCTTGAGGTAGTATCATCATCACCCTTTTCTTTTTCACAGGCAATCCCGGATCCGCTGAATTTGCTGAATTACCTAGACGAGGACACTTTGCGGATCTGGGGTGTGCCCATCGCAGGCCAGCACGAAAATGGGCAGCTGCAAGTTTCGAGTCTGGTTCCTGCGGGCGCCGTTCCGGTCGTTAGCATTTTGGAGGACGTTCGGTCGCGCAGTCGCCTTCGCGTGCGCACGTTTAAAGATCAGCGCCGCGTACTCTTCGGCGGGAATCTGAATCAAGTGCTCGCCGCCAAGCGGGACCTGGACACTTGTCTTAGCGAGTTTCTCACCCTCGTCGTGCGTGTGAACCGCGAGCGCGTGCAGTCGGAGAAGCTAATCTCTGAAGTGGTGCGGCAGGTGCTGCCGCAGTTGCAGAGGACGCACCACCTGGTTGCCGCGAAGTTTAACGACTTCTGTCTAACCTTCTCGGGTTCCAGCATGGCCGTCTATGAAGCAAAGGGCTTAGCCCAGAAAGAGCTCGAGAAGCGAGTCGTGGAAAAAGAGCTTGCGGAGAAACACGCTCCACCACCGATGCTAGCACTGGGTGGCGCCTCGCCTGAGATAACTAACCGTACTGCAGCCTCTTCATCGTACGTAGCACCGAAAATCAGTGAGACTGCGGCGTCCATGAGCTTAACCAGTGACAATCTGAAGTTGGTGGAGTCCATGCGTAGCGAAAGTAAGAAAATGTCGTGGGCTGATGTTACACAGGATGATGAGGGAGTTGAGGATGCGCGCATCGTAAGCGCTTCTCCCGGTGTTGGAGGAAGTGCAGTTGTCAATACCAATATTGATCAAAAGGTTGAGAGTCAGCCCCTCTTTTTGTCCGTGCAAGAGCATTTCCTTCTTCCACACCTGCGACAAGGAATTCAAGCAAAAGAGCGGACCGAACTGTCCACCGAGTGTTAAGGCTCCACAAAACCCAACCCCACGTGGATCCTGTTAAAGTACTGCGCTGGTAGTCATGCCTCGTGCATTCTCGGGCTGTACTGGGGCGAGTATTTTAACGGGATCCATTCACGGGATGGGTTAGGGGTAGCGCTAAGAGTGGCTGCGCCTGCCCGAGTCCGACAGCGCATTTGTCCTCGGCCGTCAGGGCAAGACCCGACTGAAAATTTCCGTTGTCAGTGGATGTCGCATTGAGGTCTATTCCAGTGAGGAAGAGGGGATTGAGATTGTGGAATTGACTGGTACTGCTCTGGAGAGACGCCGAGCGCGCAAGTACATCGACATGATCCGGGTGCAGCGGCGTGGCGCGGTACACGTGGATGAGGATTACCATAACGATCGGGACTTAAGCACCATTTACGTTCCGCACGATTGCGTCGGTTTCGTCACGGGGGGGTCGGGGGTGCATTTACGTCACACGGAGACCGAATTCCACACGCTGATGTTTTTCTGCGACTACCACCACAAAAACGGCAAGAATGAGCGCAAGCAGTCCGAAGAGCGCCTAGTGATATTCGGACAGCGACGCGGGCAGATGGGGTCGAAGCTCAAAGTAATGGCTGCTATCGAAACAAAGATGCCAGGTTACTTTACGAGGAACAAGCGCGCGGACTACCTGCGTGGCATTTCTGTGAAGAACGTTACAGTAAACAACCGAGACAGGCGTGGTCGTGGTCCGGTGGACGAATCGTGGACGGAGAATCAATTCACACCCATCCTCTGCGAAGCAGACTGGGCGATTGATACAATGTGGATTCGACAGGATGAACTCAGCTTTGCACTGGGCACCAATGGAGTCACGAGAAAAAAAATCATGAAGGTAATAAGGTTAAGTAATTAATATTCAGATCTTCTATTTCAGTACTGCAGCACTCAAGCGCAACAACAGTTCAGCCTTTTTTATGTCTGTAAGTTTGTTGTAGTTCTTGTTGATTTTGCATGCTTATAGATGCTGTGAAGATGTCAATTCTTGCTATGATGACCACAGCACCATTGAAATCTTCTTCATATTCGTTGCAAAACTTCGAAAACACTCACTGATTTTTCAGGCTTCAAATTGTATACTGGAGTTCGTTGGCAACATTGCGCACCTCGGTGGCAACAAGCGTGAGCGGCGTATCTGTCGTGATTATTTGGTCTGGCTGTTGGCGCAAAAGGTTGGAGTAGTTGGCCTCGAGGACCTAGACCGTGCAGTGTATTCTGCATCCGAATACTACGAAGATACACAGCGTCGTGAGCGTCGCAAGCGTCGAAAGAAGCAGGATCTGCGGGCGGCACGAAAGCATTCCAGTCGATACCGCAGTCGTGGAGGTCGTGGTAGTCCCGAAAGAAGCAAGGCTGCTGCACTGAAAGACGAGGACGAAAGCGACGGGCATGGTAAAAGAAAGGAACGCCAACCTGGAAGCGATGCCGACTCGAATAAAGAGAGCCATAAAGTAGGCGATGTTCATGGGAAAAGGGACCAAGGTGGACGGTCAGACGAGGCGGGGCATGTAAAAAAGCCGCAGCGACGTGGTAGTGACGAAAGTAGTTTAGAGCGTGAGGACAGCGGCGAAGATAGCGGAGGCGAGCACAGCACCCAGAGACGACGCGATCGTCGGCGGCATGATTTTTCTCCGGCTTATCGGGGCTCGCCGCGACGCCGCCAACACGACAGTGACGAAGACGAGTTGGAAAGCGATGGTGGGCGCAAGAAAAAGGTAGAAAATTCGCCTGAGGATGATGACGAAGTAAATGCCGAGAAGCTGCAGAAGAAGTCCAGCAAGTCATCTAAAGGCGAGATGGGGGACAAGGATGGCCGCACGCGGAAGAAGAAAGAACAGAAGCAGATACCAAATAAAGCGCATAGCGATAGTGAAATTTCTGACGCTGATTATGTTTCCGAGGATAGCGCAAATGGAACGCGCTTTCGCTCGCTCGCGAATAGACCGGCGCCAGCTCGTGTCACGAAGGCTCGCAAGCGTGACGCACGACGTTTCACGCACAATATCTCGCGCGAGGAGTACCAAGAATTTGTCTATGGTTGGGCCAGGGATCGTGACGACATCGATATTTGCTACTTCTACGAACGCTGCGACCTCTTCTCACCGACTGTGCTGCGTCAGATCGAAGAAAAAACTGGCACCTACACTTTTGTCGATCACCTCTCGAATCCGAGTTGTCTTTTCGTCTGCGGAGCGTTTCGCTCCAACCGTCAGATCGCACTCGATGCCGTTTACGCTGTCCTCCAGGAGCACGAGTGCCTCACGAAAACCAGCTGGTCGGATGAGTACCCTGAAGCAGGGAGCGGATGCAGAATCAAAGCTCCTCTGAATCCGAACAAACGACATTTGAGCACTGTACTTCTTATACGTCAACATTTTTATCACGACATCGTCATCTTCTATGTACAAGTACACTTGGCTTTTACTTTCACCTCAAGGTAAAAATCATGTTCATGTGTCATTTGTAACGTGATATAATATTTCGTCATTGGGTGCACGTGTTTTTAATGATGTTCAACTCAAAAATGTATAGATATCTTTCTTGAGAAGAACTTGTTCTTGAAAAAGCAGAATGAAAAAACATCCTGCAGGCGGAGAAAGACTTGATTATTGCGGCGGGTGCGGCCAATGTCGAGGTAGGAGCAGGCGCAATGGAACTCTCTGAGACTTTTCAGAGGTTTGAGCAAAAGAACCTCGCTTTCTACACGATGCTCGCATCGTCGCGAAACAGGACGGGGCAAGGCGCGCAATTTTTCAACGAAATGCGCGAAGAGGAGCTGCTCGCGTCGAAGCGCGAGCATAGGCAAGTCCTGAACCAGGACGACGCTGAGGACAGCGACGGTGGTCGCTTCGATTCCGTGGAGCTGTGGCGCAGTCCACTAGCGGATAATCTCCAGATCTACCAGCAACCGGGACCACTCGGAGAAGATCCGCTACTCGAAAGTTTAGAGAGCATCGCGCGTCTGCGCGTGTCTATGCTGGTGGGCAAGAACAGCGTGCGCTTGGAAGGTGAGCCCAAGGCCTTGCGCGATGCGTGGCGCAAGCTCAACGCATTCGCCGCGAAATTTGAAAGCATGGTGGTGGAGGTCCGACAGACGAGCGCGGATACTGAGCATTTTCTTCGCTCCCTGGTCGCGCACTACATCGGCCCGCTACCGTGGCTCAGCAAAGCCGAGGTTCGCTCAGCAACAAGCACTTCTGCTGCGGTTGAAAAGGATGATGCTGGTGGAGAAAACAACTCTTCTGGAAGTAAGCCCAACTCATCACTGGCACTGGAGATGATAGGGCACAGTGTATCCTTGCAGCAGGGTGTGAAAATTTTGGAAGAGTACGTGGGTGAGCAAGGCAATGCTTTCGTGTACCGCACTCGCGCAGTGGCCAATCCGAATGCCGCAACAGTCGGCACAACTAACGCTTCATCTAACAAGTTTGACGCTGCGGCGGGAGGAGGGCACCACGCGTCCAGTAGGAGCGGAGGCGCAGAAGGAGTATCACGTCGCGACCAACGACGCGCAGAGCGGGAGGATGCGCTCAACTCGCACCTCTCGTTGTCCCCGACAGCGGTCGTGGGCGTCAGAGACTACCGGAACGAAAACTCCCTCGAGGCATTGAATACGGAATGGGTGTCACTCACCCGCGAGGAGATTCCTTTCGTGCTAGGTTCATCGGGTTCGACGCGAGACAAGCTCTCGCGCGCTGCGAAAGCGCTGATTCATGGACAGACTTTAACTTTGGAGAAACGCGTCGCCTTAGAGGGCAGTGCGGTTGCCCGACACTTCCTTAAGAAGTACCTCGAGCTTGTGCGGAAACAGCGCACTGGCCCGGTGTCTGTCAAGGACCCGCCGTCTCCATTGGAGTACCAGCGAGCGCTAGAGAGAGACGTGGACCAGCAAGGGCAACACGTTGGAAGCAAGCACACGACAAGCTCGGCATCAGCGGCGAGCGTCGTACCAGGGATAGTGAAGTGGGACGTTGATGGGCGAGATGTGGACGTAAGCATCATTCCGATTCCGGCGTCTTGCATCGGCCTCGTTACAGGGAGCCACGGCGTGCACTTACGGCGACAGGAGAAGGAGTTCGAGACTCTCATGTTCTTCGCGGACTACTACCGCGGCGTTCAGGACTCGACAGGCGACGAGAGGGACAAGGGAGAGCGAGAGGAGGAAGAGGAGCGTCGTCTCGCCGTATTTTCACCGGACCCGCGAGCGCGGTTGCGTGCGGCTCTGAGCGTGTACAGCTCTATGGAGGGACATTCGCGAGTTACCTCGGGACGCCTAGATTTCCTCGTGAGGACCGCGGCTGCACCTATCAACTGTGCAGCGCGGCGCCGCACTGCCGCTCGCTTTGCAGCGGATTCCAAAGAAACTGCAACGATCCTGCGTGAGGAGCTTCTCGGACTGGAAATGCTTGATGAAGAGACCGCTGCTGTCATTCCTATCGCACCAGTGCTCAGAGATGATGGCACCGAAAACCGTGACCGCGAGCAAAGTTCGAGTGCTGCCGTCGCAACCAACGACGGAGATAAGGACAAAGAGGAATCTTCGTTCCGCCTCAAGCAGGAAAATATTCCCGGTATCAAAAAGTCAGGAGCGGCCGGGCAAAGGAAGAAAAAGAGGAAATCGTGGGAAGAAGAAGCCGCCGAAAAAGAAGCGCTCAACCGCATAGCACGAGCCAGTGGCTGCATAGTCCAGGAGGGACTGTGCGGCACGCAGATTGCCGTTGTTGGATCCGAAACTGAACGCAAGCGTGCGCGCGCTTACCTCGAATGGTCTTGCGACGCGAAAAGGGTACCGACAGTGCGAGCGGCATTGAAACGGAAGGACTGCATTGTAATTCGATCCGCAAAGAAGCTAGCGTGTGCGTACACGAAAATTCATGCGTATAACAATTACTACGACGAGTACGGGTACGAGTGCACCGACGAAGAAGCGCGAAAGGGCGACTGCGCGATGGTGTTTTCCCTATGCGAGCACAGCGGCGCTGAAGGAGTGGCTACCAGTGCCGTGACCACCGCTTCCGCGAATTCGTCGCCGACAGTGACCGCGACAAGCGCGGGAAGCGGAGTACCGCCTGGTGCGACGGATCACGGAGGCTTTTTGTCTTCGAATACTAGTTGCAGCGGGGACGAATGTCACTACAGCGTAACTGGTGAAGATCTGAAGCATTGTGCAGGATTGGTCACGAGTGCCAGCGCTCTTCAGCATGATGGGGAATCTTCGTCTGGGAAGCGCGAGTTCTTCTATGGTGTTTTCGCGGCTTCTCTGCGCGACCGTGTTCTTACTACGCTTCGGATTCTGAAGCAGGACACCGCGTCGGCAGATTCGCAGCCAAATTACCTGGAACTGTGTAACCGCGAGCTCGCTCGTGCTCGGCGTCATCTCAGCGTATATTTGGAGGAGGGTCCCAACAGCAATAATGCAAATTTTGCTATGACAAGTCCGATGTTTCTTGGGAGCCCACCTGTTTCTGCTATCACGAGCAAGTCCTCCAACCTATCGCGCACTGTTTCGTTGAATGTCGCAGGGGAGCACCACGCGACGCTGCCTAGCGGAGCGACTCCGCCTGCAGCTGCTGCTGTGCAGCCGCCTGGTGAACAAATTAGCCGGAGCATTTTGCCGGCAAGGCCATTGCGGTCGCCGCCGTTGCCCCCTGCCGCGTCTCCTGTCCTCTCTGCTAGCGATCGGCGGGGCTACGCGGCGAGTCCAGCAGCTCACTCAGTGACGGCCAGCGCCTCAACTCCGGTGGACACACATTCGTGGTTGACGCAATACGCAGATCCGCTGGACTACATGCTTTCAGCCGCGCAGCGCGAGGCGAAAGACCTACGAGACTTCGAATTCGAGGAACTGCGCCTCAGCAAATCGGAAAAGCACCCTGCGGCACGCCTTGCGAAACATCGAAACAAGCTCGCGGATTCTTCAGGCGCATTCTTGGAGTTCATCATGCCTGTCGGCAGTGGAGCTGTCGGAGCCGAGTACAACCATTCAACAGCCGGAGCGGCTTCCTCACCGACTGGCGACACAATTGTGATTCTTGGTGGGAATCGTATTTCTCGCCAGCGTTGTAAGGAGTACATGGGATGGCTGCTTGTGAAGTGTCACGAAAAGACCACCTACTCAGGATCTGGCGCCACCGCGAGCACGGTGCACCATCAATTGTTTGAACTCTCCGACGCTCCGTGGCGGGCCCTGATTCCTGACTTAGACCGGCTTAGCCTGGGGTCTCGTTCGGACGCCATCTGCTTCAAGAATCCAGCCAACGTCGTGACCACGGAGAAAATTCGAGACATCGAGGCCTCGTGCGGAGTCTTTACATTCTTCCGCCGCAGTGAGGATAACGGCGATAAAGAATTGCTCATTTTCGCTAAGCAGTATGAATCCCGACTTTTTGCCTATCGGAAGATGCTCACCGCCATGACCGTTCGTGATCGGGACCGCACTCGTCCCCGAGAGCGACGATACAACAAGGACGAGCTGCCAGACCGTGATCGCCGCGGCGGACGCGGCCGGCGCAAGCGGGGCGGGCGCCTTGTGCGCGAGCGTGAAGCCCGCCGTGCCGCCTGGGACGCGCGCTATGTCGAAGAGGCTAGTAAAGATCATGAGGACTACAAAAGCAAATCCTCTGCATCGAAGCCCGGACCACGTGCTCGTGGGCGCGATGGACGCGGACGTCGACGTCGCGGCCACTACTACGATGACTGGGAGGAAGCTGGTGCGGCGGTGAAATACACCGAAAAGCGCGATGACGAAGAAGGTGGCCGCAACACGCGGTCAAAGAAGTACTGGGACGACGATGAGGAGTGGGAGGAGGAAGAATGGGACGACGGAGAATGGGATGAAGAGGAGTGGGAGGAATGGGAGGATCATGAGGCACAGGATGATCGAGATCGTGGTGGTGACAAGGCCTCCGCGTATTCATCTCGTTCCAAAGAACACAAAAGCGCAGGTGTCGAAAAGTCTGAAAAGGAAAGTACGCGTGAAGGCCCAACCAGAGGCGCATCATCAAAGGATGGCGACAGCAGGACTTACCTGGGGCAAGGCAGCGATGCGAGAGCAGGGACTAGTGGAGGTGCGACCTCGAGGGGTGGGGGACATCATGAGGAGACGAGACAAGCCGCGGGGCAATCCCGGAGCAATGAGCATTCGGGTGCTGGTGCAGCAACTTCTTCAACGTCGGCTCGAGGAAAAGGTGGCTCATTTGCAGGCGCGGTTACGTCCACAACTGAGGAAAATCTTCCGGGTAACAAAAACAGCCGCAAGGGTGGAGTCAATAGAGCGGCGAAAGGTGGCGGTAAGCGGCGACGAGACTTCGACTCCGATTCAGATGACGACTATTCCTCGGATTTGACGGAGGCTAGCGATTCAGATGAGGAAGCTTCGGACGATAGTCAATACCGCAACCACCGGCACCGACATCGCTTCCGAGCACGTGACGACGCATCCGACTCAGACTACGACTAAGTGCTGTGCGGTCATTTTTACGACAGGACCACAGACTCCCCACAAAAAGGTGCACGACAACATGAAGATCATGTCGCGGGTTCATCGATTGCAAGCATCACTATTCATGCCAGACACTGAAAGATCATCAAAGAACAATCAAGCAGCGTTGTACGCAGTTGTACAAGACTTCAGAGAGATAGTAGCAGCCCAGGCGCGATCCTGCCTTCTGCTCAATCTGCGAGTCGGCGCGTACTGATGCAAGATGTAAATGCAACAAGACGATGCGGAACGAAGGAGAAGTAAAGAGCCAACGGTTAAGCCGTGGGGTGGATTCGTCTGCAGTCGACTTTTATGTTGTCTACACGACTTACCAGTGCGTGATGTCCATGTTGCTTTCCTGCTCGCAACAGAGGGACGGAGCTGCAACAGCTCTGGGGCTTGCGCAGCGGTTCTGCCTGTGTGTGTTATTTATCTGCTCGGAGCGGGTTGACCGTGCCTGCGCCGTGATGCATGAAATGAGAAGTAGAATCAGGAACACATCATACGCATAACATGCTCGCGCGTTATAATATAGTGGCCCGTACGTGTACGACAGCACCGCCGCATCAGTGATGTGAGTCTTATTTTGCTGGTCACCGTTAGAGCTGCCTGCGTGTGGTACTTGCAAATTGAGTTCTAGAGATCCTTTTGACAGCCACCCTCATGGTTGCGGCTGCACACATGAAGCCTTGCGCCGTGAGTTTGTTCTATATATGATGAATATGACATGACGGAGACACAGCGAAGTATGGCCTCATCTGATGAACTGACTAGCGCGACACTCTTTTGTAAATCGCAGTGAAGCTCCACGTGAAAATCAGATCTCCTATATCTAACGATGAAATTGTATCGTTCACGCTCTTCAGGTTCAGAAGTAGCACCGCTTATTTTCGTCACATTCCTTTGAATTTTTTTGTCCCCTTTCCAGTTTCTCCAGGAATTATCCATGGTAAAAACAGGTTTGGTAGGAATTGTCGGTGTAGGTTTGGTAGAGAATATGTTCTCTGCACCTCATCACATCTTAGGTCTTCTTGTTCACCTTTCACTCCCTCTCTATCTCCTTAATCGTTCTGGCAGCACTTATCTCACGCTTAACCCGTTATCCGTGGTAAAAACAGATTTCTCGAAACAAATTGAAATCACATAAGTATACATTTTTTTTTGGAAGGCTGAGAGAGTAGACCTAAACCATTCGGACTCGCTGCTGACTCATAGAGGCGTCATCTAGAATTGACCGGGCACATTACTACAGGGCAGCATGTCGTTGATACGACGACACAGCATCATCACAGCATTGGCAAACAGATAGATACATAAGTACAGTACAACTGGAAAAGATAGGACTGCTGCACAACACGTACACGAACACCAATAAGAACAGCATGATACATGTTGTCAGCGTGATAATCTTTGCACATGACTTAAGTACAAGGAAGAGACTAAGCCAGCAAATTATCTTTGGAAATAGAACATACGGCATCAGCTCTTGTTTGAGAACCATTTTTTACCAACGTGATAGACTTCATGGAATGGAATGAGTAGTGCCGAGCCAATCATGCTCGAATTCACTTCCGAATAGACATGTCTGTGTAAAACCTGACCATACATCAACAACCTTCTTGGCACACTACATGGCTTTGAACAGAAGCTTTCATCTCGTAAAAACTACCTCATTTCCGTATTTCAAAAACTACCAAGAAGTACCAACGCAATGTTAGAATTGACAACCCCTCTGCATGCTCGATATGTAGTCTGTACTTTTTTATTGTCTCTGCGTGCACTCAGTCACTCTCAACGAAGATTTTGGCAAGATTTCATGAAAAACAATCACGCACTCCTCTCGCCGCTGCACTGGTGACTTCTGATGTTGGGGCAGAGCTCGTGAAGATTGAAGCGCAGAGCGGTTGTCTTTTGTGATCCCTGTTGATGTTGTCTAGCCTCGGTGGTTGAGAGGTGACTCCGCATAACAAAATGAGCAGAGAGAATGAGAGTCATACTCGAGGTACGTATTGAGCTATAGGTACAGAGCGACAGACAGCTTCCAATGATGATATAGACAGCTGCCGACAGCGAGTAAACGAGAGCAAACATCAATGAAAAACTCTGGCAAAGGAAAGGCTGCTTCGCTAATATGAAGTAGCAATATAAATTGAAAGTATTTCCGCTACTGCCATCAGCGCGTTGTAGACATTTTCAGGAAGATGAACTAGATGTGGCAGGAATAGGTCAAGAGTATGTGCTCGCGCGGGCAGTCAGAAATACGACATCAATGATACAAAAAAACATCAAAGGAGCTTCCATTTCGTTCTCAACAAAGTTTTGTGTTCAATCGAGGCTCAGAGACGCAAAAATGCGTCGTCTTCTTGGAACGATCGAGGCCGATGTAGGCAGCCGACAAGCGGCGATTGACTAGTAGGGTATGAAAAGTGGATTTTTTCTGCCGCAAATGCCACCGGCACTGCGACAGGGTAGTACAAGAACACATGATGATCCTTCGAGTAATATAGCAATCATGTCTGCAACGTCGACTGTTGGTTCGGGCGGTGTGCCGCCGTGGGTGTTTGGTGTAGCCCTCCAGAATGCATCATCCTTTACGTGCACGCTGGGCTTAGTTTTGCAAAAATGGGCGACTTCACGGGGAACTGACGTTGTGCGGTGGGTGTGGGCTTTCGGCTTCGCACTCTTTATTCTCGGCCAGCTGCTGATGCCTCCTGCCTTAACAATGGCGCCGCAGTCTGTCCTCTCCTGCCTAACGCCAACAACGCTACTCTTTAATTCAGTACTACGCATATCACGTCATAGACGAATACTTATTATATATTGATTCTAGTATTTGACTTTGTGTTACGTGTAGTTTCCAACATATTGAAGTTTTTTCTCAGGCTTAATGATCATGGAGGGCTAGGCATAAGCTGTATGATGACTATCGCCATGGTATTTTTTGATACAAACTACACGCGATTGCTCTCGACAAGAATACTAGCAATTTACGAAGTAGTAAAAAGTAACAGGAAGTTATTAAACTCGCGATGCTGTTGTAATATAGGTGACGTCCATATACTCAGATACCGACACCTAACCTACCAGTTTTTGACACCATGTATTTTGTCGGAGCGGTTCACAGCCTTTCACGCGTTGTCAATCCTCTTTATCTTCGTGGGATGCGTGGTAACCGTGCGCTTTGGTATGCATCCCGAAGCTGTTGGAGTGGAGAGTTTAGATTAAGGCTACCAAGCGAAAACCAAAATGCTGCAACCTGCACCCCTACAGCTCTACAGCTACAACAACATATCATGTACGTTAAAGATACGGCAACTACACGATGCTACAAGTAGCTGCTAGCACTACTTCTAGCATTTGATGATCCTGATGATTGACGAAGATGACTTCTCCAGCAGTTTTAGAGATTATTCATAGCAGAAAGATGTTCATCCATCGAAATGAACCAAGTACAGCATGGGTGGGGTACTTCTGGTTCACTCTAATTGGCTCTGAATCGCACACTGTACCTTGGTACTAGACCCCTCTTTTTAGCACTGGTCCTGGCCTCCCTTCTGGTCGCAGTGAGCGTCGCGCGACCCGTCCTTTCCTGGCGTCTGAGCGGGAAGCCCGTCGCTGCCTTGGCGCAAAAGGTGACTCCATTGCAATTGATCCTTCTGAGCACGATTTTTGGCGCAATATCGGTCACAAACACGAAGATTGTGTCCACGCTCTTTGCGGATGGGTTCCTTGCCGCGAGACCGACGAACGGAAACTCAGTGGAAAGCTCGCTTCTTCCACACCCGACGTCGACTTCTCCGGGGGATACTTCATCAGTTGCACGAAACGTGGTGCTGGATCCACAAGCGGGTGCGAATGTTCAGGGAGCGTTCGAGCAGCGACCACGCGGAATCGTCGCTGCAGATTCTGGCTTGTCGATAGTGACTGCCGCAGGAGCGTCTTCGAGTACGTCAATTGAACAAGCGGCGACAACAAGTAGCAATCCCCTTGCTTGGCTATTTTTGACACCAACGGGGCTCAGCGCGCTCGTGCTCATTCTTTTTGGAATTGCTGGCGTCGCGGTTTTTTCTATCTCGCTGCTGAATCTCTCAATGTTTCTCTTCAGTAGTCTTACGACAGTCACTCTAAACTGCGCTTTGGGCCTCGTGATGCAGCTGATCTACGGAGCAGTCTATTTCGAAGAGTACAAATTTTATTACGGCGGCATGATGGCGAAACAGGTTTTGAAATTACCGCTTCCTTTTACCTTCTCACAAAGTCTCTACCAAGCCTCCACAGAGTAAAACGCAACACTTCGAAATTTTGTGGCGGTACTAGCCATTACGTGGTCGGTGCGAGAAAAACATTATTATAAATATATTTATAATATATGTACCTGATATAATCGGTTACGGTTCTCTTGTTGTACAGCACGCATGCACGAAGTAGAGGACCTGTTGGAGAACGACCTCTTCGTAGGCTATTTTTCTCGACTTCTAATTCTATACGATGAGCACGGCTTCTGCGACACTTTGTGGCATTTGCTTTTCGCTGCTTGGCATGGGGTGTTTGTATTTGCAGGGGAAAAACGAGGAGGGCCAGCCTGACGGTCAGTCGTTACTCTCGTTGCAGTCTGGCAATGTTGATGATGAGAAATCAGCGTCCACCTCTCGTGAAGATAGCAGGATAAGTATGGAGATTATGGGTGGGGGCGGTGGCACTCCATCTTCCACGTCTTCCATCCTCTGTTCAGCAGTTTCGTCGTCCCCTACACAGTCCCGCGGTGTCTTTGCGTTGGACGCATCAGCTCCATCACGCAGCTCAGCCTGTCAAGTTCGTCTCTCGTCGGGTATGGAAGACGATGCGCCCACCACCAGTTTCTCGAAATTGGTGGATACGGAAGACCCCTCAAGTTAAGGTCAACATTTAGTACACCCCAGTACATCTCTTAAGTTGGTAGATACGGAAGACCCCTCATACTATCTTGTTTTACCAGTGGTAAAGGATGAGCACTAAGACGCATGATGATGGTGATGATAAGGTCAATAGTAAGAGTCCATCTCTCTCGGCATCTTAGCGCCCTTTTGTTCCCTTGTATTTATTCATGGGGAACAAAGGGGTCGAGATGAGGGGATTGAGATGGATAAAAGCTAAAGCTGACTCTAATCAAGGACACAAGACCCAAGTGTAGCACCAAAAAATGTCGGAACTAGACTGTCTTTGTCACGAGCTCTTGTTGTTGGTAGCGTCAGTCGTGGAGGTGTTCCACCAGTAGTTGGTGGCATTGGGCGCCCGTCCTCTAGCAATGAGCAGGGGTATACCAACATTCCCAACAGCACATCAAAACATCACATCCATGATACAACTGATGGGAGAAAGAAAAACTAGTTCTTGCAAGCCATTGCTACTTCTACAAATTCGAATTACTAATCATCTTCCTATCTGGTTCTTACTTAGGCGCTTCGACTTCCCAGTATTTATGCGCAAGACCACGCCTCTGTAGTTGAGAATACTGCTACTTGTCGTCGTGTCAACTTTGAAAATATTGATTGGTCTTTGTGACGGTACTGTGTTTTCGATGAAGTATTTCTTACATAAATTTCTGTCCTTTACCGATCTGTTGCGAATAAGCCATGTGACAGGGACAGCATTCTTCAGTACAGTTAGATCCATGTAAATTACCCGAGGACATACTAGAATTGATTGTGACTGAGAGATGAAAACTGTGGCACCAGTGTGAACTAGCATCGTCTGGAGGAAAATGAAACATCGAGTCTGTCTTTTGAGATTGAGAAGATGCCATTGCCATATCATCAGTCATTCATGCGAGTCCTCTCTGTCTCTTCAAATCTAACATGAAAAGAATTCTTTGAGACTGAAAAACTCAGAGGTGACGCGAGCTTGTTGATCGTCTGTGAGCGTGCTTTTTCTGTCTTCATGTCCTGAGGATCTGTGTCGGGTTGCCCGACGTGGAGAGGCAGTTCCAGGTAGAGTCAATCTGCTACTGAAACGATTCTTCTATTTAGTAGTCCTCATTTCGAGAATCGCAGCTATTTGTAAAAGCAGTAATCAGTCGTGAGAGTGTGAAGTCTACTTTGAGCGATAGACGACCCGGCTTGTTACTTCTTATCTCCCTCCTCGTCTTGCCTCTTGCACTTGCTTCCATAGGCTCATGTGGATGTGAAATTATGTTTCAATCTATCATAACTTCCATCAGTCTTCTTATTCTTGTTGACTGATAGATTTTTATCTCTTGCCGAATTTCTGTGTTACCTTCTACTTGCGCGTCACTTTGTTTGTTGAGACTTGCGGCTTTGGTCTGAGTGAGTAAGCAAATAACATCTGTGCTGAAGTTTCTGAGAGTATAAGTTCTAAGTTTGAGTAAAAAGAGCCTGATGAGGTGAGAAAAAAAAAGTGGCTACTTTATGAGCGCTTTTTTAGAAACGAAAAACATCTGAAAAAGTGAGTACTTGACCTCCTTCCATAACAGGCAAAGCAAGTTGCACAGTTTTTTTTCGCCTTAGGTTGAGAGGTGTGCTGCAAATCTTGCTTGGCTTTTGCCTTTTTATAAGGTGAAGGCTTAGGTAAAGCAGCCAGTTAGTTTTCCCACTAGTCAGTCTTGGGCTTATCCCTTCATGCAATATCTTTTGCCATCAGGAGCCTTTACTTTGTGAGTTGGTTTGTTTCTATAGTCCAACTCGAACATTTTTCAAACTAACTCGTCTAGCAGGACGCATCTAACTCAATAATTTTTTTCGAGTGAGCCCTCTTTGTTTCAGTCGACTTTTGGAAAGCGTATGCTGTTGTTAATCTTTTTTTACAAGTAAGTTGATGTATGCCAATGCCACCTATATCCAGTGTCAAGGGTAGATACAGCAACAGCAGATATCACATTCATTGACCCCAAAAAATGAGGGCGCGGCCTCAAGTTGGTGGTGATGCTCGTGCCGAGCAGTCCAACCGGACTACAACGTGGATGGAGCGGGAGGGAAAAGGCGATACACTCGCTGACTTTGAAAACAAAGTTGGTTGAGAGGCACTCATCAGATTCACTGGCAGCCCCCTTTGACGTGTCGCCCTTTCGAACAAATCGACTTTGTAACGCGGTACTTCGTCGGTGGGAGCACGATGCTGCTTTCCTTCGTTTCGCAAGCAGCAGGATAAGCGAAGAAGATGAAGAAGCGATCGAGCAGCAGGAGGAACGAGCCCCGAAAACGTGCCTTCGTGGACCAGGGCAAGAGTAAGCTTGCAGAGAGAACCTTTTCAGGCCGAGGCGGAATGAAGAGCGACATTGATAATGCGATGATAGAACAGGAAGCTGAAGCAGACGGACGCCCACGGATAGCCAAAGCGGAGGGTGAGGCTGCGTTCGGAGCCGCGGCTTCTACAACTCACGCATTATTTTAAGGATCCCTCTAATAAATCCATCTCCAGACGCATCTCTAAGCTGTTCCATAATGTTGGAAAACTAGATTCGAGATGGATCTCAAGATGGATTGGGTGGGCATTAATTATTGCACGATCTGCAGCACCACACCGGTACGGGGGGCACGGAGGATCGGGAGTCAATGGGGCTGGCCGATGAGCAAGACAACAGAATGGCGGCTGCGGAATGGGAGCCGGCGAACTATGTTTAAGGATATTGCGCTTCATCCATCCCTATTCCTACGGATCTCTCAAGCGTTCGTAGGCAGAGCCGACGCTACATAAAGAGACCGCTTATTTACAGGGATTGACCGGGGAGAATTCTTCTAATACAAAGGTGCGAAAATATCAGAGCAGACGAGCAACAAAAGAATCCGGCTAATACAGGGGGAGGGCCCGCCGCGCAAAAAAAAGCCGGGCAACAAGCATGCCGCCAAGGTGCATCACCACCGAAGCGTTTCTGTGTTGAAGCGTGTGAAGGAAACGATTTTGAAGGAGCACAGTGTGATCCGTCACGGAGATGCTTTGTGGTTAGTGTGCATCATTCTGAATTGTTGCGTCGATAACTGTCTCCTGATCGCCCACGCGTTTGAGCTGCAGCTCGCCACCACGGCGAGCCGCCTGCACGATTTCTAGCACGCTTTGCCCGGGAACGAAGTGCAGAGTCTTTACCTGATTGAAAGGCACCTGGCGTGGTTCGCGGGCGAGGTCACGCCGATCGACCCAACGGGTTCTTAGGACACTGATAGCGATGGAGCACTTTAGGACCAGCGAAGTCAAAAGCTACCTGGAAGACGTCCAGGACGCACTTGGAAAAGTGATCTCAAAATTGCACAGCTATTTGGTCGAATGCGAATCGCTGAGACAGGAACACGGAAATTACGTGGACGGCAATTTGAACAGGCTGTTCACTGCGCTCACGGTAATCACGGCGCTCGCATTCCCTGCGACATTGTTCAGCACCTACTTCGCAATGACCTTTATTGACCCGGACACGGGGGAGAGCGCCGTGTGCTTCGTCACAATGCAGCGCGGAATTGTCGTGTATTGGGGTTTGACTCTCTTCGCCCCCGTGTCCATGCTCCTGTATATTCAGCATAAACCGAAAGGGAACACCCGGCAGGATTTACTCTTAAGCCCGGAGATAATCTACCTACAACTAATGCAGCATCTTCTTGATGATTTATTTTTATTCCACCTTCCTTCCTCCCATAATATGTAGTTCTTGTTGATTTCTTGAAAAAAAATTTCAATAATGTCTTCTCCCGGATTGCAGCAGCGATTGTGGATTAGTAGAGTAGTCAACTTCAAGCCTTACACACATTCCAGCAGCCGACCAAAGCCAATGCCTTGGTCCAAGACTAAGTATATTTATGAGGACAACTCTGGGCGCTTCTGCTTCCCTGATTGTCTCTCTTCACCAGGAGTTGGACACATCTTGTAGCAGCAATTGAATCGATGTCAAAGCGTATCAATATCTCACGCTTCTAATACGTGAAGACGAAGTGAGAGCGATGGGAAAGGGCTCGCACCAAAGACCCTGCGAGTGCAGCCGATTGCTCGTATCGAGGAGCCGCGCATGGTGGAGGTAATGGATGAGAACGCACACAATGGATTTGATGGATGAGAACGCGCACGATGGATCTATTGATGGATAGGGCGGACTGCTTTATTGTCATGATGTGCACGACTAAGTAGAACTACAATCCTAGACTTACTATTTATCACGATGTTGATCAACATATACAAAGATAAATGCTCTTATTTTGTTATAAGTACTTTGTTTCTTGCATGGGGCTCCGAACTACGATAGTTTTTTACTTTGGTTTCCTTGCTAGACTGACAACTACTTGTTCGATGCATGCTTATTTTCTATTTTTTGAGACTCCTAATCGTCCTACATCAAACCGGACAACTCGGCTAATTCTTATATTTTCCGGGAGGGTCCAGGGTGGTCTATAATCTTTGTAGAGTTTGGCTTTCTAAACACAACTTTACGAAGAGAGTCACAGCAGACACAGACTCTTACCGAGTCGTCGAAGGTGCGTCTCTGGTGATAATGCGCACGGATCATCATGAAAGCACGAACTAAAGAAGGTCAACATGCAAAACATGCAGGGAAAAAGCGGAGCATCCTAGCTCTTCTAGACCAACATTTAAGTTTTAAAAATGCAACACTACGCTTGCGAAGATGGACACAGGAGCTCAGAGTCTGGGGTGCTCATTTTCATCAAGAGGAGGAGGAGGACGAAGGTTACTCATCTGATTCGTGATGAGGAGGAGGAGGAGGACGACGAAACGCTCATCTTGGTCAATCTAACAGCGAGCTATGTTGGTGTAGGTTTAGAAAAAGCTGTTTGATTTTCATACATATTTATTCCCTGCTTGTTCTTGAAGACAGAGGTTGAGGTTGCGTCACTGCGTTCCATTACGCTTTACGGCTCGGCTCATCGCGCTCCGTCGGTTTCTGTATTGTTATCATCCGTTTTCTCTGTATCTTCTGTGGTCTCCAGGCGCTGGGCTGTCATTCGGTCGTAATGGAAAAATACTGGGTTCCTATAATCGGTCGTTGCAGTTCTATGTATATCTATAATGTTGAGATGAAGTATAATCCTGAGATATCCGTCTCCTTGTTGATGAAGAGTCGTCCTAATAGTTGGAATTTCGAGCACCGAAGCTGGCTGATTCTGGCATCCACCCTTTCTACCTCCGCTCTCTTCCTGACTGTATTAATTTGTGTCTTGCTAATAGCTGGTCCATTTGCTACGTGATAATTCGAGGGCCGTCCCTTTTCGCTCTCTTTCCCTTTAACAAATCCCAAGTAACGAACGAATATTATTTTCGTATTATGGATATATATAGATTCGTTTTTATTAGCAGCCTCGCCACGCATGTATAGGTACCTAGTAGTAGTATACATCGCATGATAACATACTCAGAGAACTCTTCCAGGATCAAAATGGCGGACGGCACACCAGAGAACAGAGACGCGAAGACGGCCACACTCACTGGCTCGGAGACGCTGACAGCTCAAAACAGATCTGCGAATTCTCAGACAACATCTGGTAATCTGGTACGAGATATGTGCTGCCCGTGCCTCCTTTGGGGTTCGACTCGTGCGGGATTGTCGGTTACCGCAACAATCTTTGCCATGATCGACACTATTGCTGCGGCTTACACAGGCCTGAGCTTTGCTGCAGCGTGTGCGAACCGTAAAGATCTTTTTCTTGGAGAAGTAGAGCATGCTTTCGCGCTGATGCTTATGGCATTTGCCTACTGCTGCTGCACCTTCTTGCAGCTTTATGTCGCGGTTTGTTGTTGCGCTTGCTTGGGATATTTTCACCGAAGCCCTTTGCCGAGCATGCGACGAAGTTGAAATGGTGCCCCTGGGTCTTGTTTATTCTAACAATCATGGCAGGCCTCCAGGCTTTCAATCGCCTCGGGAATGATGTGAGGTTGTTGCGCGACGAGAACCGAAAACGAATGCTACCACCTTCTCGGGGACACTACCACTTCGTAGCAATCGACATAATAGTGGCGCTCGTGGTATGGCTGGGTCGAATCCCAAGCATTGCCTACCTCGATCGTGCGTTTAACGAAATAGAGTCCGGGGAGCCAATATCCACTGAGAGCGGGCCGATCGCCGCAAGCGCCAGAACTCCTACACGCACGGAGGTAGAAATTTCAGAAAAAGATGTGAACGCGGATGAGGAGGAAGGTGAAGACAACCATATTAATACGGAGAATGTTGAGCAGGATCATGATACTCAGACTCACTATGGAGCAACGACCACGACTTCTTCTGTCTAGTAGTTGGTGCCTTGCACTATCAGAGCTTAAATCATCTGTGTTGCGGCGTGTCATACCCCTGCAGGTGTGCTGAGTTGCTCACGGGGCCCCGCTGCGTCGGGTTGCGCCTTAGGTTTTCTGCAGGAGTCGAATGTACGGCTTCTCCGATAGATGTAGATTTGTGGCCGATTGTACGGTCTTATGCGCCCCCAGTATGTAACTTGGACCTTATATAGGTTAACTAATTGATTGAAAGGGCGGTGGCATATAGTCCTAACGCAAAAAAAAAAAAGCTATGGGTACTAAGAACAGTACCATCAGGGAGACACACATGACATGTGGGTGTGTGCTTATTTTCTTTCCGACACACGATCTTCTATTTACTGAATGAATTTCAAGACCAGTTTCGGCTACAACGGTTAGTAGAAAGAGGGAAACTGATCTACTATCTATGATGTTAGGCCAAGACTCTTGTCGTTGCACCATTTTATACTGGGGGTAGAGATTTGTCGTCGTTGCACCACCTTGTTAACAGGTAGAGATTTTTCGTCGTTGCACCACCTTAATGGGTAGAGATAGACTGGTCTGTTATGTCAGTTTCTAGTCGAAGACTGTTCACAACTATTTTACATCCACACGGTCATCTATCGACCTCGCCACATCAAGTGCAAGCATGGAAAGCTTCCAGAACAAGAACATATAGTCAAGGAGTAAACATATCTATCATGTGTTGACCGCGGGTATAATGATAATCCGAGAACAAGCTACTTACATATAAAAAGGTTTTTCTTCATAGTACAGCTAGCCGTAGCCTTAACGTACAAGCAAATATAATATGTGTGTTTCAAAAATTTCACAATAAATCACTGCGCAGGAGGACAAGTCTCCATCTTCTGGTTACTTACTACATTCACATTCATAGATCATCTTCAGCATACTTACTAGAGGACCACAAACTCGATGCTTCACACAACTCCACACGTCGATCATGGATCTTCCTTTGGTGTACTTACGAGCAAATGGTGCACCCCAAATCAGTCGTGCATTTATCAAGAACATTGTTGCATATGTTAAGCCATATTCTTGAAACTGAAACTGAGATTGACCATATCAGAGGCACACAAATGACGTGAGATATATTTACCACGCGGACATCCTGGCCCTCTCGCTCTTCGCGAGTGCTGTACTCGTGCGCCTTCGGTCGTAGTCTCGGGATCTGCTATCTCCAAACCTCCAAAATACCTCACACCTCCACTGCCTCCTGTTCTCTAGGTTATAAAAACTTGTTAGATCGTCCAGTCTGGTCATTCACTTTTCGTCCTATGTAAGTAGCGTTTAGTTTGTTCCATCACCTCACGCGCCGACCGTCTCTTCTACACCAAACCAATTATTGGACAGCTCCAACCTGCTCGAATTAGATTTCTTTTTTGTTTGCTGGAGATGGTGACCGTTACCGCCGAGTGTGCCTCTGCTTTTCTCTGCCCACAGAGAAAGAGCGGAGTGTGGGTTGAGGCACAGAAGGCATTTGAGACACCGGGGATCGCGCTTAGCTCGGCTCACCAACTCCATCCACATCAGTATCAGCAGCATGAAAGTTGTAGCGTACGACTATCCTCGAGAGTAGAAAGGACACAGGCCGCTTCGTCTTTTCTTTCACAAAATACCACGGCCGGTGGCCGGGGTGGGGCCGCTCCGGCTCAACAGCGGCGCATAGCTTCTACTGCGCACCTGCAATATCCGGCCACGACTGCGAGCACAAGGATCAGACGTCATCGCACCCAGAAGATAGCCTTTTTTGATACGAGCTCACAAACATATCTTCTGCCACTAAGAACAAAACAATCCAAGCGTGGTGGGTCAAGTCAATGGTTGACATCGACTGTGTCACGGGGACGTGAGGAGCACTGCAATCTTCATGCCGCATCAATGAGGCCACCGTCCGCGAAGTCTCTCCTTTGTGGATCTACCTCCACCTGCTTTGCCGACGAGACCCCACAGCATCCGCACGAAGAGACCGGCATGGAGCGATCGTTAGCTCATGGCCGAGTGAGTATCGAAAGCGAGGCGAGTAGTTATCCGTCGAAGCAGCTCGACCCGTCCGCCCCCAGTGCTGGCTTTTTTTCAACACAGGCCGCCTTGATGTCGGGGAACTTCAACGAGTCCAAAAGCTATGGTCGGTCGGAACCTGTTCCGGACTATTTTCGTGGGTCGCGGAAGTCGTCGGTGCTGCCGAGCGTGCTGCAGCAAGCAGCCTCGAGTCTATCGCTGTCGTCGAAGCAGGCGGGATCTTATCGGGGAAAGCTCCGCGAAAGCAAGGGACCCGACGTGCTTGTGCGGGGCACGGAGGATGGCACACGACCCGGTGGCGGTTTGAACTGGACCTACAAGGCAAATGAGGCCTTGTTGAATTTACTGCAAAACGCGCCTGAGATCGCTGCGGAAAAAGTAAAAGTACTGCGCAAGCACTTCGCGAGCTGGGAAGATAAGGTTTTGTTTTCGCGGAGCCCAAAGTGGAAAGACAAAATCGACGTCGCGCGACTGCTAAGCGCACCCTTCACAGACCGACACGTGGACGATCCACACAAGTTCGTGTTCAACATGGTCAACGAACTCGGGCCCGACGTGGTGGCGAGGTCGACGGGTGCGCTGCGACTCTACAGGCAGCTGGGTTTGTACGCGGTCGGACAAGCTTATGACCTGGCACAAGACATAAAAAACTTTACGACGGGTCCGCTCGAGATGGTGCGCGATGTGGGGCAAGGATTCCTGAATGCCCTCAACATCGGTGAGGACGTGAAAAATTTGCAAGCGATGGTACAGTCTGGGCTTCTTTCGCTAGCACGGGATGCAGCCGCGTGGCGCATCCAACCGCAAGCGCTAATGGCGTGGCCCGCCTATTTCTTTCTGCAGGCTTACCGTCTGTCGCAGACGCCGGACGTGCTCGCTCGTCATTCTTACCATTTTGGCGCGAAGATCATGAAGGATTTTGCCTCACCAAGTATTTTGGAAACTGACCTGTTTGACGTGCGCAAGTGGAACTGCCGACCAAGAAGGGGTTCTCGTCAGGAAGTTGCATCTTCATCTTCTGGGCAGACCGACGGCTCGGACTCACCTCCAGCGCTTCTACGTGCAGCAGACGCAGCAGCCGGCGCTGTCGGCGAGGCGCTGCAACGGCAACTGGGGCTGGACGAGGGCCAGCCCGTGGCGCCGCAGGACATTCTACGCGTGCATCCGAGCATCACATTCCGCGCGCCGCAGCATCTCGTTCACGTTCGGCTGGAGGAGCTTCAAACTTCGGGCACAGCTTCGCCACCCCCGTGCGGGGTGTACTGGGACGCTGTCTACGACCTGAAGGGGGCTACGGAGCTGACGCACGAGGAGATCCCTATTGGCGGGGAGTGGCCGTTGTTTGCCCACGTTTGCCGTCGACCCTTGGAACCGCCACGCCGCTTCACGCAGTGGATTGAATTTCTCTCGCCGCGAGAGGTTGTGGACGAGTGGCGAAATCCCATGGCGCAACGCATGAAACATGTGCTTTGCGATGGCAAGGTGTGCCGCGTCGACAGTGCTGTGCACCCGGTTCGCCCAGCACCTCCTGGCGTGTGCAGCGCCGACGGCCGACTTCTTCAGGTCGCGGCCGCGGGCGAAGAATCTTCGAAAATGATGGACGGCAAGGAGGAGAAGATGGATTACGTAGGAAAAAGGGGTGATTGCAACATGTGTAATCGTGAAAACTTGCCGAATATGATGCGATGCTACAGCGAAAGCGAGCGCTTTTCTTGTCGGCCTGGGCAGACGTGGTTCCGGAACTACATAGACGACACAGGAGGAGATGACGAGGATCACGGAAAGCAGCATGCTGATCCGATTAAGCAGCATGAGTACACCACGCCGCCAATTGCGAGTCTGGAGGACCTCGCAAAACGCCGTCACACGCTCGAGGTGAAGCGCTACCTTGCCGGAGAGTGTCGTGTCCGAGGGTTACAGCGTCAACAGGAAGTAGGGTACGTTGGCTGGTGCAACGCGAATGCGGATGGAACACCGGGTGTGGCACGCACTTTCGTGCTACGGGTCGACAACGGGGACCCCAAAAATCTCATTGCGTCAGCGCAAGTCACCTACTACGATAAAGAAAGTCTTCGCAATTCCTATGATTTTCTTTCCGTCGGAGGACTCGCTCATGCGTCCGACGAACGTCAGACGCACGAGGTCGTCCAACAGTGAGGACCATCAACGAAGGTCAGCGCGCTTTTTTGATGATGATGATGCTGACGGAGACAATGCGCAGGCATACAAACACATGTAAAGGACTTTACTTTGGCGTTCGTGGAGAATCGCCATGAGAAAGAAACGAAACCCATCTCTTACCTCGCCGTGCAGCCGATCGCACACTAGCGTGCAGCCGTTCTCTCTGGCGCTTCTACTTGTGTGTTCATTTAAAAGGCTTATAAAGTATCCTTTCATTTCGTCAGGGCCCAACACGAGACTAGCGTGGGGTAGAGGTCAGCAAGTCGTGTCGCAAGAAATGATAATTTGTTTCGGGATCTGTTTCATGTAGAAGTTGACGCGCGCTCAGTGAGAGAGACTACAACGTGCAATTACAAGTATGTTTTCAACAAGTTTTCGTTGCAGTTGCACCGTGGAGTGAAATGAGGGTGTTCGTTGTAGAGAAGACGTAAGTAAAAGTATCTACACACTGGAGGCACGAAGATGTCTTCGCACGTTGTTGAGAGCGACCTTGCTAGCCAGGGCGAGATGGCGGCTGCCATCGAGCGTGGACAAGATGCGAGGGAAACTGTTGCGCTAGACGCGTTGCGATCTGCGGGGCGCGCTCGACTCGTCGAAGCTGAGAATGCGCGCCTCCGGACTCTCGTTGCAAAACTGACTGGCGAATTGGAGCATCTCTCGCAGCTCTATCAAACGGAACGCACGTCAAATTTTGCGGTGGCCTCCACGCTTTCCGCAGTCCGGTCGCCGCCGCAGTTGCCTGGAGCATCTACTCTTGGTCCACCCACCAGTTCAGGTGGAGCAGGAGGTGGCACCTTCAACACGGGAGGAAACGTTCAACATTTATTTCATCACGGTGCAGGAGCTCAGTACGGACCTTCATCTTCGTCCTCGTCACCCCATGCTGCTGCCGGAACCAGCGGTAGCACAAATTATCTTCAAGTCCGGCGATCCTTTGGTGCGGCAGATGGAAGCGGATTTGGAGGCAACGCGACTGCGACTCTTGCTACCATTAAGGCATTGATCGATCTTGTGTGGACGTGGAGGGCTAGGCTGAGTTCTTGGTTCTCCCTGAGAATTTAAGCGGGATTTTGAAGGGGAGATGAAAGGGAAGCCACCCGGGGACCGACTCAGCCACGAACTCAAGCTTTAATCGTTGCAGCCCTCGGAGTGCATTGCTGCCCCCACCCGGTCTTTTTCAAATGAATTCTTCGTCTAGTACAAATTCGTCTCCGTCGGCGATGATGCACGCGACGAGCAATCTTAACATGCACCAGAACTTCCGGCATCAGAGTCAGCCCACATCCTCGACAAACCCAGGGCCATCTTTGAGCCGTTCAGTGGCAGTGCAGGTGACGGATTTTGAAGACGAGGCTTTGAAGATTCGTGCGGCAACAGAAGATTAAGGTTGCCCCTAATTCTTGTCAAATTCTTCCCCATGAGGTTGATGTAAGTATTTCCAGTTTGCTGTTCATTCGACTCAAAGAGAGCAGTGCTGTGCACTGATTCTCATTTTATTTCTCCTTGCTACAAGAATTAGAATTATAGACGTGATTTTGAGTTGGATAAGGAGAGCGAACAGAGATGACCACAACAGACTTCTACGCATTCTACTTCTGCAACAATAAATATCATACGATCTAAAGAGCAGGTCTCTGTCGGCAGCTGTCAGCTAAAATCCGTTTGCTCCGACAGCAAGCAAGTGAACGGGAAGGCAAGGTGCGGGAAACCTATTTGCTTCAGCAGGAGCTACGCCAGCAAGAGCGAGAAGCCCGAGAACTCGAGAAGCAGCGGGCGATAGAGGAGACGCAGCGCCTTGCGCGGGAATACGAATTGCAAACCATGGAAAGTTACGAGATCTTCAAGAGAACTGAGGAACTCTTCTCATTGTTCTCCTGTCGTTCTAGCTAGACTTCTTCGAGAGGTGATGTAAGTATTCGGATTTTTCATTGAAAACAAAACTTCTGGGCTTTAGGGACACTTGCCGACCTACCTAGCTAATATGTAGCGGACCTCGCATCGCAGTATTACCGGGCTTGGCTTCGGACGCAAGAAGAGGCGCGAGACATGATGCGGATTCTTCGCGGTCTGAAAAAAGATATCGAGACTTGGAAACGTAAATACGAAGTGGCGCTCGAAAGAGATCAGGTAGAATCAATGCTTTTGAAATCATTTTTCTTAGTTGAAGTTCACGTTGTTACCTCAAGCAGTGCATATCATTGCACAAGATACAAAGAATTTTTTCATTTTTTATATATAAGAAGAATTGTTTCCTGAATTCTAAGGCCAATGAGATCATTGGTCTTAGTAGAAATTAATTGGTTCGTTGATTTCTATGTAGTAATTAAGGTATGGTGATTTTTCCTCGACCTCGTCTTAGGTTAGTCTCGTCATCCAATATACTTATTTATATCTTGAAGATGGTTTGTGCTGTTGATAATCATGTTTGTTGTATCTTCTAGCCCATTATCAACCATCGTCGATCAATCCTTGACTTTGATCTGTAGTTTTGTGATTTTCCTTTGCGTCGAAGCTAACAACAAACAAATAGAAATTCCGTTTTATCATTTTCTTCTTCAGGAGCGGCAACGCGTGATCAAGAGTTTGGAGGGTGACGCAGCAACTCTGCTAGAACAGATTGCCGAGGCACGTCGGAGAGAGCGCGAGCTGAGCGGGATGCGGCACGAAGATGCCGATGTTGTCACGGATGTCGAATTACGCGAAGCCTTTCCTCATGTGGGAAAGATCACCAGCAAATCATCTAGAACCTTGACACTGTCCTCGGAAGCTGAAGGTAGTGTCAACGAGGAGGGTGAGTCTCCTGTGAATGCCAGGGGGTTGAATTTTTGTCCCGAAACTAGTACGACAGGTTCTGAGTCTGTAGTTGGGAGTCTCTTTCGTGTCACTCGGGAGCGCCTCACGGGTTACATACAAGCTCGGAAAGACCACGATGAGTATCGGCGGCAGTGCTTGTTTTGCGAGGTCGCCGACAATGCCTTGGTAACGCAAGGAGCATCGGACGTCCAAGGAGCAGAAGTTCAAGTCAATACCGACGAGAACTTGAGGGGAACGGGAGCGACAAAAGTTAAAGCTTGCACAAATCCATCTTCTTTGGAAGCGTCCTAACTAACAGCGTTGATTCTTTTGAAGGGAAAAAAGGTTCCATGCTGCATGATTTCAAGAGGGATTTGTGGAAGGTCTAAAAATGGATGGTCTTCCGATTTCGGACGTGACCCATATGATGCAGACTATGATGGTTCAGCCGAGAATGGAGGTTTACTGACGGGCGGAAGTAGTGGAAGTTTAAGCCTCATAGTATACATAGTTAGTAGTTCCCACAATCCAAACTTTAGGAAGCGTCTCGAGAGTAATTGTTTAGTGTGAATAAGTTAAGGAAACTATTGAAGGTTGATATATCCACTATCGTCTAACACAACAACACAATAGTAGTTCATGTTAATTTCGTCCTCCATACTAGTGCATCTCTTCTTGAGGTCATTCATTTCTTATTTGCAATAAAATTCATTTGTGAAATAGAAATAAAAATGAAACAACTTATGATTAAAATTACTATAGAAATGAACTTCAAAGTATGTACTTGGGATATTAGAAACAACAAGGAAACGGATTTTTGTTGCCACTCCTAAAACCGGGTTCGACAAATGCAGCGTCAACTCAGACGAGTCTGGAAATGCTTGCGGGCTATGTCGTCACGAGCTCGGAGCTTCTGCGGATGTTGCACAGTGCGGGTGTAGCAATATCTTACAACTATAATGGGTCTTTAAATTTCTATGCAACGTCTATCACCGGAGGAAGCCAGCCGTACCAGCAATTTGCAACATCGAGTGGTGCTGGGGTAGTGCAGGTGAGCTCTGTGATTACGGCTAGCTTTTGTTTTTCAATGTCATCATCTACCACTAAGCGTGTGACAACTGTGGGCGGCAGATATTCTGAACAATGAAAATTCTTTTCATCTTCATCGTAGGTACGTAGGAAGAACGAGAATTGAAGGGGAAAGATGAAAGTACTTCACTCGAGCACGGACGCTGCAGTTGCTATGAACAGGAGCATGCAGCATGATCATCAAGAAGGTCTCTTATACTATATGACATGACTCAACCACGGAAGACGAGAGATTCATTCATCTAAAGTGAGCACGAGCAGCGGCCAAGGCAGAGCATTAGGCGTAGGAAAAACTATGAGTTTATCACCTTCGAAGTATTTAGGATCATCTTCTCCATCTTCTCCTGGAGTTGGCGGGTTCACAGGAGGACGATTCGGTGCATCTCCCGCGACTGCAGTAGATGCTCGAAAAACAAAGTTCGTGCATGCCGTAGATAAAGTGAAAGCAGTCCAGCGATTTGGAATATTCTTCAACGCGAATCCGCAGCAAGGAGGGGCAGCGAGCAGTCAGCAAGTTGTAGGAGGTGCAACGAATCAGGGTACTATCACAACTGCAGCGGAACCTCCGCCTCCCATCATCTCCACTGCACAAAGAAGTATGTCTCCAACTTCGCTCGGAGTCGGAGTACACCTCAGCAATATGGGTATCGCGTCGGCGCAATATCAGAACTTGACAACTCAACACAATATGTCTCCTACCCCTGGTGGCACGCAATCAAAGATGGACCAAGCAAGCAAAGCCGCGAACCAGAGTCAACATGCAGCTTCATCATCTGCTTACAACGCGTTTGCTACTACTACTTTCAAGGTGGAGCAAGAATCAGGATCCGTTCTGGCCTCGCTGGGGGTCGGCATAGGACCAATGCCTCAGCTAGCAGGTTTAGGGTCCTCCGAGAATGTCGATGGACCTGCTTCGACGAGACGGGGAAGCAACGCTGCCAGCCCGCCGCGTGGCCGAGGCAAGAGAAGCAAGATGGCGCAAATAATTCAAAAGCATCGCGTCGTCAAATCCTTCGTGGATGCAGCGAAGAACACATGACGATGACCAGAACATATAGTTTATTACATGGTCTTCTAATAATCTTCAGGTTTAGTGCCTCGTCATATTGTCCTCACACAGGATCAAGAAGTCTCAACGCAGCACATATTTTACTTGATTGAGTACTAACAAGTTTGTAAGATAAATAAAGCACACTGATGTGGATAAATGCACATTGTTCTGGAAAACACGTGTCAGTCCTTATCATATTATTTACGGCTGCAACAAGTTCTGAGTTCTACGCTCAGAAAGATTTTGTTTGTTTGAGAAGATATAAAGTACTTTGGTGTTCCTCTGTCCACCTCATTATTTGAGTTGAAATAGTTTCGAAGACTAAGTAGTACTTAAATCTGTTGTATAGATGCTTGAGATCTAAACAGTCATAGTATGTGCATTATGCATGTGCAACTAAAGTTATGTTTTTCTTCAGCTGACTCTACGGGCTTGTCTACGATGGGTCGTGCATAATAAGGAGCTTCTGTGCATGGAAATAGGGCTACAAGCAAGTATATGTAAAAAGATATGCATGGTCGTCTGACCCATTCTTGCACGATGGACATATTAAGTACTCGGAATATATGTCTTGTCTGAGACATCATGATCATGTTCATCTGCGATATGCTATGGCGGACGCGGAGAGAGAGGACCGATTGTTTACGTGGGTGTCTCTTCTAGAAACCGTAATTGAGTCATGATTGAATACTTCTGAGTCCCGCCACGACGACGACGGCCGAAGTCGCCCGTGCATCACTGTGAATATTTCTATGATGCATCTTTGAAATTATGAATCGAGATGATGTTAAAGCAAAAATGGTGTTGCATCGACCTCAAAAACATGACGAGTCGTTGGAGGAGAGGTCGATGCTTAAAAATCATAAGGTTAGCAACCTTTCTGTCCACGAATTGCCTGCTCATTGCAGCATTGGCGTCCAAGACTCAGAACAAAGTTGGACGGAAGACAAGCACGACGAGTCCGGAAAGCGCTCCAGGAATCGCCAGTGAGATTATCGGCGATGCCGGAGCAGCGACATCAAATGCAACCTCTAGTGCCAAAAAGAGGATCCAGAAATTATCGTGCACCCTTGACGACGGAAAGAGGTCTTTGTCGTGGCTACGCTCCTTATCCTGGGACGCTTTAGAGGCCATCCAAAGATGGCAGGTCGACTTTCGCTTTGACACAGAGCGCTCCCCAGCGCATCGTGCGATACAGCGCTTTGTTATGCCGTCAACGGTCACTACGGGCCCTGGTGGCGTTGATGGTCTTGACCTTGTTGAGGAACATGATGGGCAGCATGCTCCTGCAGACGTGGCAAAGGAGCTGACAAGCCAGCTAGACAACGCGCACAGGCATCAAGAATACACATCTGTATTCAATTTTTTGATCACCAGGAGAAGTATCAGGATCATTTCGACGTTTCTTCATTGCTCACGCACCCTGTCAGATGATCAGAATTTGTGCGTAGGTTCTAGTTTCTTCCTTTGTTCTGTAGCTGAAGCAGACTGTATACTTCCTTCTTTCAGCACGCAGTCTCTTCTTGACTGTGATATCATTCGAGGCCGTCATAGAAGTATGTTGAAATTGAAAATAGTAATAGATTGTAAACGAACATGCTCGTCTAGGTACCTGGGTGAGATGGTGAACGAGTACGAGTCTCTGTTGGCAGCGAATCCAAGTTATGTTGGAGACCTCCTCACGGACAGGCTCCACGATTTTGCCGGCTGCAAGGACGCTCTGGTAGGTGCTCAGGACGATCTGGCAGGTTTACCTTCAGGTGCTCAGGACGACTCTTTTGCGTCTTCTAAACGGTGTAAAAACGAGGGGGACGAAGATGACTTTCTCCAGGATGAACACCAGTACCAGCACGGCAAAGTAGAAACGAGGGTGCAACACCTTACAACTGCAGCAGCAACATCACAGCGGGGAGAAGATGAACGTGAGCCACATCTTGTTCAGAATGACGTTTCACGCTCATTATTTTGCGATTTTCTTCTGCTCTTTGCATTGGTGATTGAGCGCGAATTTGCTGGTCGTGGCGATCAGCAGATGCAGGTCCTCGGCTCCCTCGTGGAGATTTGGATGCTCCTCAAGCAGCAAACGATTTGGCCAGCCATGGGCCTCTTCGATCATCACCCAGAACAAGATGTGGCAGTGGAACCTCCTGTGGTTGATACAACTGATCAACAAATAAGGATCCTTGACATGACGACCACGACGAGCGCTAATCCTCGCGCCACTCCTCCACCTGAAGGACAACTACATGTAGATGTCGTGGATTCGCCGAAAAAGCGCGCGGCCTTCGTGCTCGGACGTCTCACCCATGCACGATTGTATGTGGATTACGTCGCTGCGTACTACGAGGGCTTGTCGGCACAAGGCGTGGCAGTGGCTTCTGCGACTACCAGCGAATTGTCGTTTATAGGCGAAAATTCCGAACAAGAAGTGAAGGAGCAGGAAGTCAAGCACGTGTTTTTTGCGGCTCTCGATCGCCACCTCCTGAAGAAGGAACAACTGGCGGCATCTCTGACTACAGATCCTGGAGCCATTGCGGGTTCCTATCTCTTTCTCTCGTTAAGGCAACCAAGGGACCATCCTCAGCATCATTCCTGGGCTCTTTTTCAAGGGGAGATGAAAGGGCCCAAGGATGGCCTCGGGGATGCAGCTACGCGGTAGCTCTAATCTCAGTGAATCTCGCACAGTCTTTGTGTCATGACTCAGGGAGCTTCTTCTTTCCGCGAATGCAGCAAGAGGACGCTCTTCACGCAGATTTTCAGCGCAAAAAGAGCGTGCGGAGTACGCGCCTCACGCAACTCAATCTCTTGCGCATTTTTCTCACAAGGCACGTAGACGACACTCGTAAATTTACACGAAGCTTTCCTAGGCTCGTCGTGGTCTCGTCTACTACTTCTATAGTACGTGGTCCAACTACATCTTCTACCTCACAGTCATCTCGTTTTCAAAGACACGAAGAACAGCTGCAGGATTCAAGAACACCAAGAAGCACCTACAACTGGGATCCACGTGCTTTTGTCTCCCTTCTAGCAGAGGCAGTCAACGCTGAGATGTTTTTTGGCATCTTTCCACGTCAAAAATTTTTTGAACCGGTACTCGAGAAACTGCGTTTGGAAGTTGCTTTTTTATCGAGTGGCATTCAGAAAGCTCAAGAAAAAATGTCCTCCAGTGGAATTGTTCAGGAATCTTCTCGTCCAGGCTCTTCCTCTACTAAGCTGCAGACTTTGTCTTTGGATCGCCTTGTGGCATTTCGTGATTTACTATCCTGTGTCCGAGCTCGATTACAGTCGGTTGAGGACTCTGCGACGCAGATTACGAGCAGCAAGATAAGCGTCCGAAGCGGGGACGTCGTGCGTGGACGAGGACTGGACAAAAGCGCTCATCTTCATCCAGATCATGACAAGCCAACAGTAATAGCTTCCAGAAGGACTACGTCCTCTAAATCGGAACTCAATGTACAAGCAGAAAAATTAAAGATGGATGCGCTGGCGTCTTCATTGTGGGATTCCGAGTTTGATGACTTTATTGCGCCGGCTCGAATTTCATACGGCGGCGAAAGTCTAGATTCCGTGGTTTTGCGTATTTTTCATCGTCTCAGTGCTGTTGACAACTCCCGAAAAAAAGATGCAGATACAAGTGGTACAACTCGCGGATCTCCTGGAAGTAGCATTTCTCATTTGTTCGGACGTCGATTTGTTGTCATGGGTGTCGGCCCCGCAGGAGTCGAGCACTATGCGCGCCACTTGAAGCAGTTTTACGACTGGAGCGGCGTCCTGCTCGATGCCGGCTTTTCGCATCCGCGCATCGATTACTTGTATAGCGCTCAACTACATCATATGTAAACTGGCTCGAAATCAAAGAATTAGAATCGGTTACATCAAACACAAACGTTTTGCGAGCACGTTAGAGTATTTTGTTCACTATGATCTTCATTTAATACCATTGGTGTTATCTAAAACGTTCACATTGATTACCGTCTCATCCATTTTGTTGTAGTTTGCGTTCTAAGATGCTACGGAATTTGTGACTCCGCAAAATGTAGGATACCTTTTGGGTGAGAAATATGGACGGGTAATTTTTGGTCCGACTCCGACTCAGAACGAAAACGATGAGCCGCCGCGTCTTGATCTTTTGGCGATTTTGATAGAGGGAAGCGAGTGGCACGTGCTAAAAGCCCTTCTTGCCGACCCTAGGAAGTTTCTCCACCCCCGCGTCGTAGTAAGCAACCACATTCATGGTTTCATGTTATGGAACTTGATAGACGAAACCTTGGTGCGCGATATTTTGTTTTCTATCCTGAATGATTTGGTGGTCAATGTATTCTCACACAAATAAATTTTTTTTTTTTCTAAGAGAGTAAGCAGCACAAGAATCTATTTTGACATCTAACTAGTCGCCCAGATCATCACGTTCCCTGGAATCTCACGCTGGTGCCTAGACTAGAAGTGTTCCGTGAAAACCGGCGCAAGAAAATGGATGAAGAGGAGCAGCAGACAGCGCCAGGAGCAGTTCAACACGACTACAGGAAGTTGTATGGGCCAAGCGTGCGAGCGCTGCAGCGGTTGCTAGGCTCCTTCGGATACGCGCTCGTCTATGTGGGTTTCTACACTGCAATCTTCGTGTTGCGCAGCGAATGGAGTGCTTCTCAACAGGTTGGCGACCACGATGGAGCTCCGAATTATGCTTTGAAAAATAAACTTCGTCGACTAGCACAACATGGAACAGAGGAAGATGTCCTTCGCCTGTGCCATCGTTTTCAGAAGACGCAACGATTAGATCGGATGCTTCCACACATAGCTGGTTTGGATATGTGCTCCGATGTGAAAAATGTTGTCGGCTATTCCCGCAAGGAATTCAGAGACCACTTCTTATCGCCAGCTGAGGTGGAGGCAGAACTTTTCCACCTGTCGAAAGTGACATCACATCTAGTGAATGATAGTCGGGTGATTCATCATGTTGAAGAAGATGTCATTCTCAGTCTCAGTGGCCTCAGATGAACATGACTGTGAAAAGCTGTGTGAGACGGGCATCCATTGTGTAAACGACATTCTTTGAATAATCCGGCTACAACGAGAAGGAACGACGTAGGAAGCGCCGTCTGTCATTTATATATTTATTGTTGGATTGTCAGTTATGACGATCGTTCGAAACAGTGTCTTCTTTCTTTCTGAAAGTGTCGGGCGTTTGGAGTGAGAGAGACGACGAGAGTGAGAGCTCGAGTTCGATTAGTCATAAAGAAACAAAAGCGCCTAAAAAGGTAAATATATCGTTGAGTGTTTTGTTTGGTTGGTGGAAGGAATCGGCTAAGAGAAATCGTCTGTTATTTGTTTGATGAGACTTTGTTTGTTTTTCCATGGCATGGAGGCTGGAGTATTTAATTATTTAAGGTCATCGTTTGATTAACATGAACTTGGATAATTGAATAAGAACAAAACCAACATTAATCTAATTCAAACACATGACTCGATTCTCTCTTCTTTCCCACCCAACCCAAACTCTTTGCTCATGACTCTCTCGTTTTGTTTACTTTCTCCAAATGACATTTAAATTACCATTCACTTCACTGTGGTATTTAAATGGCTCAAGATCTTGTTTCTGAGAATCACTTTGATTGGAAGAACATCATCATGATAAGTTTGAATTGAAATATGATTTGAAAACCATTTGAGAAATACAACCAATAAAGTTCCAATGTCTACTTGATCTTCATCGCAAGAAGATCAATCTCGAATCCGCACGGTGTTCACGACTCCACACCCGACACAGAGAGATCTTCTGGTCTGTTTCTCGGTCCTTCGATCACTTTCGACAGTGGCAGCAGGAGAGGAGGTTTCGACGATCCACCGCACGACCGGAAATTCAATATCGAAACCAGCATGGCTAGCAGTAGCGGCGCGAAACGATCGAGACACGAACTATCCGCATCAGAGGAAGAAGCCTTGGTAACAGGAGAAGTTGCACAGCCAGATCAGAGCGAGCAGCTTCCACCTTACTCTAGTGGAAACGCATCCATACAGGATCCAGACGAAGGTGCACCAGGGCCATCAGGCCACAACCCGAGGTTGACGGACGCAAACATCGTTGGAGGTATTATGAGCCCTACCTTCAACAACGCAGCACATCCGCAATTTGGTGCGCCTCCAAGTCAGAGACCAACGCTTCTACCACCTGGACTTACTCCGAGTCCAGTACAGCCAGTACCACCAGGATTGCCACCACAACTCCCTTCAAATGAAATTGGTGGTACAAGCGGAGCAAACCAGAACACGGACCCACGAAGATCCCACGGACAAGATCTTCCGTCGAGATTTGATCACGCTATCGCACAAGAACTAATACGCTCAAGAGGACAACTAGCACAAGGAGTAGTCCATCTTGGGTCTCAGAATGAGCAACTCAATGCCGAACAACTCAGACAAGCTAGTCTTCTTCATTCGGTTGACTCCGTTCTACAACAAGGTGAAGAAAACTTTCAACGTTTTACTTCCGCGGCAAATCATAACTTCCAGCACAACATCAATCAGGTCAACGGAAGAATTGAGATGAACGGACAGACGCTTGCTGGATTACAAAAACAAGTAGTGGAAATGCAGTCGAACCAACAGCGTCAAGAAGAACTAGCAACACGTTTCAGCCAGAATGCTCAGGAAGTGCAGATACTGCGTGGACAGATCGATAATCTCACTCAGCTGATTGGGAATCTGCAGATCGGAGCAGTTGGAGGAAAGGGTCCACAAAATGACAACGGTGCCCAGTTTCGAGCTTTCGCTGTAGACAACAATGGAAGACCACAACCGATTCCTGCAGTACACTTCAACATCGGAACTGGGAACCACAGTGGACAAGGTACTCCTACGGTTGACGGTTATCACAACACGAGAGCACCTCCTCCAACGCCAGGCTCTAGATGGTTCTACGACTATGGTTTTGGTGGAAATGGAAAGGGAAATGGAGGACCACCTCAACCACCGGTATGTGTCGTCTGTAGTGTTGCGGGACATGTTGCAGCAAACTGTCCAACACTACGCCAAGATCAGCACGGAGGTAACCATGTAGTCAGATGTTTTCACTGTGGAGCCATTGGACATACTGCAGCGCATTGTCCTCTTCGTCCACAGCAGACATGCAATCATGGTTCGGGCACACAGGGTGGACAGAACAGCCACTTCTTTGAAGGAATTCCACAACCTGGCTTTTACCGTGCAAACATCCTAGGTGACCATCTTCCGATTCGTAACACTGTACGACAAAACGACGATGGCGCCGTGAGGAAGAAACTATGGGACTTCCAGCACATCGATTTCGAGTCGAAGTACATGGAGGACACCCAAGGGCTACGAGCACCTGCTAATCTAGTGAGGAAGATGAAAGACAAGCTTCCAGAAAGAAATCCTCCACGCCGAGAGCACTACAAATCAGTAGTAGAGTTTTTGTCTGCTCTAGAGAATTATCTTCTTGAATGTCTAGCAACACCAAGTGGAACTGCAACGGACGCATACCTATTTCCATGGGAAGCCGAACAATCGATCATCGAGCAGATTCTCTTCGACCACGACAAGGATTCGACCAATAAGTGGCGAAATGTCCTCACCGACCCAGTCAAGAAGAAGCTACGAGTCATCGGTTTTGACCTAGTCGAGCGGGGAACTCTGACGTTCAAGAATCTGCGACATCGTCTCTTCGAATGCTTCGGAGATGATTTTATCATCAACCGCACCGAAAGAGAAGCATATCTCAACTTCCGCAGGCTTCCTGGTGAGAGCGAGGCGGAGGTGATCAGAAGATTCTGCGAAGTCGCACTCAAAGCTGGACCAGACTACAATCCGTTCCCTGCTCACAAAGGAGCCAGAGACCGAGTGTGGCAGGACTTCAAGCGATGCGTACATCCTCCTCTGTCTGAACAACTAATCCGAGCAGTACTGACTGATCCACTCTATCGACATGTCAATCAGGGGATCGTTCATTTTGGGCATCTGTTGGAGTACTTGTCGATTACAGAGCAGGCAGAGCAGACGGCCAAATCGTCCAGGGGGAACATGACCAGCGCAGGAGCTGTGAGTGAACAAGTTGCTTTTGTAGGACAAGCTGAGGCCGAGGGAGGAGCTTCAAGCTCTCATGGAGAAGAGGCGTTCGCGGCACGAGCAAACCCAAAGTCTAGTACAGCTTACGACCCATCGCGACCAGGTGGCCGATGGGACCAGAGACAAGGACAAAACAACAACTCCACTTCTCGTCCGCGCGGGAACATCGTTAAAAGGACGAGGATGTCTTGTTGGACGTGCGGCGGAGACCATAAGAAGCAGGACTGTGTCTTTCCAGAGAAGGTCTGCAGGAAGTGTTTTAGTGACAAGCACTTCGAGAGCGAGTGCGACGTGGCTCCCAAAGACCAAGCAGCTCAACGAATGAAGAATCTCGAATTCGCCAAACTTCAGGTGAAAGACAAAGTTGGAGTCATCTTAGACCTACTTCCCGAGGCCGAAAAAGGACAAGTAATCCTTACGGTAGTAGGAAATGACGAGAAGGAGCGGGTTTTCGTCCTAGATGATGGAAGTCGAGATCACATTTGTTTCGAGCGAGTCTACTGTGTTGAGGCTGAGCCAACCTCTGAGCCGAGCAGTGCTACAGAACCTGAACAAGTCGCGAAAGTACTCGAAGACACATCTTCCTCATCTGCTTCTTCGAGCTCTAAGGCGGACAAAGACTCCATCGACAAGAACGGAGTTTCTGTTGACAGACGTGGAAATTGGTGTCCGGCACAGAATTGCATCAGTTGGGCGAACATCAAGTGCGGGAAGTGCAACACCTGCTGGTGCCCGAGACATGTCGGTGACCATACCTGTGAAGTAGTCCGCGTGAACGCGGAGCAGAGTCAGTCCTTCCTTCAGGAAGCACTATGACTCGCTGGACACTATTGTAGTAAAAATGTAGAAGAGGAGGTGGCGGGAGACTTTTGCATTACTGATTTTGCTGAAAGTCTTGCCGCGCAAGAAGAAGAGGAGAAAAAGGAGGAGCACAATAGAATGTCTAGTCAGGAGGAGGAAAGTATTAACTTCACGGTAGAAAACGACTCGGTACAATGGGATGACGGCTACAACAACAAGGTGTATGTAGATCTACTCACAGGAAACCACGTCACAGAAGTTCTAGAAGGAGCAGGAATTGAGGTAGAAGTGGATGACTCGGCTTCCAAAGCTGTTGGACTTGGCGGCGCAACATCTAGCATCTTAAGGAAGCAGACTTTGGCTTACATCATCCGACGTGTTGACAAATCCATCTACTGCATGGGTTTCGCGTGGGGTTCTATCTCGCAGCTTGGACCGAATCTCCTTGGAGAACTCTTGCAAGCAATCGTCTACGCTTCAATTGTGAGGACACCTGGGATGCCAAAGAGAGTTGTAGGCTTCGATGGGCGCTGGATTCTGAACTACGGAGAAGAAACTCAAATAGTTCAAAAGATCTTCAACTTCAACAAAATTGAACTGGAGCTTCTGCGAACGATTCAGCAGGAGAACCCGAAAAGTGACTGGTATAGGCCAGTGTTCTCCGAACCTATCAGACTGCCTCCCGGAGTTTCTGTTGAGGACGCGCAAAAGATTAAGCCATTCGACCCACGAACGCTTGGACAATACGCAGCCATGAGGGGCATCACGCTTGATCGAGGTGTTGATCGGACTCCTTTTCGGTCACGAGAAGAAGATGGAGAAATCACAGAAGCACGGGCTGCAACGAGCGACGAAGAGGCACCTCCAGTTGCACTTATTCTCGATGGAGAAGCTAGAGGAGATGACGATCTAGAACTAGGGCCTGAAGATCCAGAACATCTGCACGAGCAAATACTTGCCATGAGACGAGGACGAGCAGCCGGAATTCTTCATCCCCACAACGCACAAAAGAGGAGGAAGATCGCATCGCCATCTACTGCAAAGGAGCACGCTATGCCAAATGAGGACGACGTTGACATGTTCGGAAACAAGTCCTCTAGTTCAAGCTCTGTCCCTGGAAAAACTTTGGTGTCGTTGTCTTTGCCAGAAAAGGACGAATGTTGGGAGGTAACCTCCGATCAACTTCGGATCGGCGGAGATGCAGGAGCATATGCCGTTTACCGCGAAACCCACTACGGGCTAGAGACGACCCCATCAATTCCAGGGTGGCTGGTGAACAGAGTACGTTTGAGGAGGATCATCTTCGTCGAACAACAAGTGCGAGCTTGTCCTGATTTGCGCTATGACTGGAAGAGGCGGAAGACTGAACTCCAACCGGTGCCACTACCAAATGGAAAGAAGAAGTTCATCACCTGTGATTATTACTTCTTCGTTTCCGATCACGACGAAGTTCAGACGGAGTCCAAGAAGCACCAAGTACGAACAGAGATGATGAACGGAGCGCCGTTTGATCCGCAAAGAGGAAAGCTTTCCAGCGAACTTCCAAAAGGGTGTCATGCCTTTGAAGATCACATTCGCTACGAAAATATTGGACCAGGCAAGGTCGCGCCACAAGTGCACAGCGCTCCATCGGCGAAATCACTTCTGTCAGTACCAGGACGTCTACAAGATATTCGTTGTTTTACCTGCCGCGATCTCATAGACGTGCCAGCCGCGGTACGCGAAACCTGTCGTGTGTTTGACATCGAAGAATTCGGGAACGTGAACTACTTCGGACTAGCTCCTGACGTCACAAAGCGTACTGTACTGACGGGATTTGCTCTCGAACTGCAGGACAAAGTCAATCGAGTCGACATGGAGCACATCATCATCTACCTTCGAAACCACCCGCGATGCATCCTTAGATGTTCTACTGGGATCGGAATCAGTGTGGCTTTTGGTGAGATCCTACAACGACGGCACAAGCTTGGGGTGATGCACTGCAGTGTAGCCAACGAATGTTTTGTACACTCCGTCACACTTTCTGCTTCTGGCGAGGCCACGCGTTTGCACCACGACGAACATGTCCGAATCGCTTCCGCTCTTTCACCGATGCGCCAGTTTTCAACTGCTGAGCGAAAGAAGATTAGGCTGATTCAGGAAGTGCTCTATCACCAAGGGAAGCTAACCACCTTCGAGAACTGTCTTAAACTCGCCAAGGACAAGATTCGGAATGTGCCAGAAATCGAGTTGCGAGAGCTCGCCCGCGTAGCGCGGCACGATAGTCTCGCTCGACTACGATACGGCGTAGGGCCCAGGGTGCGAGATCTAGGAGGTTTCAGCACTTTAGAGACGATGCGCTCCGGGGGGATCACTCTCATAGATACCACCTTCTTCACCTGGTTGGGGTATATCTATACGATTGTGGGCGTCCACTCTGTAGCCGACGGCAGATCCGGTTTCTACCTTTGTGGCACGAAGTGGAAACTTGACCCAGTGCTGAACAGAGCAGTGCGCGACAAGAAGATCACCGACGAGGAAGCACAGAAAATTCGGGATGGAATTGCGCTTCAACTTGACGACGATCTCGCCGACCGATTGATGTGTGGACGTGGAGCACCATCGAAGACCGACATCGCCAAAGTCCTCTACAAATCGCTAGATCGCAAGCTTATCCGACGAAGGATTGTCGCGGACAGAGGAGTTGAGAATATCGCCCTAATCGATTTCTCAATGATCAGAAAGACCGGCAGGGAGATTACGATTTTGCCCAAAGGACAGAAGGTCCACAAACTCGAGAGGATGTTCTTAGCCCTGAAGACTGCGCTGGCGAAGTGTCTGTTGATTCCGGAGTGTCAACTCATGCCGCTCCAATGGTTATTGCATGAGATAGCCGAAGCCTTAGCAAACATTCCATCGGCAGCATACTTAGGTCGCACGCCTAACCAGACCTTCTGGGGTTTACACGAGGGAGTGCCGGAAGGATTCCTACATCCTCTGGACGCCGAAGTCGAGTACCTACGGACCACAACTTCAGAAGGACGTCTGCAACACATGACCGAAGCGCGAATTGCTATCTCGAGCCAGATTACGGCTATGACGACCGACCTCGATTACGTAAAGGCGACTCGAAAAATAATTGCGAATGCGAGAGCAGCCTGCCGTAGCTCTGAGGAGTACCAGCCCGGTCAACAAGTTCTGGTTTATAATCCAGTCACGAAGACGAGCAAGCCAGGAGAGATAGCGGCTAGAACACGCACGCAAGGACAAGAGCCTTTTGAGTACTTGATCAATCTCCAACGGGGAAGCACAGTGGCCCGCGCCGGTGTGATCCAGCCCAGCGCCAACTTCAACTGTTACCTCGATATTCCGACAGACCTGCAGCCACTCACCTTTCCAGATTTTAAAATAAGTGGTCGCGTCCACGATGCGCAGCGAAAATGGGAAGAGCTTAATCGTCATTCTGACGAACACGACTGGCATGAAAGCACCATCCACAATCCGGATAATGTTGGTCCTTTCTTCTCCATTTCAACCCCCGGGGAGGGAGTGCAGGCCCACCGCAGAAAATTGTCGCGTAAGAACAAGTCAGCTCTGGAAGTCATCGAAGAAGAAGGAGAAGTAGATGAGGATGATCAAGTCGAAGAACATGCTGAAGACGGAGATGTTGACGAGGAGAGCGCTGAAGCACAGCCACCAGACGACTTAGACGAGCAGCAAGCTTTTGTAGTCGAGGAAGATATCCAGCAGGCAGGATACTCGGAGGCCATCACAAGTGCAGAGCAAAATGTCCTTGACGAAACCGAGATAATTCTTGTCGGTGTGTCGCATCAGGAAGGCGAGAAGAAGGAGGACGACGAGGCTGACGACGAGCCAAATGATGAGTCGGAGCAGTGGAAGACACATTTTCGTTTTCCGAATCGTGAAACGAGAAGAGCCTTGTGGAAACATCTCAAGGATGGAAAACAAGGAGCCCTCAAGGAGAACGACTTCATTTACCAGTTGATCCATAAAGCCACTCTCGACGGAGCTGCGTGTCCAGTCACGCCACACAGTCTAGAACTTCATCAGGAGTGGATTCCAGAAGAAAAGTGCGAGAGCCTTGCCAATCCGAGTCTGCAACAGTCAGTTCGAGTAGTGTGGAACGCTAAGTCAGTCGCGATCGTTGGAAATGAGGACGACTACAAACGATTCGGATCCGGAATTTGTCTTCGCTTTGTGTTTTGGGTGTTGGATCCGAAGAAATCGTACCCAGAACACAACCTTACGAGCATTCTGGAAAACGATACCGCGCGACATCCTGATACGGTGAATCGATTGCAAGGGGCGACGAAGTGTGACGATCTTGATCACCAGTTTATTCGTTCCACGACCGGGCTGAATCGTCAAAAAGGGTACACTGCAGCAATTGACAAGGAGTTCAACAGCATCTTCTCGGAGGATTTAGTCGAAATCTACAAGGATGGCGATAAATGCAGCAAGGAGCGAGTGCTAACGTCCAGAGGAATAGCCGGAATCAAACTCGTCACGAAGTACCACTACAAGAACACCTTTCGTCTCTGTCCCGGTGGACATTTGAGCAGCATCGAGGCATCCGCAGAGTCTCCCACACTAAGTGATCTGGAGTTCAAACTCATCATCTCATCTTTGAGACAGATCCGTGGTCGCAGACTACTCCGCAGCGGGGATGTTCCGAGGGCATTCCTCAAAAATCTTCGTTTTAAGGAAGAGAATCGTCCTAGGTTCTCTTTTCCTTTTAATATCGTAGATGAGGAGTCGCTGAATATGCTCAAGACCAAGTACAACGTCGACAAAAAGAGTATCTTTACTATGAAGATCTCTTTATACGGACTTCGGGAAGCGGCCTTACTTTGGTTCCGAACACTTTCGCAGTTTTTGGAGTCCATTGGATTCCGGTCAACACCAGAATCGCCGTGCGTATTTCGAGATCGGAATCGAAACAAGGTTGGAGTTCACGTCGACGACTTGCTGTACGCGGGAGACGAGCAAGGATTCAAGGTTCTGAGTGAAGCACTAAAAGCTCGATTCGGTTTAACGTCGTGGTCTGACGCGAAGACCGGTTTTACGTACACTGGCAGCCAAATCAAGATGTCCGAAGACGAGCAGCAGGCTCATATCGGAATGCACCAGAAAATTGCCGAAGTGCGTACGTCACCAATTCCGGAATGCTTCGATAAGAAGGCTGACCCGTCTACCTTCGAACCTCTCGACGCAGAAGGAGTTGGAGAGCTGAAGAGCAAGAGAGGCAGTTTGATCTATATCGGAAAATCGCACTCGGAAAGCACGTTCCCGGTAAGATCGTTGGCCTTGGGCTCCGACCTCAAAAAGGACCACAGATGGACTGACGAACAAAACCAGATCATCAACCGATTAAAGCAGCACAGTCCGGGAACGACAATCGATTTGTCATACGAGGAAGAGTACATTATCGCGTTCCCCGATGCTTCTGGGCAAACGCCAGCGGTCGAGAGCGAGGTTGATACTGTCTTCGAGGTCAGCGATGATGAAGTGCGAGCGTTCTTCCGGGAAAACAATGAAGATGGCATTCTACTTGGTAGCACCGTTGAGAACGTTTTCACAGCGCTGGGACATCAGTCCGCAACTCGTAAACGAGAACAGAGGAGAAAACGAGTTGGAGCTGTCACACAACCTGGAAACACGGAAGACGAGGTAGTCGCAAAAGTCCAGAAGTTGAAGCCTGTTCTCGGGTATGTTATTCTATCCGTATCGAAGAAGGATTGGGATGAATATGAACGGAAGCAAAAGGGTCTTAAGAGGGTATCTACTCAGAAGGAATTTGACGCATTAGAAACTGTGGAGCTAAGATGTAGCTTTCTAGATATTGATACTATATTTTCCTCTCTGTTGAGTGGCAGTTCGTATGAATCTGAACTACACGCGGCCGCCGAGGTCGTCCCAATTTTAGAGGTTACGCTTCTTAAGTTAGAAGGGTGGGGACACCCGACTCAGGGGCTACTCCTCTCTGACAACAAGTCAGCAGTGATGAGGATTACCTCCAAGTCCGGGATTGGGATGGCAGACGCCGTTGTTTTTAAGGTTTTAGCAAAACTGAAGTCCTGGTATATGAGCACTAATGTAGAGGTAGGAAGTATTACCGATAGATGTAATCCAGGGGACACGGCCACCAAGATACAATCTGGGGCCAAATTTCAACACTACTTAGAAGTTTTAAGAGGCAAGCTGAATCTTCCAATTCAGCAAGCCACTGTCAAGAGAAGGACCCACACGTGGGAGAAACCATTCACACAAGCCACAACAGAGATTTAAAGTTTTGAATAATTTTGTATAGTTTGTGCACAGTTAGCCAGTCTTGATAACATGAGAATAAGTATGTTTATAACCCGAAGTCGTGTACGAACATTTTCAATCTTGGTTAGCAATCTTATGTAAAATATTTGAACAGTGAGTGAGAATTAATTTTTGCAGTATGTCAGTAAGGTCTTTGCTTAGAAAAGGGGAACGGTGACATAAAGCAACCACGTTAGGTAACGTCAAGTCTCTTAGGTTTCTGGAAGAGAGGTAATAAGGCCTTGAGTCGTGAAGATCAAGGGGACAGTTTCTAGTAAGTAAAAAGGGAACATGTAGGGATGCGCGCCATCATGAATGATCCGGTATAGTTATGTTAAGGGTAGCCGTGAGGTATTCTTTTGTTAGTTTGTCTTAGTGGGGGAAACAGTTCAAATGAATAGTTGAAACTAAAGTTTGGAAGATAGAGAAAATTAGGCACGATAGTTAAAATGTATAGAATATGTACAGAGACAGTCTTCGGGTGAATACATAACGTTCTACGTTAAGAGAGAATCTAACTAGACAAACTCTTAGTAAAATAAGTATAGCCGAACCAGACAGAACTAGTAGGAAGTTTAGAAAGAAAGAAACTGAGTAAGTTGAAAATAGAATAACTGGTTGTTGGGACCTTGCTTCCTCTTCGTCTTCTTTCTTTCTCCACCCCCGGGGCACTGTTGGATTGTCAGTTATGACGATCGTTCGAAACAGTGTCTTCTTTCTTTCTGAAAGTGTCGGGCGTTTGGAGTGAGAGAGACGACGAGAGTGAGAGCTCGAGTTCGATTAGTCATAAAGAAACAAAAGCGCCTAAAAAGGTAAATAAATCGTTGAGTGTTTTGTTTGGTTGGTGGAAGGAATCGGCTAAGAGAAATCGTCTGTTATTTGTTTGATGAGACTTTGTTTGTTTTTCCATGGCATGGAGGCTGGAGTATTTAATTATTTAAGGTCATCGTTTGATTAACATGAACTTGGATAATTGAATAAGAACAAAACCAACATTAATCTAATTCAAACACATGACTCGATTCTCTCTTCTTTCCCACCCAACCCAAACTCTTTTCTCATGACTCTCTCGCTTTGTTTACTTTCTCCAAATGACATTTAAATTACCATTCACTTCACTGTGGTATTTAAATGGCTCAAGATCTTGTTTCTGAGAATCACTTTGATTGGAAGAACATCATCATGATAAGTTTGAATTGAAATATGATTTGAAAACCATTTGAGAAATACAACCAATAAAGTTCCAATGTCTACTTGATCTTCATCGCAAGAAGATCAATCTCGAATCCGCACGGTGTTCACGACTCCACACCCGACACAGAGAGATCTTCTGGTCTGTTTCTCGGTCCTTCGATCACTTTCGACATTATATTAAACGGAAAGAAATCGTCATGCTCATCGTGTTCCTCGTGCTTGGTTTCTGCATAGAAATCAATGCTCATGCTGTGCGTTTTGGACGATGAGGCGAGAGTGACTAATTTCCATCCCAACGATCAAAGAAATGCATCTGTGCGACTGATTGTCCACTCTAGCCAAAACTTTCATCTGCTAGACGAACAACTGGAGGCAACGAGAGATCAATAAATCACAATACATATGATTATATTATATCAAACAAGTGGGACACATAGCAAACATCATCAAGTCGCTTTTCTGCATCATGAAGTTTTAGCGGTCCGGGGCTCGCTCATCACAACTTACTCCAATCGTGTGAAGTGTTTGCTTAGTAGTTGGTTCTAGAAATGCCAATCATAAACAGTTAATCCTAGATTGTATATCGCTCAAAGCACTAAAATAAAACAACCGGTTAGTTTTTACCTCTGTCACGTAGATGCATCCCTTCAAGCAATTAGGTATCGACTATTGCTAATACATACGAGGAGGTTACAGCCTACTCACCTCTTGTCCCACCTAGACAGATTCGCGTAAAGATTTTCCCTGACTTATCCTTGATATTTTGTAATTTTTCCTAGTAGATGTCTCTTCTTGTCCAGAATGTTTATGGATATTATCGAAGCCACTGTCAATATTACTTTTAGGAAAATCTTCTACTTCAACATTTGTTATGAGTTAGCATTTTTTTATGTTGTAGAACCAATCAACTTCGGTCTAGACTCTCATCATTGTTAAGTTGTAGAAGTTCGAGTTGCCTTCACTTGGAAGAAAGATTCTCTAGTAATGAATTGCAAAATTGCAGGTGAAGGTGCGTTCTTTTCTTCAGGATTCATGCCATTGCATAGATAGAGGTCCTCGCGGTGAAGGTTTCCTTTTGCGAAAGTTAACGTAGTTGCAGAACTGCGTCTATGTCTTCTGCATCCCTTTGGCTTTGTCTCTACCCAGTACCGCTGTTAGGGACGCCACTATTAGTGGAGGAGCATGACTTTCCCGGGCACTGCCTGAAGACATTGGAAGTGGAATAGTACAGCACTGTAGATTTTTTCAAAGAAATAGAAAAAGAATTTTCTAGGAGGCGTGGACTCGCTCTCACTCTAGTAGGCACGACTGCTGTGACAGGGCGCGACTGCTGTGACGCGGCCACTAGTACGCGCGACTGCCGTAACACGTAGCCACTTTGGCTCAAGATTAGTCGTGATCGATTTATAGCGGAAACTCGGATCCTAGTGTACTTTCAGCTCGACTTCTTAGGTAGACCCCGAGTAACTCGTCGTGTTTTAACTCTTTTCATTTGATGTTAAATTTATTTTTACTTGCCACTACCCTGCGAGCTACTCGAGGATCTACGTTCTAAAAAATGGAAATACAAGTGTGACCTAAAAAGAGATCATGAACGAGATAAGAGTATGAGTTTGAGTCTAAAGAAATTACAATTAGTTGTGTGACAATGGCATCAGCAAACAAAGACGAGGGCAGGAGCGGAACACGAGTCTTTACGAGGGCGTATGATTAAGTAGGTTGTGGTCGGTTGAAGTTCCAATCAAAAATGTATTTGTGCAGCAGAGAAGTGTTCCGGATTTTCTCGCGTAAAAGTGAATGTAACTGCAAGTAACAGCAAGCTTGAGAGGATAACGTTTACAATCCTATCTTTCGACCATCTGAAAGCGTGTCGAGCGAAAGGTGCGACGAGGCATAGTCTTCTTGTTGTGACTATTCTAGTATCATGATTAATCAAGCCCTTTTTTCTGGACCACGAGAGACTCATGCTCACTTACGCTTATGTCTTGTGAGATAGACTATCTCTCACCTCTGGTCACATACGCTTCTAACGACAGAGCTGAAAAGTTTCAATGTTCAACACGTCGATGGTACATGATCCTCTCTGCTTATGTATAGGTGTCTTTCCGTCATTGTGCATTGAGCTTCGAGGATCTTTACCTGTTGCTCCTGTTGCATGTATGAAAAGTTGTAAAGTTCGAAAGAATCTTGAGCAATTTTACATTTCTTTCACGTATTGTATCGAGGACTGAATCTTTTTCGGTGCTGTGAGTATTTTTTGGGGGCCTTCAGATCCAATAATTTTTTCCGACTTCTTACTTAGGCTCTAGCCAGCACCGGATGATAAAGATTCTCGAATACTAAAGCAAGGCACGACTTCTTATTGTTGCTAATCTGCCCGGGAGTAATGTAAAAACTTTGACAGTTAAGTACAAGTAGCCTTTTTTTTTATTTTCTTAGGTTTTTGACCTTTCTCAGCACCGGCTCGGATGGATTCTGTTCTTGCTTTCTTTAGATGACAGGATGTGTGCAATCTTGTTTCAAGTGGTCATCTAATTCTAATCATCTTCAAAGCTTCAAAGTTAGATTCTGTTTGGACCAATTCTTTTTGTAAAATATCACATGCCTCGTTGAAGTGCTTGATGGTTTGTACTGTGTAATGCGAGTGTCAATATTTTTCCCAAGTCTGTCAAATCTTTCAGCATAGCTGTAAGTACATATTTCTCTCGACGACAATACTAATATCAGAATTTTGATGTTCAGCGTCCTGCTAGTGGAGGACAACGTCAGGAAGACCGTCCACCTATGAAATCGCGCGCGCGTTTGTCCCTCGATTGGCCCTGAATCTGGCGAATCGTGACCGTTGTCCTTTAAGTTGTCGGAGTTGTGGCCTAAGTTGTCGGAGTTGTGGCCTGCTAAGTTGTGGAAGTTGTGAGGTAAGTCGTAGGCGGAAGTCTTACGAAGGCGCTGCGCTCTATTCTTTGGCTGTTCGAATTTGAACACCATGAGGCTCCAAAGAATCGCGTGGGTTCTGTGGTGTTCAAATTCGAGCAGCCTGATAGAGGAGTGGGGCTGTTTCGTATGCCTCCCGTCTGCGCACAACGAACTCGCCGCCTCTACCTCCACAACTTAGGCCACAACTTAGGCCACAACTTAGGCCACAACTTAGGCCACAACTTAGGCCACGACTTAGGCCACAACTTAGGCCACAACTTTCACAGCTTCCACAACTTAGGACACAGCTTCCACAACTTAGGCCACAACTTTCCACAACTTAGCGCACAACTTTCCACAGCTTAGAAATAATAAAGCGCGGCTTGTTTCTTTTTACAGGGGTTTGGTCTTTCTTAGAACGAGGGTCTGTCTATTATTTAACTAGTTCGTCTTTTTTACCGATTATATATACAACAGATTTTTGTTTCCACCTTCTTTCTGCGATTATCATTCTACGAAATTACCAAATAGAGCATAGACAGGGTCGGTGTCTTTCTAGTCTGCCCTGTCTGTGATGAACCTTTGACCCATTGGGTAGAGGATCGGACCCAGCGTATGAGAAGTTTGTGTAGTAAACAGTGGCTCGTTTGTTTGATGTGATAAAGGCATCGACATCAAAATCAAAAATAAATCTTCAAAGATTGATGTGTTCGCGTTTTTGCATTTTGCGCGTGTGAGCAAAGCCGGACTCTCCTCCATCTCCTGTGGTCTGCAGATTTCCATCGTGTAAAGTATTGCACGACGACAGGAGGCAGCTGCAACCAAGTAAGCGTACAGCGAATTACTACGAAGAAGTCGCAAGAAATCAGTTGCAGGCAAAATGACGCCCGTTACAACAACGGACGCGAAGAAAGCACCACCAGGAAAAAAGATAGAGCGTAGTGGATGTGAGCCTGTTGTGAGCGGCATGGCGTGCCGCATGCCGCAATCGCCTACCACAGCCGCATTCTGGGAAAACCTAATGCAGAGTCGCAACATGGTGTTATGGCTGAAACGCTTTTAGATACCCTAAAAACGAAGACTAAAAAAGACAGGAGGACAGCTTGCTAATTTTTAACTTCTTCTATACTCCATGATTGGGCATCGACTTCTTTCATACCTCTAGACTGGGCACTTCTACCACTACTAGGCCTACTGCGACTACTACTAGGCTACTGCTGCTGCTACTACCGCTACTGCTACCACTCACCACTTTGAGGGTAGTCATAGTCTGGCACTAAGAAAAAGCATGTATTCTTGATACATAATTACACTGCGAACATTTCTTTGGAGAAACCTGGAAAAGCAACAAAAACCGTTTTCACAAGCACCGAAGTATTGATACTTACACATCCCATAGATGATAACGAACCATATGATAGTATTGATACTTACATCCCATAGATGATAACCATATGATAACGTTTTCTAATCGTAACAGTGGACGATGACCACTGGGAGTCCGGTTTTCACGGGCAGCTGCCGCTCGGAAAGGGATGTGTTTTAAATCAGGAAAAGTTTGACAACTTTTTCTTCAACATGAGCGGATCGCAGGCGGAGAAGACGGACCCCCAGCTACGTTTCATGCTCGAGCTGTCCTACGAGGCTTTTGTGGACTCGAATCTGGACATTCAGAAGCTGAAGGGAAGCAACTGCGGCGTCTTTGTGGGCTGCTGCTTCTCGGATTGCCACAAGGCCTGGCTGGCGGAAATCCCGAAGGTGACCGGGTACGAAAACACAGGCTGTGCGCACTCCATGTTTGCAAACCGACTCAGTTTCTTCTACGATTTTCACGGTCCGAGTTTTGTGGTCGATACAGCGTGTTCCTCCTCGCTTGTTGCCCTCTCGCAGGCCGTGCGGGCGCTGGAGAACGGCGAGTGTGACGTCGCTCTGGTCGGTGGCGCCTCGATTACGCTCCACCCTGGTGTTTCGGTGGCTTTCAACCGATTGCACATGCTCAGTGCGGATTCGGCCTGCATGTCCTTTTCCAAGAACGGGAACGGCTACGCGCGCTCGGAGGGCGTCGCTTGCCTTGTTCTTTATCGCCCGGACAAGGTGCACAAGTACATGAAAGACGAGGCCGTTGTCGCAGTGAAAGAGATGAAGACCAACGTGCAGCCGAACAGCTACTTCTCCGTGCTGGGCGTAGGAGTGAACTCCGACGGATTCACGCAGAAGGGAATCACTTTCCCCAACGGTGACGCTCAATACACGCTCTACAAAGAGGTGTGTGCGAAAGCCAACGTAGCGCCTGAAGACATCTTCTATATTGAGGCCCACGGGACAGGTACCGCGGCAGGCGACGGTCAGGAGCTCGAGGCTTTGCGACGGGCATACCTGGAGCCTCGTGGCAGCGCGGTGCCCATCACCCCGCTGCTGCTGGGCAGTGTGAAGAGCAACATGGGCCACGCCGAGGGCGCGAGCGCGATGGCAGGTCTACTGAAACTTTGTCTCTCGTGGACCAACAACGTGATCCCGGCAGACCTGCACTACACCTGGGAGGACCGCAACAAAGGGTGCGAGGGGATGCTCGGCGACCAGAAGAAATGCATGGTGGTGGAGAAGCACTACGATATGGCGTCCAAGAGCGGGGTGCCTGCGAACGGCAAGAAAGTAGCTATTTCGAGCTTCGGTTTCGGGGGCACGAATGCGCACGCTGTGCTAGAGTCCAACGTCTCACAATCTGTTGTCAACGGCGAAAAGTTCTTGCGCAGCGGCGCAGATCAACATGAGGATAAGAAAACCGAAGCAGGTGGTGCTGATGATGGTAATTCGGCTGCCTCTTATGCCAACGAAGAAGAGAAATGGCGTCTCATTACGCCGGTCTTCGGTCGCACCGGCGACACGGTGCACAACTGCCTAGAGAAGTTGGGAAGCAAAAATGTTGTTTTCGACACCTTGGTCGGTCCGCCGTCCGTACACGATCACCTGAAGGAGTTTCCGGCACTTGGTTACCGCACGGCGGGCGGCGACATTGTGACGACCGATGACCCCGCGCCCTACATCGTAGACGAAGCTGCTTGTTCGAGCGAGGCCAAAACGGAGGGAAAGCGTTCCGTGTGGTTGTGTTTTTCGGGCAATGGTGGCATGTGGCCGCTGATGGGGAAAGAGCTCTACGACACCTCGGCCATCTACAAGCGCACGTTCGATCGTTGCGCCCAGTACTTGAAGGAAAAGTATGGATACGACAAACTTTTCCAGTTTCTGACGGAAGCAGATCCCGCGAAGTACTCTGCTAAGGAAGGCGTCTGCGGTTTAGCCGCTATCCAGATCGCCATGGTGGACATGCTAAAATTTGCTGGTGTTGAATGGGAGGGCATGTTCGGACACTCAGCGGGCGAAACAGCAATGGGGTACTCTTACTTATTAAATACTTCTTTCAGTGCGTAATGGTAATCTATTGATGGTATTCATGCATAAGTCTACGTAAGAGCAAAACCACTACGAACAATTTAGAAGTGAAGATGAAGTAGATCGAGATCGTGGTAAGTTGTACGTATATATATAATATACATACATTTCAGACTTCTAAAATTTCGTTTCGAATGTGCAGGTACGCTGATGGCTGCTTGACGCTTGAGGAGACCATGTCTGTCGCTTACTTTCGAAGTTTGTGCGGTGCTTCTACGGTTGACCCGAATAATCCAGGTGGAATGTACGCGTGCGGAGTTTCCCGTGACAAAATGGAAGAAATGCTTCATGCCTACAATTGCACAAATCTGACACAGGTATAATTCGCTTTTAATGTTACTGCATTGGGCAGGTTATCTTCATTACATGTTTTTGATCCTCAAAGTTAGACCACCATGACATTCACAACGTCACCAGATTCCGCTCGTGGATCTGTCGCACATTCACATGCTTGCAAAGAAGTGACTAGCTGCAACGAAGTTTTTTTCAACACGTACACGCCTATCATGAACCCGCTCCAGGTTGGTTGCGACAATGATCCTAGCTTGGTGACCCTCTCCGGTTCAGAGAAGGAAATGAAGCCTATCACCGTCGAGCTGCAGAGCAAAAAGATCCTCTGCCGCAAGGTTCCCACGTTCGGAATCGCGTATCATTCTGCTATGCTCGAGCCTGGACTCGCGAAACTGCGTGAACAGCTTGAAGCTACTATCGATAATGCGGTGGATCCGGCCACGGGCAAGAAGGTAATTTTCATACTCCTGCGACGCACAAACAATTCCAAATTTCGTACAAGGCAAACCAGAAGGATAGGTTGTTGTAGAAGTTGTACAAGGAGATGTACATGAAACCTTCCGTCTCCGTGATTCCATTTATTCCATTTCATCTCCCATGATTCGTTATCTCCTTCGACGTACTCAGATTCCCATGGAGAAGCGGCGGCGATCCCCTAAGTGGCTTTCTACGTGCTACAATGACGATGAGCTTACCGGACCAGAGAACAAGGACCATCCAGGCAAGTTCGTGTCCGCCGAGTACCATTGCTACAACTTCCGCAATACGGTAGAATTTTACCGTGCCGTAAAGTCTCGCGTTCCGAACAATGCCGTGATTGTCGAGATTGGTCCGTCTGGACTCTTCCGAAGCAGCATCAAGAAGATTGCGGCTACCGAAAAGCGAACGCTCCACTACGTGAACCTGATGTCGCGAGACAAGAACTGCCTGCACATCTTCCAACAAGGCTTCGGACAGCTCTTCTTCCACGGCGCTATTCCCAGTCTGAAGTATTTTCAGAAAGACGACAGCAAAAAGTTCAAGTTGAGAGACGGGGAGACAAGGAAGGGAAATTGCGCACCGCGCGACATCCCGGAGATTGCGCGCGACCTGGAGCTACGACAGGCCTTCATCCAGTGGGACCACGGAAACATCTATCCGATGCCTGTGGTCGCGGACATGGTGAAGAAGACCGGCGCGCCCGGGGAAGAAATGATGAGCCAAATGGGCGGAGACGAGTGGAAGAATGTGCATGTGGTCGATTTCGACTTCTCGGCAGATGGCCCCGACCACTTCATGCTGGACCACGTGATCGACCAGGCCGTCTTGCTCCCCGCGTGTGGATATCTGTACGCCGCTTGGGTGGCGTTCGCCAACGTCTTGCGTAAGCGTGGCGCCATCGAGGAGTTAAATGACGCTCGCGACGTTGTCCTGAGCGACTTCAAGATTCATCAGGGTGTGCGCTTGGACGAGAGCAACCGACAAATGAAGCTCACTGTCAAATTTGCGAGCGAAACCGAGAACAGCGCTTCAGGAAGCGGCGCGAGCGAGTTCAAAATTTTGTCGGGAGACGAACGAATTGTTACCGGAAAGATCAAGCTCTCTAAGGACAACTCTGCGGGTAACACCGTCTCTGTAGTAGCACCTGAAACTGATACCTTCGGTCATCCATTTGGCGCAGTCTCAGCGCGTGAGTTTTACAATCGCATTGCAAGAAACGGGTACTACGTCTAGATTTGAGCTCTTATCGTTATCTGTTGTTGAAGAAGATGATGAAATTGCTTGCGACTCTGCAAGATACATATTGTTTTTTGTCTTAGAAGAGAAAGAGTTTCTTGAATTCTAAGGCCAATGAAATTGCTAGTGCGTCTACTTAGAAACTTTAGAAGAAGTGCTTATCGTTTTAGGTTGAATTAGCTTGCTTCTTACATCACTCAACATAAGTAAGTAGATTATCAATTGCATAGCAACGCGGGTTTGAATAATCAATACTCGTTCATTCTTCTCGGCAGGTACAACTACGAGGATGCCTTTCAGCTTGTTGAGAATGTGGGCATTGATGATAGCTGGGCATGGGTGCGCTTTGACCAAGCTGGAGAGCTTCTTCATTCGCGAAAGGATGGTTTGGGCGAGTCCCAGCAGAATGTGGCAGAGACCGGCCAACTTGGCGGTCCGAAAACCACTGGCTTCTATGTGCAGGACGAACTTATTTTCAACCGCTACTGGATCTCCTTTCTCGATAATCTGTTACAAGTTTCATTGTTGAAGAACTTGAACGACAGCGAGACTCTGCGGGTCCCTACGGAAATCCGCGAAGTAGTGGTATTCTTGCGTTTTATGTCATCTGCCTTCCTCGGTGTTAAACTTAAATTCTCGTTGGGTGTAAGCAATGTTAAATGATATCAAGAATCAATTTCAAAATCTAAGAAGTAGATTTGGTAGGTTGCATCAGAGGCAGATAACATAGACAAAAAGTTTGCGACTAGAATTCTGCAGTCGTCTTTTTTTTTCTCTTCAAATTTAAGAAGTTTTGAATCTTCACTTACCTTCAACTCAAACGCGAAACTGCAGATTCGTGGGTCTTCGTTTGGCGCTTTTTTGAAGAAGATGAACGAAGGATCCATAGGTATGCGAGCGATCGACTCGACCGACTCCGTTGGGTCTCGGGCGAGCTCTCTTGATGCTCCGGAAGAGATAAAAGAGGAGGAGCGCAAAAGCTACATGGTTGAGGCACAACATCAATCGGGAACGCAGCTGGTAAAGATCTTACCCTTCGAGGAGGTCGTGTGTTGCGACATCGCGGACATCGTGGGTCTTAAGACGAGCATCATGGCTCGCAGCACGAAGCCAAAGGAGCGACGCGTAATGCACGTGGCGTCGAAGCGCGTGTGGCCACTGCAAAGCTCCGCAGCAGCGGGCCAGACAGGTTCTACGATCCAGGTACGCAAGGCGAAGTCAGCGCTTTCTGTCATCATGTCTTACGTGAAGGAACAGTTTGTTGGTGGAACCTTTACGGTATTGGACCTCTTTCCCGCGGGTGTGGATGACTTGACGCAGAGTGTGATCGAGACTCCGAACGTGGAGCTTTTTTCGTGCTTCTTCGGTCGCGATATTATGGACACTGCGAAAGCGGACTACCAGAGCAAGACAGACGGCGTCTGCAACGAGTTTAAAGAGGGCCAGCGCTTCGATGTTGTGTTGCTGCATACGCCGACCTCTGCAGAGATGGCAGGCGAGGGTATTGATCCAGTCGAGTGGGCAAAAACACTAGGAGGCGTGCTCCAACAGGAAAGTGCGAAGACAGACGAATACCAACCGGCGTTTGTGGTAGTGGTTTCGGACCTCGCCCGTCCGGGCGTGGTGGCATCTAAAGGCGCAGGTGAGGTAATGCCATCTGTGCTCAAAGCTGCCAAAGTGGATGGAACGCCACTCCTTCGCGCCGCCGCGTTCGAAGCCGGTGTCGAGTTCAAACTCTACAAGACAACACCCCCCGTGCCAGGTCAAAAAAGGCTCGTACTCGAGTTTTCTGGTGCTGATGGTCTTTTGGGAGCGCCAGCAACCGAGCCAGACTTCTTCAAAACTGCGAAAACGTTGTTCATGCGCCTTGGCGACGACTGCTTCGAGACGAAGAACATCACGAAACTGAGTAAGTTGCTGACGGAAATAATGGACTCTGAGACTCAAACCTATCCGAATCTTCAGAAGTTATTCCTGTTGGCTTCCGCAGACGGGTTTCCTGGGTTCCTCAAATGTGTGCAGCGGGAACCGAGCTTCGGAAAGATCCGCGGCGTGCACTTGGTGTCGTCGTCTCGAGTCGGCTGGACAGCAGAAACTTCGGTCGCCATCGCCAATGCGATTCCTGCTATTGCCAACGCGGATGCACGACTCGCAAAGCTGGACGTCAAGCGCGGCGACCTGAGCGTGGAGCTCAGTTTCTACGACGCGCAGGACCTTCCGCAGCGATTCCCGGCGCCGTTCGGCCGCTTCCTCACCTTCCCGCAGCCCGGGAACCTGGAGGCCTTTGCCTGGAAAGCGCACCCACACTTCTCGATGCTTTCTCTCGGCGACGACGCATTCGAGGCAAGCACGAAACCACCTGGTGCGATTCTTCTGCCGCCGCCGCGCAACCAGATGGACACAGTGAAGGAGCCGCCTTGTGGATTCGTGCGAGGGCAGCGACGAACCGATGAGAGTAGCAATGTTGTGGATGTTGCTAAGGGTCCGTACCAAACTACCTCGCAAAAACGAAACCAGGTTGCTCTTCTCCGCGCCGAGGGAAAGCGCGCCAGTGCGGGATCCTTTTTCGGCAGTCTTTTCGGAGCTGGCAAGGATAAGAACGGCGCAAGTAATGGTAAGACCGCAGCGATGGCCGGTGCGGTCCTCGCTACAATCCGCGAATTGACCGCATCTCAGGAGGGCGCAGCTGCCGCCGACGAAGCGCTGTCGAGATTTTGCCGTGATGGGTACATGGCTGCGCTAAGCAACAACGCGAAGGCGTCCTTGGTTGCGTACAACGCGGCCATCGAGAACGTGAAATCCGCTTCCGGTGGAAACCCGCTTCGCGATGTGGACGTATGCTACGCGGCGCTTAACTTTCGAGATGTTATGCTGGCGTACAACAAGATTGACAAGGATGCCATCGTGGGGCACAGCAAGATGGGCGACGGTTTTGGCCTTGAGTTTGCTGGCTACTACACGCTAACCGGCTCGGAAGCCAAGCAGCACGTTGCTGCCGTCGCCGCAGCCGGCGGCGACCTCTGGTATGGCAGTTCTTCAGGTGGTGGACCAGCGGGACGTGAGCACGACGTCAATGACCTGAGCAACCCGGTGTCGCCTTCGGCGCCACAGCGAAAAGTTATCGGTCTCACCTACAATAGTCTCGCCACAAAAGTCACAGTCCCGGCTAACCTTGTGTGGGAGCTGAAGCCGTCGCAGTGCCTCCGCGACTTCGCCACGGTACCCTGCGTGTACGCGACGTGCTACTACTCGCTGCTGGTCCGTGGCGGGTTCACTCCGAACACCTCGGTGCTGATTCACGCGGGAGCTGGTGGAGTTGGGCAAGCTGCACTGTACATCTGTCTGAAGCGGACCGCCGATCCCCGTTTGGTCTTTACCACCTGCTCTTCGAAGAAGCGTCAGTATCTCTTGGAGAAGTTCGGAAACCTTGGACTCCGAGAGGAGAACATCGGAAACTCTCGTGATTGCAGCTTCGAGGCGCTGGTGATGCGCAACACTCACGGCCGTGGTGTTGACATTTGCTTGAACTCTCTCTCTGACGAAAAGTTGATGGCTTCGGTACGTTGTGTGGCGCCCTTCGGCCGCTTCTGCGAAATCGGCAAGTACGACTTGATGCAAAACACTGGGTTGGGCATGCACTGCTTCTTGAAGAACGTGTCCTTCATGGGTATCGATCTTGACCAGATCCTGAACCAGCCTCGCGAGTGGACTGCCGTGCACAGACTCGTGCAGGAGGGTCTCGACTCGGGCGAGGTTGAGCCGCTCGATGTCGGAGGTTGCTTCAAGGCAACGCAAATCACCGAGGCCTTCCGATTTATGGGCGCGGGTACGCACGTCGGCAAGGTGCTGCTGGATTTCATCCAAGACAGCGACCACGGACGAGCGGCGGTCCCCAACACTGAGACGACGGCTTCAGCAACCGCCCTTCAAGCAGAACGGCTGAGGAAGTTGACGCAGGGTACCGCATTTGGCAACGGTTCCCTGAGTACATTGAGCACCGCCGCGAACACGGTGCCATCAGGTACTTCTAATTCTGGCGTCGCCCCCTCCGAAGCTGGCTCGTACGTCTTCCTGCCGCCAGGGCGCGCGGATGTGCTGAGCGTGGGAGACAGCGTATCGATGTACGAATCGCGCTCTACCAGCACAGATAGCACCGTTCCGTCTTCGCAGGAGGAAGTTGCGGATGTCCCCAACTTCACTCCCAAAAACCCTGTCACGGACTACTACCTCATCATCGGAGGCATGGGCGGTTTTGGTCTCGAACTGGCGGAGTTCTTGGCGTCCAAAGGCGTGAAGAATCTGATTCTCTCAAGTCGCGGCCCCCTTCGTTCCGGCTTGCAAGCCAAGTACCTGCTACGCATCGCGCGCACCTACGGTTGTAACGTCTCCCTCACGACTCTGGATTTTACGGACCGAAAAGTGGTTGCGAAGTTTCTCGCCGAGAACCGAAATATCACGGGGTTCTTCAACTTGGGAATGGTTTTGGCTGATGGCGTCTTCTCGAAAATGCAGGGAGGCCAGTGGGAAACGCCTGCGTTGGCCAAGGGGGTTATTTCTGAGAACTTTCATGCAGTCTCGGAAGAGATTCTCTTGAAAGAGCGCGAGGGCAGTCAGCAGCAGTCTGGCTCCGATGAGAAGAGTCAACAAGCGCCCGCTGGCGCAGATACTTCTAGTCCCGTATGGACCTTTTTCGATCATTTCGTCGTCTTTTCCTCGGTGTCCGCAGGTCTAGGCAATGCTGGGCAGACGAACTACGGCTTCGCAAACAGTGCGTTGGACGCTTTGGTTCGGCGCCGAAACGCTCTGGGGCGTCCCGCGCTCTCGGTACAGTGGGGGGCGATCGGCGACGTCGGTGTTTTGTCCAGAGCAAGCGCGAAAAAGAGCGGTCTCGTAGAGGCCATTCTGCCACAGGAAATCGCAAGCTGCCTGGTGGAATTGGAGAAGCTGATGGCACTGCACCAGACAGGCGTGGTAACCGTGTACGTCACACCGAAGCGCTTGCGTGACGATGCGGCCGACGGCGCGGACAACAGTATTCCGCTGATAGACAAGATACTCGAGATTGTGGGCGCGAAAAATGGCGCGAAGGACACGAGTACCTTAGAGCAGCTCGGGGCGGACTCGTTGCAGAGCATGGAGATACAATCCCTGATCAAGATGCGCACCGGTGAAAAAATACCCATGGATAAACTGAGCAAGATGAACGTCAAGGCACTTCGGGAACTGGAACAGTAGACAGTTTGCATTTCGTCACTGACGAAAGATTTTGGGCTATAATTACTGTTGTGATTGCTTGCGTGTCGTACCTCCGCCTCGCACTCCCCACCCCATCGGACGGAAGCGGCCGAACAAAATGACAACCCGCAGTCATGATCCTGTTTCAGTAACTTCTTGGTTTTTGAAAATCAGTTTATATTTATAATATATGATTCGTTTGATGAATTTTTAATGAAGTGTTCGAGTGAAGATGATTCACATTTATTTGTATGTATCTGTATTATTGAAAATTTTTTTGAATGGTTTTACACAGGTTCGTTGTGCTATTCTAACCTTATTCATCATTTTTTCCATTGACATTTTTCATTCAGATATTTTTTCAAGAATTAGAAACGCAACGCCGCCTCCATCTTCTGATGAGTTACGGGATTAAGCAGCAAGAGTACCGGTGATGTTGTGAAATAGTCTGAAGGTGTGGCAGCTGGTTGGTGCCTAAAAACAGTAAGATTTTGTTTGTCTTTTTCGTCTTCTATGTGTTTTACTCCGTTTTACTAGAGTATAATTGCGTGAAAATAGTACTAGAATGAATTTAGAGTCGCGTGTGAAATATATCAATGTCCAGAAGAACTGTGTGCAGCTCTACTAGCCAGGTTGCGACTATGTGCAGCGCTGTCCAGCGGCCTTCTCGCCAGAAGTATCGGCATCGCGGGGGCCTCCCTTATGTGGTATTGATCCTATCATGTATATATTAGATTCATTCGAAGACAGGGGAATCTGAGGCAAGCTGCCGAATAGATTCAAATAATTAGAAGCATGCTAAGTAAAAAACGTCGCAAGTACAACGAGAACCTCTGTTTTTCTCCCAGCATCTCTTTATCACTGACGAGCAAAACAAAGCAGATAAAAATCACTATTGCTTTTCTTCCTCTTCTAACTAGATCTAGTCGTTATTTTAGTTTGCAGCTGGTGGTTCAGGAGAGTCATGCTAATACCTAGATTCATTCGCAAACCCCGAGAGAATATCCTCCATTGATCACCTCCTTCTACTAACTTGGCGTTAGCCTGCACTTGTTTTTTCGTCCTCCTGCAAGTGTTGTCCACAGACAAGGCATTCGTGATTGTTTCGAGAAGCACACCTTGTGGTTGTGCTGTTGAGGATCCTTGATGCTTTTCTCGTCTCAGAATTCTCATAAATGCAGCTTAACAGTTTCATTTTACGTACCTGAAGAGGTTTGGTGCTGTTTTTGTGTTTCTTTTTCAACCTTTCTTCCTAGATGATCTAAAGATATAGAAAGATCGTTATCAATGATAAGGAAGTAGGATTGCTACATTAATGGATTCATTTGTATCTTTATTGTTGTGTTGTAATGGTTATGGCTATAGTGAAATAATAGACAAGTCTTAACAGAAGTCTCTCTCGTTTGCTTACAATATAATCATGTAGGCTTAATATTAGAATGAAGTTGTATTGACTCGTGTGACAGGCACCAGATAAATCTCCACTAGAACAACTGCGCAGGAGGACCGAGGACCGGGGCGAGAAAGAGGGCGTCCCGCATCGAATTGGATGGAGATTACTTGCATGGAGTGAATAAATTTCATAGCTTCTACTTTGGGTTTCAGCACGATAATTGGTTGCATCAATGAACTTTCCATGAAATCTGTTTCTGATCCGAATATTTTAGATGTAGCAGTCGTCGCAAATTTTATGATTGCCCCCACCTCAGCGCTCCGCCCGCTGTACAGAGAGACAAAAACTTCTATAAAGTAGGGAGGTGGTAAGAACGGGAAGCGCTATGTATAGCTCAGCTTGTGCAGTTCTCTAGTTTGTGGTACACATATTGTGCCTGTGCCAATAGTACCTGAACCACGTCATCCTGCTGAATGTGGAAACTACATTTCGTTCTACTTCATCAACGCGACGGACGCCGATGATTGACTGAGCTCGCGGCAAGCAATGCATGAGTCCCTCATCCACAACTACGATACAACAACCTCTTGTCAGGCATATCAATCAATCAATCAATCAACAGGGGAAAACCGGATCGGCCCCGTGTCCATGCAGCTCTATTTTCACTAAGCAGAAAAAGAAGACATAGTCGTATGGTCTGCAATTCAGGAAATTGCTAGCGGTTTTCTAGAATTAATTTAGTTACTACAGTTACAGAAGTACCTACAGGTGTCGCCGACTTCGTGGAAGGTTTTCTAGTGTAAAAAAGGCTTTGCAACATGTATAGGAACGGTAGTTGCGTTTTGTTTTGTGCTCCACGCACAAGATAAACCGACACCAAGTGAAAAGGTTTCACTTTGACTGAGTATTACGAGATTGCAATGATGTCGCCAAAAACAGGCAGGAACAGAATTCTTAGATGAAGCTGCGACTGTTGTAATTGACGTCATCTTTTGCAATCTATGATGATCCTGTAGAAAATTCTGAACTATGAAAATATCGAAACGAAGATGGACAGCATGAAAGCCAGAAGATAATTCACCTTCACGCGAAAACTTCATTCTTATTCATAATTAAAGTCATTGAGAAAGACTCTGTGTAGTAAGAAACAGATCAATTATTGTAAAAGTGTCAGCATTTGAATTTGTGTAGCAGCCGTTCATAGTCTGATTAAGGAGTGAACAGATTGGTAAATGGTTGTAAAAAAAGTTATACCAACTAGACTACTTTTTATTCCTCAATTTCGTGGAACCCACAGAAAATCAACCCAACAGACAAAAGGGTGCATCCTTGTTGTTATTAAGAAAATTGTTGAACTGTGATACTTAAGAGATGTTGAAATATGATTCTCCACCATTAACCTGCACGTCGACCTGAAAGAAACCTGAAATCAGCATTAGAAAACCTACACCCATCTTCTTGAACTTTATTGATCATCATCAAAAATAGAAATACGAGAGAGGTTACGGAGGAGACGCGATAATCGCGACTCGCCGCTTTTGTTCGTCATAACTGCCTTTCGACAACTTGTGATGGATGCGGTTTCACTTACGTGAAGCTGAAGCCAATCACCTTCTTCAAAAGAAGGAAAACCTAAGGTTTTTTTTGCGCCCACCAAAAGTGATGCGTTGGCTCTTTGTCGAAAATCTTGTAAATGTATGGCCTGAAAGGTATCGGTCGAAAAGAGCGGAAGACGAAGAAAGTTTGCAAACCACGCTGAGCGGAGGACAGGAGTTTCTTTGAGAATTGGTTCACACGAAGCCAATACAGAACGGTAAACGGCGACTTGTCGCAACGAATAGCGATGCCTACTCAATGGCTGCAGTTATACCATGGACACATCGCATAATCAAAATCATCTCGGATCATGTTGTTTCCCTCTTACTACTGTAGCCCTCTACTTCTACGATGTCACGGCGATTGCAATTGCTGCATTGCACTCCCTCTACAGACGCAAACATACTACCTTTGCTCCTAAATGCAATCAGACCTTTTAGTAACCCACAATCAGGTTTCTAGCTACTTAGCTGCTTCACCTGAGAGAAGGAGAACTAAAAAATGGGCAACCTCTGAAATCTTCGTCACTGTGGTGTGCATTTGGATTTGGGTACAAATCCATCATTGTTTATTGTGTTGTTGTCACCAAACAAACTCGGAAACCACAAAAAAGTGGTAGCTCTGAAAACAGTAAAACCGAGGTTGGTAAAACCGTGACGTTATTGCTAATTAGTTTCTGCTTGATGCTAGGCCTAGCTCTAGTTTATAAAAACGTGAATATGGGTTTGGGTAGCATATGCATGGGGATATATACTAGTCCTATTTCTCGCGCTATGCGCTAGTTTGGTGAACCGGTGCCCTGGTGGAGCGAACTAGCGGGTGTACATAGCGCGGGAACCGGGCACTTCTCTGAGGTACGCACAGGCTTCGGCCGCCTTAGATGCGAAGACCTCCAGGGCAGTTGGGCGACAGAAGGCGCCTAAGTAGAATAAACGGGTTCTATACTAGATGGCCAACATTTGCTAGTCCTGTTATATATAGATACTTATATACATCTTCCTTTTTTATTTTTCTATCTTTCCTAGGTAGGTTGGGTCCACCACAAATACAAATTGCGCTATGTATTTCTATTTTTGTATTGAGGCGTACTTCTAGCCAGCTGTCTTGTTATGGTAGTTTACCTTTCAAAGCTGATGATGATTCATCTTGTGGACTCCATGCTGCAATCATAATTGGCTACTAATCACAAAGGATGCTACTACATGCATGGGTTGATTGGATGTTACTCCATGATTGGTTTCACTACTACCTACTTCTACTTCTTCTATAACGATCTACAACGTGATCACTTCTCGCTATCCTTGACGATTCGAGGCGGTGGCGGCGCATGAATGAAAATGTAACCAAAGGGATGTCCTATCCGTCTTCGTCGTCTTGCTCGTGCACGCAACTGTGCGAAGTTCTTCTGCGGCATTCCGGCGAGCAGCAGGCCTTGGGCAATTGGATTTTACGGAATCATGATCAATATTCTTTTGTCGCGCCCCCGCAATCTAGAGAAGCTGAAGCAGGATCTTCATCAAGCGATGTTGGACATCAAGACCCAAGTGCACGGCTTGACGTGCATAGTGGTCACTGTTATAGTGACATCACTGAAGACTTCAACAAGACGAGTGAGGCCAAGAACACCACAGAGGCTCTCGCTCTCGAAATAATTGGAGGCGCGAACAATAACCAAGAACAGCAAGAAGGGACCAGCGAGCAAGAAGAGCATGATCATTCATCTTCGAGAACGTGGCCTGGCCCGATTGTACTGGTACACTTGCTGGCACTGCGACTTTTTGGTTCGCAAAGATGGAGTCTTTCAGAGCGGATGCGCGCATTGCAGTGTCTCCGCATTCTCACGCGCGACCGAACTTTGGCTTTGGTGCTCAAAAGAAGATTTTTCTCTGCGCAAATGAATCACACTGCTGGCAATGATGAAGATTTTTTCAGTTCTTTGTCGTCTTCTTTCTGTTGGTCTAGACCTAAAGGGACGAAGACTAGTAAAAAGAAGTCTACTGTAGAGGACGATGACGAACTGCTTAGGCATCAAGAGATCGATAAGAAGGAGGGGCTCGGTACCTGTAACGCATACAACTCTTCATCTGGTGCTCTGAATACGTGGATGCCAGAAGATGGGGAGCATAACAAAGATAAATGCTCCTGCGCCGTAGATGCAGCGTCCTCGTCCAGGAAGGGCAGCGATGATACGGGTAAAAATATCGAGCGATCTTGGAAGGCGGAATTTCTGTACCATTTCAAGAGGCTCTTTTGTGATTCTGCGTCTCATGGAGAACCTCCTGGCAGCTCTGTTATAAAGAGAAATGATGGGCATTTTGAGGAAGATGAAGCAAATCGTCCTTTTGAGGGTGCTGATGCCCCCGAGAGCGCTATCTTATCATCTATCAAGCCTATGATGAATGGGAACGCTGCGGAAGATAAGCGCACTTCTCGCTTCCAGGGCTTTTCGTTATTCCCGCCGGACCAGGGACGGAGGAGTCCACGCCGACGGCGTACACGTGCCTCGACAACATCCTCGTGGCTGCAACAACCCCCCAATAGCAATAGGAGCCGCCACACAAGAAGGCACAGTGAACAACTCGGCTGTCGAAATGCTTCCCCAGCGTCTCCAGTGCCGCCAACCTCTAGGAATTGTCTCTCAACGGCTAACAGAGAACTACGACAATCTTCGGTGGATAAAGAAAAAAATTGGTTTCCAGGCGGCGCAGAGGAGGAGGGTAGGGGAGGCATGTCTACAAGTGAGAACAAGACGATGGAGGCTCAGTACTCAACTCAACACGCATTCACAGAAAGTTGTAATAATATAGCCAACAATAAAAGAGGAGACCATGACCGTGATACAGACGAAGTTGGTAGAGAGGCGGAAGTAAAAGGTGAACCGAAGGACGCTGGACAAAATGAATGGCTGAGTTTTGCGGCCTCGATTGAGAAAGAGCTGCGACGCATGCCAGTGGAGGACCCAACTGAAGTGTTTGTTGCCCTTGCGACCGAGTACTCCTGTGCGCGTGAGTCTCAATTACAAATCCATGAGTGTGTTTCTTGTGAATTTCTCGGGATACTGCTGCATTTGATCGCGGTGTCAAAGCCATCAACATCTACTCTGTCCGGAGGTTCTTGTAAGAGCAGCAGAACCACCTCACCCCAGCACACTGTTGTTTCGAGCCGTCGAAATTTTCCTAGCGCAGCAGACGCAGTGAGTCCTGGAACAAGAAATGAAAACGGCGGGTGGGATGACAAGGCAGATGCAGACGGATATGATCGTGCCTCAAAATCCCGTCTGGCATTGTTCTTTTTTCTCCATGCGCCTTTTGTGTCTCCTCTACTGCGGCTGTTGAAAATGCCAAAGTCGACTTGGATGGTCAGCCAGTGCGTCCTCGAAGTACTAGCGCAGCTTTTTCTTATCGAGGGTCTGTCCGATACCCGGGTATTAAGGCTAGTAGTTTCAATCATGTCTGCTACAGCTAGACTGAAACGGAAGAAAAAGAACTAAGTACATTGATTCTATTCGTTTTCTTGATAGTACGGAGGTACCACAGCGTGTTGACGCAAAGTCATTAGGATTATCCATCTAAGAATATCATTATGCTAGTCGGGGAGTCTCCACATCCTGTAGTTTTAAGTCTGCACCAGAAATGGAAAGTCGTAGTTCTGTCTAAATAACGAGAGGAACGGGAAGACTGAACGAGCTGGGTCAACGGAGATGAATGAGTCGCCGTATGAGGCGGCTGAGAGGGACCTCCTATGCCGTTCTGGAGTTGCGGGGCAGCGTTACGTTGCACCAAGCAGATTGTGGGAGGTGTTTCACAACGAGTCGCCTTATCGAGGACTCACAGAGTACCTATGCCAACCAGCCGCTGAAAGTCACAGTCTCAAGAGTGCGGACTTGCTTCTAGCTTTGTTGAAGTGCCACCCTTCAAAAAATGACGCGGCTGCTGCTATGCTTGATGCTTCTCTGCTAGTCCGGGTTCACTTACCTCAAGCCCCGGCTGTCGCAGGGGGCGGAACGACGATGCTTGGGGTAGGTAACACACTGACAACTACTACAGGCGGAGTTGGTGCTGCTGAATCCGCTGTTCAGCACTTACAACTTCCTGGTTTTCCCGGTGGAGGGCAGACTCAGACAAGCCATAATTGCATGACTGGTATAACAGCGCTGAACACACCTGCAGCAGGACGACGACCTTCGTTAAGAGGAGGAACGACGCAAATGAGCACGTTTTTTAATCCTCGCATGACTCATAGGACCAGTTGTACCAACATGCCGTGCGCTCAGCAAATGCCCTTTGCGCCATCTTCCGTGATTGGAGGACCTGCACAAGGGATTCCTGTGTGTGGTGGTGCGGCTGCCGCGCCCCCAGCATTCGAAATGGTGTCTCCTGTATCTGCACTTTTGTATGCTTTGGACATAGTCACGTCCGCGCCTGTGCGGCTACGCATTCTTGCGATCCTGGAGTGCTTGGGCCGTGCTTGGTATCACGATCCGCGGTGTATGCTGCCTTTCCTGAACGCCGATGCGGGATACGCGGTATGGGCGCACCTAGCAAATCGGCAGCTTTCAGATGAAGACTTACTCGGAAACACTCTAGGACCAGCGATTGATGGCGGCCTCACAGCTTACTCAAGTTCCACTGTTGCACAGACGCACCAGCCCAACATCTGTAACCATAACCCTTCAGCACATGATGCAAGTGGGATGTTGATTGCTAGGGGGGCCATAAACAAAGATGTCATCATCAATAATATATCACCTCCAGCTCCAACCTCCACAACAACTGGTTTACAGGAAATCCAGCCAGTTGGAAACGAGAGGGTCGCGGGCGAACATCTGCAAGTTTCTCCGAATATTTCCATCGCAGGACCATCGTCTTATGTCGCAGAAGCAAATCATGCGCTACCCTCAGCCGGAACAAGGCAGCCTGGTGTTGGATCCCCTTTGATGGCCGTAGGCGAAGCGACGTCACCTCTTCACACTTATGGGCAACAGCAGGCCCGAGGTCATGAGCCAGCGTTAGATCAGAACACATCAAATACTGGCGATTTTCATCGAGACCACTTGGAGAGCAGACCAGCACCAATGACCCAGCAGGTTGACCCACATGAGATCTTACACTCACAGGCTCAGCTAGTAGAAGTGGAGTCGGCTGAGCGGATTCTCGCATGTCGTTTTCTTTCACGACTATGCGTAGATGACGCTTTCTCGGAAAATTTTTTACGGCGTTGCGTCTTTCCTGATCTGTCAGGCAGCGTCGTGATGTCTGAGAATCCGCTCCTCAATAGTCCTGGCTGCGCAGGAGCTTGTAGTTATGCAGGCGGCGGAGGCGCCGCAGCACTCGTACCTGGTGGGAACGGGCTTGGCTCCACGCTCCGCGCAGTCGGTCAACAGGCAACCAACGTTATGCATACCATTCATTTCTGGTGAATCGATCATCTTGATCATTTTAGAAGAAAAAGCTGCCTCAGTGAAGGTGGTCTGCAGAATCTTTCACTTTCTTCAGAAGGAGTTCAACTTTTCTCGACGTGTCGTGAACGTTCTTTCCGAGTAGATAGCTCAAAGATCTAAAAATTCTGCAGGCTTCGCTGTCGCTGGTGAAGTGGAGGAAAAAGGTGGTGCTGGGACAACAGGAAAGGTCTCCGGAGGACACCATCTTCACCAGCTCTACCGGTTTGCGTCGCCGCTGAATAAGGCGAGGACCCCGCATCACCACCGCAAAATGGAACTAATAGAGGAACAGAATGAAGTTCATCAGGAACCTCGGCTGCACGAGGAGCCTCTTGACAATAAGGAGTCAAGTCGACCCGCTACTGTTTATCAGCACGAGCCATTCGCAAGTTAAGGCAACTATGTATGAGGAATATCTCTCAAAAGGCATCCGGTAAACCTCTCGAAGAAAAAGAACTACATAACTGCCCTTCGGATGCTCTACTTCACGATCTTCACAATGGATTTAGAGATAAAAAAGTGTCTAAGCATGTACACATCATGTACTAGGCACTGCACCGACGCAAGAATTTTTCCCTGGGGCGCCCCCTCCAGCACCTGATGTTGGGCCGATTTCGAACATGCTGCGCGGTAGTTGCCGAGGATTCAGCGTCCCGTCCCGATCTCCGGGTTCTTTATCACGCCTGCTTGCCTTCCACGGACGTCTCGGGGGACTTACTGTGATGCGATTACTACGGTTTCTCTTTTTCTCTGAGCGAAATCGTGGTCTTCTGGGTTCGGTTTTGCCTGTGAGCGACACCAGCATTCTTGATGCTTTCGAAAATATTGGCAACTTTGTGTGGGGTCTCGACGTCTACATTCCGGCTGTGAGCATCTATGCTCGCATCTTGATGAGCAGCTCTGCAGGAGTGATGTACGACGAACATCCAAATCAGCAGCAGCCACATAATCAGTTGTCTCCTACCATACCTCCTGTTGGCGCGCAACACTATCACCAGAATATCGATCCTGCGATGTTGAGCACGAACAATACTACAGGAGCGGACCCACATCTTCATAAACTGCGAAGTGGTGACATGATTGCCGCGGCCGCTAACGTGACGCCACTTGGGAAGAGGCGAGGGAGGCCATTAGAGATTGACGTTCCGTTAGATACGACTGCATATGGGCCCTTTACAACTACCGCTCGGGCAACAGCAGGATGCAGTCTCATGACCCACGGCGGGGGGATGGTTAAGGGAAGTTTGTTGTAGCTAGATACTTTTTCATCAGAAACGAGCGTATAATAGCTTCTATCTACTTATACATAGCTTTTTCAAGTATCTCTAAATATTACCAGAAAGAAGTTGTTTGAGTGTCGAGATCGAGAACGTGAGGATGTACTTGTTGAAGCCGAGGTCACCTTAGGTGAATACCTATTGACTGCTCATCGCTAAAACGTGCAGCCCCCTGTTGCGTCGTAACATGAAACTCGGCTGTTATCAAGTGCTCGAGACGCTGGGTCGCGGCGCCTTCGGAGCTGTACACTGGGCGCAGGACGAGTTGGGTGATTATTTTGCGCTGAAAACGATCTCGCGCGCAGCGGTGGCAGAAGCAGAGCAGCAGTACTCGTCTGCTCAGATTGGTCGGACCACGACAAGAACCAAAGCTTTCGTCGACGCCGCTGAGCCTCCTTGTAGGATGAGGCCAACACCTACCCGCGATGAAAGGGTGGATCTGAATCTTCAGCCTGCGATGAAGCCTGCTGTTACCTCCAGTATTGATCCTACGTCGAGGACCACGAGGCCAGTAAGCGCTGCTTTTGTCAAGAAAAGCCACGCCAATAATTATGGCTCAAAGTAATTCATGTGCATTTCCAAGGGTCTTCATCTTTTTGCTCTGTTCCTTCTGGGAAAACTGAAGAAATGCACCCAAGAAATAAAACGTTCTTTTGAGCTCCAAAATGAGGTAGAGGACAGCAACAGCATCAGCAGTAGTAGCGGATCGGAGTCTTCAGAGTCGTCTCCATCGTCTTCCACGAGTTCCGAACCGTCCTCTTTCTCATCCTCGAGTCCAGCTAGTTCTTCGAGCGCGTCTGCTAGTCCTGGATCTCCACTACCAAAAATGAATTAAGGGTCGGTATGGGTTCAAGGTGTTCCTGTTACCGTTTGCGTTGCCTCTCCTAAGGGGGACAAGCATAACAAGCGGGGTAACCGAACACCAAAACCCTACCTCTAAATGAAGAAGAGCCCAAATGCGTCGACCGCAGGTCAGCACAGTAGCAACAAGAAGAAACTCCGAGATGAGCAGGAGCAACATCTTTATGGAGTGAATTTTCATTCTATCCATCTTATAATATATAAATACAGCCCATTCATAAGTACTTAGAGTTTGACTCCGGTTGGTACTTTCATGTTCATTCTAAAAGCTGCAGCAGAAAGAAAGGAATCAGCAAGTTTCGTCTCTGTTGATCCGGAGTGGCCAAATCAATGGCGCAATCAACTACATGGAGCGCGGACGAAACGGAGAAGTACCTCCCTACACCCTAGAGGATGAGTCGAAAGTACAAAAAGAACCGATAAGTGATCGAGCAAGAAAGTCACCTTCAGCTGGACATCGACGGGGGGCAAGTCGTGGTGGAGTTTCGAAAGCGGCACAACGGGAGATGGTAAAAAGCGGCGCGAGTGATATTACTTCTGCAAAGAAGTCAATTGTGCGCGAGGTCGAAATTTTGCGAAGATGTTCGCACCCAAACGTGGTTCGATTTTATGACTCCTTTGTCCAAGACGACAATCTCATTATTGTCATGGACTACCACCCGGGAGTAACGTTACTACAGTACCTGTCGTTCTACAAGATAAAACGTGCAGCTTTCGAACAAGAACCGAATACGAATAACCTGATGGCGAGGAAGACAAGAAGGAACAATGAGCTGAGAACGAGAAGAGAAAATCCCGAACCAACTTGCGCAGCACAAGACTCGGCACCCGAGACCGACACGCCCTTCACCTTTCCGTCAACTCAACGCTGGAAAATCTTCTGTCAAGTGTGCCTTGCGCTGCGCTATCTACACTGCAAATTGAAGATCGCGCACTGTGACCTATCACCGAATAATGTCCTCGTCACGCCCCACACGTTACACTGCAAGCTTATTGACTTTGGCTTGGCAAGAGACTTCGGCGATGAAAAGAGCGAGAGAGTAGATTTGACATGCAGAGGAAAGGACATGATGAAGCATGGTGCCGCAATAAGTGCTAACGAGAATGTTCCGAACGAAGGTACTGATAGATAATTTTTCTGCTGCTTGTGTTAAAGAATGCCACTGGAAGACGTAAATTAATAGTCTCACATTGTAATTGAAATAGAAACTCCTGTATCTGATGAATCCTCAGCGAGGACAAATACAACAAGAAAAACAGAAACAGGTGATATCGTTTTTGGTTCTGTGCTATACTCGACACCGGAGACGCTCCAAGGGCATGGTATGCATCGTCCGTGGGATGGCGATATCTGGGCGGCTGGTTGCTTACTCTACAAGTTGTGCATGTTTAACGACGCTTTTGCTGCCAATTTCAACGATGCCGCAGCGACGGGAAATCCGCTTGCTATCGCGCGACGAATCGTTGAGCTTGATTATCAGCCTCTCGATGCAACATCACTCACGCATGAAGAAAGCTATGGCATCTTCAGAGGTCGTCGCGTAAAATTGGGAATGGTTTAGACTTTTGAACTAGATATTATATGTTTTAGTTAGAATTAGAAGTACCGGTACTTCTGCTTCTCCACTTGTCACCATAGCATATTTTTCAAGAACAACAAGTCCTCGTTCTTCTTCGAGTTATAATTTGCCGTTTAAAAACTTTTGGATTATGATGATTTCACCGACAGCAAAAGGCATGCACAAGAACGCACCATCATTTGCAGTTCTCCCCATCTAAGACTTCGATTGTACATTAGAAATGGACGTTCTCAGCACGATCTTTGTTCCAGAACCTTCGAGCCGTCCCGATATACTTAAGGGCTTGGGAAATGCATCTCTGAAGTCATCTGAAAGCAGATGACAAGAACAAGGAAAGCTTAGCCAGGTGATTCTATCTGCTATGCATTTCCTACCCATCGCCATCTAATATACAGACGTTGACGCAGATGCTTGCTTCAAAGCTGTGCGACCTCCTGGAGGAAGCGAACTAGACCTTCCACTTACTTCTTAGTACTCAGACTGCCTGAAACTTATTGATTCGTCCGTATTTATCATTAGACTTACCAGATTACCGATGTACAGAGCGGGATTCTCTAATAAATTGCTTATACATGACGAGAATTTTGCGTCCTATCATGTAATGTAGTTTGTTAAATTGCAATTGAGGTAGTTAATACTGAGCCAGAATATCGCGTCTTATTTCCTGAAATATCGCCAGAAGAATCAATAGTTGGTTTGGTTTTATTCCGTTCTTTGCAGTTGAATCGATTGTGTTCTTTGCCGACCTCTGGCCTCTACTGATTTAAACTTTTTAGCCTGTAGTCATCGTGTAAGTACGTACGATGAAAGTGTCTGTACAATATGAAAATATTAGAAATTTCGCTCGTTTTCGGGATTTCCGAAACAGCATGTTGATAGATGAACATGAAGACTTTCACATGAAGAGAATAGAAGTATTACGTCGGGGCTCAGCTACAGCACTCTTTTTTTCTATATATAAGTACTGGTGGTGGTGGTCTGCCTTCCTACTTCCTTATCTGATTCTGATCATCTGCTTGTACGCCCTGATCATGATTCCTTCCTGCGCTAAGGGCAGGGGATTCTTGTGAAAAGTCATTCTCAAGTGTTCGACGACCAACAAGGCGGCTCATTTAGTCCTGACGCATGGACAACAAACTAGCACTCTTTTTGTGGTCTGCGTACTTTTAGTTTAACGTCGTGTGAATTTTTCTGCTCAGGCGATTATCAATGTAGCTGCGTCAGCATGTTCATCTAATCATGGTCATCGGTGTCTACCTAGCGTTGCTTAAATGCTAGCAGCACTGTATTACATTGGATCTGACCAGTACATGCTCATGCAGGTGGTAGAAATTGCATTTGTACAGGGTCAAAGGCCGCGCACCAGTCAAAGTGCGTGTTGCAGACAGTGATGCGGTTCCGGCTGATACCTATCTTCCTTTATCTATAGTGAAGATTGTCGCAGCACGAAGCAAAATGATCGCATCTACAATGACAACGCACACATCTATAGTTTTGAACTGCACTAGAACAAAGCATTGCGAGGAAAATCCGATAAGAGTGAAGACAAAAGCTTTTTATCTTCCTAACGTCCTTTAACTTTCTTTCTACTTCGTTCACTACTAGAATCTATCAATCCCCGAAGCAAAGGATCATCATGGCATCTTCGTCCACGGGTCGTCTCAGCGTGTCTGCGTTACAACAGTCTGCCTTGCACCAGCAATTGCTTTGCCCCAACGCGATGAGTGGCATGCCGGACCCCAGTTCTGTCCAAAAGCAGAAAGAAACCTACATGAAATTACTGGATTCTCAATTGGCACAAGGGATCCAGGCATTGGACGTGCAGCTGAAGCAACAACGCGATGCACTAAATTCTCAAGCCGAGCAGCAAAAAAAAGCATTCAATATGCAGGTGGAAATGGAGGTACTACAGGAGCTAGTAGTTATCAACAAGATCCATGATGATGATGGATTATTTCACTAGTATCCTACGATCATGTTGTCATGCTGGTGATGGTGGAGTCCTTTCTTACTCCTATTAATAACAACGTAAAGTCGCATCTCCGTCATGGTCGTTCAAAGCAAACGTCTCAGGTGAAAGCGCAGGAAATGCAGTTGCAGCAGCAATACCAGGAGCAGCACCTCCAATTGCAACAGCAAGCGCAACAGCAAAAGAGTCAGCTGGAGCAACAAGCTATGCAGCTTACTATGGAATACCAGCAAAAAAAGGCCGAAGAGGAAATGAATAAGCAGCATTATGAAATGGAGCGCCAACAACAGGAGCTGCAAATGAAGCTACAAAATGAGTATATACTAGATATCAGCGCCCGATAGCTCTCCCTACACTAGAATCCTCCACCTCCTTCAAGCATTTCCTCCGTCACGACGCGCCTTCCCCGCTCCTCTTCCGCCAGGTCGTGGCGCTTTCCTGTTGAAGTTGATCCGCGGAAGAGAAGCCGGAACAGATGCGCCGCGGAATTTGATAGAGGAGGTCGCCGCCTGAGATGTTTCAAAGATTGTCTGCTTTTGAATGTAGTGCAGTTCTTTGGGTTGGGAGTCTTGAGTGCGAAGTTTTGCATTTCAGTCCCTGAGGTGGAGACTTGGGGCGAGTTTGAAGCTTTTGGCTTGCAGCTTGAAGCCTGTGGCCGCTTTCAGTGTGGGGCTTTGAGCTTCGGCGAAGCTCTAGGCGTAAAGCTTTGGGCTTGGCGCTTTGATTTTGAAGCTTTGGACTTGCAGGCTGAAGCGCTGGAATCGAAGTGTTGGACTTCAAGGGCTAGGCCTGAAGTCTTGGACTTGGCCTTTGGCTTTGAAGTCTTGGACCTGACGTTTTTGGTTTAAAAATCTTGGATTTATGCCTTTGGATTGACGGCGTTGGGCTTCAAGCGTTGGGCTTGAAGTTTTGGGCTTGAGCCGTTGGATTTGAAGTTTTGGATTTGAAGCCTCGGGCTTGGGGCCTTGGGCTTGGGGCCTTGGTCCTGAGGCTTTGGGCTCAGGTTGACATGCCACGCTCGAGAGCCCGTAAGTTCAGAGCCAGGGGCCCGCAGGTTCTTAGGTTCAGAAGTTCATACATAAGTTTTTTCGTAAGTTGTTCGCAAGTTCATAAATTCGTAGACTCATACATAGGTTCATGGTTTTGCTGTGTGAGTGTTTTTGGTTCGAGTGTTTGTGGTTCAAGTGTGTTCGGTTCGGAGATTGGGGGGGGGTCGTTGTTGATTTTTGATTTAGCTCTTTACGATTTTCTTGTTGCAGCACGTACCGACCCGATATGTTGGAATTTCGTCGAACATAAAAGAACGTACTCTGATTAATTTGTACGTAACTAAGTACCGACTTCTTTATGTTGTACTAGGGTCTCAGACCTTCCAGATCCAGTTCCTTATAGGTGACATATTTATATATGTTCCAGGGCTCAGGGCTGAAGGCCCATCCCCGATCTAACTTTTTGAGGGGGGGGCCTCCCAGCCCGGGCCCTCTTTTCGAGCGGCTGCCGGGCGGGAAGGCCTCAAAGCGCCCACCTCTGACCTCTTCTCGCTTCTTGCCTGTACCCTAGAGCGCCACCAAGCCGGCGGACGTTGAAGCAGGCGAAGGAGGCAAGGCAGGACCCCGCTGGCTTGTTGCATGTGCCTTACAGACCTAGCAAAGGCGGCAAAGGTTGGGCCCTCTTGTCGTGTTGCAGGTGCGCGACAGAGCGGGCAGAGGAGGCAAGGCGGGACCCGCCCCCTTGGCGTGCTGCGTGTACCCGACAGACCTGGCAAAGGTGGCAAGGCTTGACCCCTCTGGCGTGTTGCATGTACCCGACACACAGACCTGGCAAAGGTGGCAAGGCTGGACCCCTCTGGCGTGTTGCATGTGCCCAACCCTACAGGAGACCGGGCAAAGCTGGCAAGGCTGGACCCCTCTGGCGTGTTGCATGTGCCCAAACTTACAGACCGGGCAAAGGTGGCAAGGCTGGACCCCTCTGGCGACGTCCCCCCCAGATCCATCCCCAGGTGTGGTGGCCTCCCTCCCTGGTACATATATATAAAATATATTTATTCTTAAAAAGAGAACTTTGACTTCTTGTTTGAAGTACGTCTTTGTCTTTCAGTTTCAACGCAGAAAAATTAGGAAACTCCAAATCCAACTGCATTTGTTGGTCCTCCAGGTTTCACAGCATGCAGGCTCAGCTGACTTCATCCCTGCCAGCCGCTTTTCATTATTTCAATTCGAATTTGCAACTCGGCGATGGCCTCAAAGTCACTAACGGGACCTACGCACGTACTTTTTCTTTTCATGTCTATTGATGTGTCCCTAGTAGTTGACCATTTGATATTTTCGAACTCGGTCCGACCGGAAGAACGTTAACAACTTTGAAGATAGCGAGCGTGAAGATAATCAATAAATGTCGCAGTTCAATCATGACCTGCTTTCATCGTTGTTCACAAATCTCACCGTCACCTTCCATGAAAAATTGATCCTTCTTCATCAGCCTACTTTGCGCAGTCCGGTGATAACGAGAGCCAGGCTGGTTCTTCTATCTTTGGAAAGAGCTTGGGGCTCCAACTCGGGTCTTTTGCCGGAGCTGGGAATGATTTGTCAAACACGAGTACCACTTCAGCTGGCAATACCTGCAGTTACTCGACGGGACCGCCGTCAGCCAACACTTCGGTTGCAGCACAAATTCAGCCAGAGCCCACAATCTACGTCTACGGACAGAACGGGGAATTGATCCCCAAGCACGAAGTGCAAGATCAAAACTAAAGATACCCGAGAATATACTTACCTATTATAACTAGATTTATAGCATAGAGTTTGACAGATTGGGCGGGAGCAGCGGCAATTAAATACTTAGAGAAAATAGTAAAGTGTACCCCACCACCAGCATCATGAGGAAGTTGAGCCGCATAACTAGAAATAAATACCTAAAAGCTTATTGCCTGAAGAACAGAAATACCATGAATGCACCATCTCTCTGATATAACAATGCGGATCGTAGTACTGCGACCTCAAAATGAACATTTTTTTCGTTGTGGCAGTTGTCCATGCCGCTACAAAGCGGAAATAGACTTCGTATTGCCCTGAGGAACCCATTTTCCTGTTGGATCGAGAACGCACTGCTTATTACTATGATACCTGCGATCGTCGGACACTGATACATCAATTATACACAAGAAAGAATGAAGTCTAGAAGAATAACAGAAGATATCTCAAGGCTCCCTCCAATAGGTTGTGATTTTGTCATCTCATCACGGCTTACATCGTTAACTACATTGCCTCGTTATTTCCACACCTGTTGCAACGCTTCGGTTCGCTCTTACACCTCGTTGCTATTGTTCTCCCCATAAAATGAACCTCAACATCAATCCGTTGCTCTTCCTGCTCTTCGTTTCCCAGGCTTTTCCTCACTCAGGTGATTATCACAGAACGTGATGTGTCGATGGTTGATATCATGGCGGCCGTCGAGACCCCGATCAATACAAACGTTTTGGTTTCTTTTCGTTTTGTTTATAGATACGTATCAAGAATGAATATAAACAACGATGGACCGAGGCATCAATGTTGAATAGCAGAGGACGATTGAATATCCTCAAGTAGCGTCCGTTCGCCGTCGTGTCATCAACTAACGACAAGCATTGTTTGCGTGCAGCTGGACGTAAAATGAGCGTGAATAGCACGACACAGAGGTCATCTGTGGTATTGAACAAATCGAGGCGAGTTCGTGTCGGTCTCAGTGCGTTCTAAAAATATTGTGAGGTAGAACAACTTATTTTTGTCGAACGGAAGACGAAGACACTGCATACACGTCCGTGAGAGCAAAAACCGACCCATGATTTCATTCACAGTTTTATGAAGGTGCCGGAGTGAAGTCAAATTGAGGATTAGCACAGTAAATTTCCCATTGATGAAATGTGATTACCGATATTGTTCGCGATCATTTTGCTGTTACCAATGTGATCCTCCACCACTTCTAGGAGCTGATGGTGCGGAAGATTTCGTTTTCGATGTGCCTTTTACATGGGATCGATAGGTATAATCACTTACTTTTGTTCTCCGTAGTTTGGTCTCATCAGCCTTGCAAGAAAGCGGCGGGTACTTTTGTTCTACAAGCCAATGTGATACGTCTCACCTGACTGTTTACCTGCGAAACAAGGCACGATCGCTCGCGCCAGTGCTAAATCCCAGTGCAACAAGATCACGAAGTAGACAAACTTTGCGATTGGCAATCTAAAAGTCCTGCAGCATACAGCGACCTCTTCATTTGTTGCGATGGCAGGCCTTTGCAGCTCCTGCAGTGTCATATAAACGAGCAAGTAGAAAGTTCCACGTGGCCAAAAAGTTCGTGACATAAGTATCTGCTATTAAGCAGTAGAAGTTGTTACGGGAGCAACGACGAGCCAAGCATCAGGGTCGTGAACGCAGCATCCTCTACTGCTAGATCCATGTAAACCTTGGAGACCTCAGTGTGGAGCGCGTGAGCTTTGATTTTTCGTCCAGGAAGAGAGGCATCAAGATCGACCACAAGTCGATTTGAGAGTCTTACGGCCCGCGTTTTGGGAGTCTTCCTGCGCCATACTTATGGTCTGGGTACCTGCGAACGAACAGCGTAATAATTTTCGGACAAAACACCGGGTCTTTGGCTGCGAAAGGCACCGTCAATTCTATTCAATTATATTTCGAGTAGGAGGAAATCTGCTCACGAGAACCCTACGACGACAAACAAATGAGCCAGGTATCCGAGAGGGGCTTATTGTGCAGGAAGATTCACATCCTCCTAGCCTTAATCTAGAAGCCAGCTTCTCAATAGGTAGTGCTAGCTGAACATCGGACACACTCGCCATCATCGAAGACTTCATCGCGGCCTCTAGTGCACGCTAGTATCGCGCACAAAAAATCCGACTCGCAAGCACTAGCATGACTGTCGGTGGCAGGGGCCCAATGGCACGCATGCCTATGGAAATCAGTATGGGGGAAGAGGACAAAGGCCTCATGAGCCGGGTTGTGGCAGGATGCTACACGATATTCATCGTCCTCTGCACATTCTCAATATCAATAGCACTACTGAACATCACAAAGTACTTCAACTTTTTTTTGAGCTTAGTTCCCATCTTTGACCTGGCTTTTTTCTCTTTGTGAAGATCATCTTCTGAGATGACGACACTTCAGTCGAAGATTAAGTACTTATCTGCAAATCCACATTTCGTCTCTACTTCTAGTCCAACTAGTACACCAATGCATTACTTTTATCTGTCATCAAATCTTTCTCATGCAGGTGGATATATGTGATGTATCATTTCAAGTACCCACTATGGATGACGGCAACGCATATGGTCGCGAGCTATCTCGTTGCTTCGGTGATGATTTTCGTCTTCGACTGGGTTCCAGCGAGGAGAAAACTCAGCTTGAAGGAGCAAGCCTTCACGGTGGCGCCGTTCAGGTATGTTCATCCTTTTGTTGAAGATAGTACTCGTTAGTTGATTTTGATGTAGATTTTCACTGCTAAGTATGACCCTCACAATCAATTACTACTTCACGAACTAGGCGTAAGTAGTTATATTTTTACTGCTAAGTGTTGGAAATAATACAAAGCATAGCCCCCATACATTGATGAACATGATCTACTTTCTCAAGCTTTTCTTCCAGCAACACTTTTTTCATACAAACAAATGATTCTCAAGACAGCTTACTCGGAGCCGCATCAATAGCGTGCGGGAATGCTGCTTTGGTCTTCCTGTATCCGTCATTCCATGAAATGTTGCAGAACACAACGCCCTTCTGGACCGTTGTTTGCTCTGTGATCTTTGCCGGCAAGAGCTACAATAATTACGGCCATTGCTCTCGTCCGTTGTCTCTTCTTGAAAATCACAACTTTTTCTTGTAGTATTGCTTCAACCTCAAAAGGCACTACATCAAGGACAAGGTCTAACCTACTACGAGAATTATTACCTGAGCATTGTAACCATAATTATCCTGTTGTTCCCACTCGTCTCGTTTCATCCACATTATAAGCTTCGCGACATGCTGCACCTGCACTGCTTGATCATGAAGGCTTTGTTCTCTCTAAGACCCTGGCGCATATCTGGCCTTGATACCTGTCACATTCGGTGGAAGCTTATGCGCGTATGGTGAAACGAGTAAATTTGCGATTCTAGGTGTGATTGTATCCTTCGGGGCAGCCATCTTCCGAGCGATGCGAGCAATAGTGCAAGCGAATTTGATGCGCGGACAAGAGCCGCTAGATTCGATCACTCTCCTCTTCTACTTAAGGGTGTGGGAAATCCATCTCCAAAGTCATCTGGAAGTAGAAAACAAACAGAAAAAGGACCTCCCAGATGATCCCCGGGATGAATTTCCCACACCTCTAATCTGCGCTGCCCCTTTCAACACAGCGCTCTTCCTCGTACTTATATTTTTTTTTGCAGTTTTGCTTACATTTTGCCATGTGGATCAGAATCAGAACTCGCTGATTTGCTTGTCTCTTTTGTGAAGTTCATCAAAAAGAAATGATAAATGATTTTTGTACTTCCACCACGAATCTTCCCACCTTTTCATCTAATGTAAGTAGTGCTTTAATGAACCTGCACGTGATTGAGATTGATGTTTTTCCGCGGCACTTGGTGCAACTAGTAGTGAGTGTATCATGATAAGTACTCTTACTCTTGCTGTTTTCCTACAGGACCTGTATGTAAACATATTTTTCACCCTCAATAAACAGACGGGATCCGTGTTATTGGAGGGGACTCGACCGTGGACAGAGATACAGACGGTTCCACTTACAGGAGTACTGTGGATAGCGTTGGCGGCATGCTGTGCTGCATGCTATAACGTACCGCTATTTTGTTGTTTCTGTTTCTTCCTTCCAATTTGTGATCGTTGAATGTGTTTCGTCTTGCCGGTAGTTTAGGCGGACTAAGAACTTGAGACGCCATGATGATGATTTGAGTTCCTGCTTAGTCCTTTACATCAAGTAGGTGCTGTTTTGAGTTTGGATGTAGTTCTTAGTCCCTATTCGCAAAGTAGAGGAGCATGTTGGTGTTTTCTTCTAGTAGCGCTACTCAAGGACCAAGCTCCTAAATGTTTTCGCAGTAGAAGTTGTTGCAACGAATCACTTAACACTAACTTCTGATCTTTTTCATCAGAGAAATACAGCAGCAGCACGCTTCACTCCTGTATTGATCTCTATCTCCAGTTATTTGCATTTCTTTTGGTTGGGCATCTGGGTGCAGTCGGCTCGATGGTGATGGGAAATCTCAAGACTCCAACAATCATCGTTGTTTCCTGCGCAATATTCGGCAACGCGGTAACAGCACTTCAAATGTTGGGCTTTGTCGTAACCTCCGGTGGAGCATACGCGTACAACGCTTATGGCCAAGAAACACAGACAAGCCACGGGAGCGCGGCAAAAGTTGCTTATGACGTTCCCAGCGCAGTGGCCGACGAAGCTAGCACTACTGTAGGCAGTAGCAGAAATGGAGAATTCGGTCTGGACGAAATGGACGATACCGATAGCATAATACTTGCGAGAAGTAACAACATTTAGCTTTAGGGTTGATGTATTTACCCATGCACCCACTAGGACTGCGACGCGCACGCATCGATCGAAAATCAATGATCTTCACCCTCCACTACTCCGCGCTTACGCCGCGTTGCCTCCATGATACCTAGTCCTTGTATGACATAGTTGAGCGACCTTACGGCAATCTTTGTCCACCAAAAATGATTTTTTCTCTAGCCATTAGATGTACATAAGTACCCAGAGGAGCAGGACTATGTATATTGATTTCAAGGCTCGCCCGATCAGTAGTTTTCGCTGCCACAGTCACACTGACAACCCTATTGAATTACGCTAGCTTCTCGCTTGTCAACTTCATGTTGCTTTCGGCTTCTCGTTAACAATCACAACCCCATCGCTGTTGGCACTTCGGTAACAATCTACCCCTATTTGTCTATTGATTAAATGATATATCTCCCATCCCCATGCTTTCTTGTATACTTGATCAACTCGATAATTTCCGGCAGAGACTCTGTGTATAATTCTTGTTTTTTTCACTGCAGTCGTAGTACGTTGCGACTTCTCGTCGTGTCCAAGACAGACATCGCTACCCATGCCACCTAGCTGATACCATCTCGGTAGAAGCCAGTTCCTCGTCTCTGTCTCTTCGCAGCGGGCATGGGATTCATTTGTCGGTCAAAGGCAAATCTGATGGAAATCGCGCTAAGCGAGCCACGAGAAGCGGGCATGCGTCTTTCATCTTGTACAACAAAATTCTCTTTGGAGGATGGAGCTGTAGGCTGCATGTTTGTTAGGTATTAATTTACGACATCAAGAAGGTGCGCATGGGTTGTAATGGTATTCCTTCGTATTTTTGTTTAATTAAGTACGAGTACATGACTTGTATCTGCAACTGTGTCCATGATACGACAACCCCTGATCTTGGAGGTTGATCGTTATTCGTCAAGCATTTCGCATAGTCTCTCGTTGCACAATCATATTTTTGTGATAATTAATGCTAGACAACTAACTTTTGATAATGATCATCCCAAATGCAAGAAATAGAAGACAAGGGTAGGTGACCAACAAAATGGTGGAGCCAGGTACCTCAATCGTTCTTTTCGATTCCTCATTGCTTCCTAGACATTGCCAACAGTCCGCTTTTTGGCGGTGTCATCGCTTCTCTCTGCGACTGCGACCGTCTAGCTGCGTCTACTCCCACGCGGTAAAATTGTTCGGAATTCTTCGTGGAACATGATCCGCGCAGTCGCTGCTCCAGCGCGTGTTGAGTGTAACTTGTGCAATCTGTAGCGTGAGGGCATGAGCGCCGGTCTGTTTTTGGCGTTGCTTGTACCTGTGTTGTAAGTATTATTTTATTTACTGTGACTTTATGGCTAGTTGTAGTTGCTTTATGGAGCAGCGAATTCAGCTGAAATGAGAAAGAAGAGCCTCAACATTCGACGGAACAAGTTAGTAACTAAGAGCCAATGTTGCTTGTGGTTGTAATCTGATGCGAGTGGAAGGTCTACGTTTTTGTTCAGTGAATTATGGGCTTTCATGCCTAGTAGTAGAGAAGCACAGTAAAATGACGTCGCGACGGTGTGCTCTGCTCTTCTGCTGCGCACAAGCAGTACGTCGATATTAATTGGTAAAAAAAATACAACTCACCGGAGAGCAGCAGACTCTCTGCCGAGCAGATGCTGCCTGCTCGGGCTAAGGTGACTTCGTCATTCGAAGGGGCGAGGTCAGGACCGCACAATACAGACGAATGGAAAAGGCGGTTCCGAAGCAGGATCTCTCAACGACGTAGGGCAAACTCCTATCTTCGAAGCCCTTGGCGAGCGACGAGGCTGGTGAGGCCAGCTCCCCCTTTATCAAAAATGAGGAGCACAACCTGCTTGTCGGTTTATCCTTCTCCTACTTGTATTGGAAGGCGCGGCCCTTGCGCCAGGTCCACGACTCTCTCCCACCTTTTGACGACCTTGATGTCTGTATGTAGCTGCCTGATGTATGTGGCTGCTGAGAAAGCGGCTCCATCGGGTGCGAATGACAACGAATATCGCGAGATTGCAGGAAGATATCTCCGGAAGACGTGCAAATATCATGCACCACCACAGGACATCAGCACGCTGTCGTATTCCACAGCCGAAGGGGAAACGCAGGTGAGCGACGTCTTCGGTTTCACGCGAGAAGCGTCCGGCCATAGGCTGCGCATTCGCATCGGACAAGATCCTATATTGCCCTCCTCCAATTCGGGAGCTGCAACGGTAATGGGAGGTTCCTCTGCAGGCCCTGCTTCCCTGGCGGGATTTACAGCTTCAAGTGCGACCACACCAGGCGGAGCGGGCTCTGCGTTCGCGGCGGATTCGAGCGGACGAGGAGATGAGTATGCAGTGTTGACTGCATCCATAGAGACAAGGCGTAGCGACAACAGTGTTCTGGAAATGGCATTGGTTCGCGTTAACAACTCGACAATGCCGGCCTCCGTCAATCCGAACGCACCTCAACCGAACCGCAACAGTTATGTCTCATATTAGTATGTAAATGTGTGAGAAGTTATGGAGCCTTTGCGCTCAAGCACACCATATGACAACCTGCTTACACACAGGACAAAGATAAACCTTCATATTTATCAATCATAAACGTGATTCATCAGGGACGATGATGAGTGTGAATAACCATGGTACTGGTAGTTCTAAACTAGCGACGCGGAGTTGGGCAGTGATTTTTGGGTCTTCGCTGGGGTAGATCGCAGGGACCTTGTTACCGTAGCCACGGCAGTCGCCACTCGTAGTGGTCCCGCTGCCCGGAAACTGTCGCAAATTCGTGTGCCACCTGGTGAGTACGACCTGATTCTGAGAGTGGAAGGTGCGGAGGCGTTAGAGGAGGACAAGGAGGATGCCGCGGAAACGTCGAGCGACTGCCTCCCAGGGCGACTTGATATCTTCATAGCTCCTCACAATCGGCTGGACCTCATGTGGCCAGAATCTTGTCCTGGAAAATCACTAGAACCAACCCGAAACAAGAAGTTCGCTGAGTCGGCTGCAGGTTTATGTTCCAGAGTAGAACTACTACACAAACATTAATTATAAGTACTCATACGTAGCAGGTACAGGTAGGATTTGATTTATGTTTGCAAAATTTGAAAGGAATTCGTTGGACTAGTTAAAGCTATTGTTGCAGTGGTCACCACGAAGAGCTTCAAACATTTAATTAACTTTCGTACGCGCACCATCGTTTCTCTACCAGCATTCTTCATACTCGCTCGTCTCGTCTTTGATGTTTGGCCCCGGGGCTGCATCTGAATCCCAAGTGCTCACATTATCGCCTACTGCGCCTTTCCAGCTGGACAGCCGTAGTGATCAGACTTCTGTGCGTGACGTCGGCGACGTAAACTTGCCGGCACCCTACAGCTTCGACCTTACCAGGGTGGCCGCGGACAAGTTTCCTCCGGGAGGCAATCCTATGGCATCGTCCTCGTTTGCGCAACTATATAGCGGATTCGCGGATTTTACCATTAAGGTGTGGAGTGTGACGATCTTCGTTCCGCAAAAGCTGCATCGCTTCGCCAGGTTCTACTACAAGGTCAACTTCCGCTTTGGGTCCGTTCCATTAACGCTGTTGCTCCAGCAAGTCGGGAACTCACCGGATTCGCCTGTACCAGAAAGACCGGAAGAGATTAGCTGCTTCGGCCAGAACCAGTGCTATCCAGGTGTGAGCATCGCAAATGGCCATTAAGAATGTAAAGCGATCATCCATTTTTTGCAATCTGCTAACTTCGACAGTTGTAGATAACATTAGTTTCATTATTTATTTCGACTACCCTCGACATTCATCCATCTTCACATACGTTGAAGAACAGTTTAGGTGTACAACAAGTAATATTTTTGTAGTATTCATCGATTATCGATTTCGATGTGTCACTGCTCTGCTCAGTCTCATCTAAGAATCAGTTTTGGACCATGCGGTGCCGACGGGGTTCAAGTACAAGGTATGGCTTCTAGCATTAGACAGCGGATCCATCGCTTGGCCTCAGGCAGATCCAAATGTCCGGGCCTTGACGTTGAACGCGAAAAATAACTTCTGTCTGGACTATGATCTCTCCTACAAGGTTTCGTACGAGCAGCGATTAACGCCCTTCGAACTCGGCCCGACCTCATGGATGTGCAGCTCGTCCACCTTGCCGGGAAGTCTACTCTTAAGGCTAGCTGGGCCAGCTAGACCTAGACTCTGAATATATTCGACTGTCGTGTAGTTGATCCTCCTGTTGGGCGGACAGAGCATTTCTCTGAAGACAACGCAGAGCATTTCCTACCGATCATGAAGCTCCTGAGGGAAGGCGAATATTTTGGCAGATGACACAGGCCAGGCTCAGCTCTTCTAATTGTGCAAACGAGACTGCAGGCTAAGTTGAAAGATGCCGCTGATAGCATAGTGGCGCGTGTATTGCATCTTCGCGATCACTACTCTTTTTCGAGAAGCCAGGCAGAAGAGATTGAGCATGTAATGCGAATAGAGGTCACAGACGAGTCACTGTTTCGCGTAGCCATTTATCAAACAACGGCAGACACAACTGTCCGAGTAAAACTCTTTGCGGGCGAACCTCCTTCGAGTTCTTCTAGCGCTAGCGGCGCTGAGGAGGAGTACTGCGCGCCGCACAGCAATGAAGGACGACAACGAAGGGAAAGCATCTTCTGTCGATTGGTTCCGGGAGTGTACCGTCTCGCATTTTATTCGGACTATACCCTTGGGGGTGTGCACCCATGTCAATATTATGCGAAGACGATTCTTTTGGTCCGTCTATTCTTTCTCTCAGGCTCATTACAACAAGTACATGATCAAGTCTACTTACTTCGCTAGTTTCACATATTACAATTACTTGCGCTTTTACTGTTGATCATGTTCATCTAGAATGACAAAAATGTACGGTAGCGCCTGCGTCTGCAGCAATTGCCTTTTTTAACATGACTTCTTGTGGTGTTGTTTTTGTTTTTCGAGGAATCTTCTTCACTGGTACAACTGAACTGCGTTGTCGAGATATCACTGGCACTCTTCTAAGAGTGCTTTCAGATGCAGCTCGCACTGCGTCCTGTCGTTCAGGTTCCACAGAGTTCGGTCGCCAAATGCCCAAGTAGCGGGGCCGGCGTAATGCTGCCACTTAGCAGTCTCGATTCCCTTTCAGTGACGGAGTCTGTTCTGACACGCTGGAAGGCATTGCAGTATCCGATCGAGCTACATAGTTCCGAAGTAGACCGGAACACGATCGTTGCTGTGTGGACGAAGCAGTTTCAAGTGACGGATAGCGACACTGCGCGCAAACCGTACTTGAAAATGGCAGTGCATAGCGACTTTCTGACTGCGGATTTTCGGTTCAGTCTGTCCTTAGACGGGCAGCAACTGGTCGAGCCAGTGCTGGTGAGCAGCGGATACTCAAACTTAGTCGAACTCGCGAAAGCGGGCCAGTACTCGTTGAAGCTGTACTACCTGACCGGCGATAATCACGTGCGAACGACGTGGACGCTAGAGTCCCGCGACGTGGTGCTGTGTCCCAAGTTTCAAGTGGATTTGCGAATGGTTCACCGCATTTTTCCAGAAAGAAATGATAAAGGAGCATCGTCAACCACTGGTACAGGTACTAGTGCAGGGACATCAGGTGGCTCATCGGCAGGAGCTGGGATCACGCCTGAACAAGTGAAGCTGAAGTATGGGGACATTCACGGCATCGAAAATACCTACGCTTCTGCTGCAGAAGATCACAGCTTCGACAACGTAAAGGACCCTATGTCCAACAATTTCGATTTGGGTGCGGAAGACGCGCTTGCGGCCAGTACGAATAGCAATGGCCAGGTCGTGGACGCGGTTGGCGGTTTGAACAAGGTTGATCCGCATGCAACCTGGCTGTGCAAAGTTGGTCTGCCCTCGTTCCCGACAAAAATCACCTCCCACGCAGGCGAGCCCCTGATTATGGACTCCATTTTTGTAATTCCGTTTACCGGTTCCTTTGTGACAACTCTCTATCTTCCGGAGGAATTTTTGCTGAAGATTCAAGTTCGCGACTCCGGTGATAGTGGCCACGGTGTCACTTTTTCGGTGACGCCTCGGGCGAAGACCACAGGAAAAACCGCGGCCGGAGGAGACTCGACTACTCCTGCGCCTCCTGGTGGTGGCGGCGTCTATCAGATCTCAGATCCTGGGGAGGGCAGTTTTTTGGCGGTGCTAAACCCCAAGGATCCGAACAACGCGGATCTGCAGCCCAGGGATCAGGGTGAGGATCCTACAAATGGCATGCTGTCGCTTCTCGGCTTCGAGCTGACCATCAAAGAACAGAAAAGAGGTGTCGGCAAAAAGCAGCGCGGAAAATGCCCACAGATGCGCATCAATCTCGTTCTCCAGCCCCTTTCTGTGACCTCACAGTGTCCCTCCACGGGTGTGGCAACGCAGGCCGACGTTGATGGACTCTTACCTCCCATATTACAGGAGTTCAACTATAAACCGCAAGCACAAGCTACCGTCAGCGGAGGGAGTTCTTTTGTGAGCGTCACTGGCATTTTGACAGGAGACAGCGGTAGTTCGGGTGCGGGCACAGCTTTATTATCCCTCTCAATGGTTCTTGCTCTCTAGTAGAGGATATTTTGTGCTGAGCTATTTGAGTAGAATATCCTTTGCCTTTCACGGATAAACGACGAAAATAGTACTACATTTCCTTGGTCCTCTTGCTTGATGCCTTGATGTCTCCTAGTCCCGTCTGCGTATGAAGATTGCAGTGGGTCGAAAATCAAAGACGAGAACGTTGTTGCTAGGTAATCATTGTCATCATGTTCTAATGCTCGGGGCAGGCACAGGCCCGTTTGGTTCTGCTTCTCAAACTCAAGGACAGAAAGACTCATCGAGTGCTGCGATCATAGATGTTCCCCCTGAACAGCGTCGCAGTTTTTGGGTGAATGCTGTGAGTTCGTTCCGCAGTGCTTTCCGTGCAGACGGTGAAGCGAGTATTCGACTCGAGGCTGTGATGCAACCACCGTGGTTGCCATTGCGCATCCGACTGTTTCGCAAGGGCAGTGGTCCCATCCCGGTTGCGCGCGGCTACGTGCATGAGCAGCGCGTGCTCATGCTAAAAGACAACTTAGAAGGTGGCGACTACGAAGTAGAGATAGCGACCCTACCGGAACAAAAAGGGAAAATGGCGGAGAATATTTGCGCGCATGTGACTTTGTACGCACAAGCGGCCCTGAAGAATGATTTTAACCGCGAAGAGCTGCGAGCAGAGCTTGTAGACGTTCCTGAATTGATGCCGATCATACCTTTCCCAGCACACTTTAATCAAGTTGGAATGTTTGACAGGCGGCGCCGAACCATCACTGTAGGCATCTTTTCCTTCCCGGAAGGTGGTGAGTTTGGTGCACCAAACCCCACTAGTGCAAGTGGTGCAACCTCCAGTGGTGGAGACACCACTGCTTTTGCGAACGGCAACGTAATCGTGGGTAGTAGCAAAGGAGTCCCGCTGTCAGATGGAAGCGGCTACTTGTCGGTGAAGGAGCCGACCTACATGAGATTGGCGGGAGAGCCTGCTGATCTAGTGCAGACAGCGGCCAAGTTGAGCGTAACTAACGCCAACACCAAAAAATCGGTTATAGGAGACGAGGAAGCGAGTCTTTTCGACCGTCTTCTGTTACTGGAGTCCGGAAACTACCAAATCCGGATGACCGCCGCCGTGGCGTACTTGATCACGTTTGTTAAGGGTGGTGTCTTTATCTTTAATAAATCGTCTATCTATTAATCGTTACTACAGGGTGGTGGATCCATCCTCAGATGATCTGTACAGGGACGCTCCCGCTTCCGTAAACCCACCAGGGATAGTCCTTTTTGTTTTTGGGTATGGATCTCCACAGGCACAGAAGATGAGAAAATTAGGGGTGGCTCTAAGCTTGCCCTCGAAACTAAGGCACTCGCGGATCGAGAACAGGAGGCGGTAAAGAATTTTGCGAATCAGGGAACTTGCCTCAATCTCAACTCCAACTACGATCCCAATCAACCCGGAAACTTCATTATGACCGAAATCGGCTTGCCCTTGCTCGTTCGACATGGAAAAGTTGTGCTGGACCGAGAGACAATCATAGGATTCGACTAGTTGTACACACGGAAACGGAATGACAAGTCCGAAGAATTTGAACTGTGTGGACAAGAAGGAGTCGAGTTCTTACTATTTCATCGTCTACTTATAATATAAATCATTTTCATTAGACATTATTTCTAGCGAAATTACAATATAAAGCAATCATGAAACAAACTCTAGCTCTTTTCTAAGCTTGATCTGTTGACGCAACCACCGCTGGATAAGCCTGTGTGGGATTTGCGAATGCCCCGAGTGTATTTCAGACAGACTTTTGTGGACCGGGTAATCGCCTCGATGAAGGTGAAGATAACACAACCTAGCTTACTGCATTTCGAGGCAGGCACAAACTTCTTGATCGACCATGCCTCCTTCGCAATTCAAATACCAGAGGGCCTGATTTAAGACTGTAATCTACTCTGTCTAGTACACAATAATATGATACTTATCCAGTTGTAAGCAAGTTCGTCTTCGTTGTCCATAAGGAATCCAAGAAACCCACAATCTTTGCTACTTCATCTTGGCCTCATGTTGATCGCTTGACTCTACAACTTTTGTTTATAGTACAGCAAAATTGAAATAGACAAAGGGCCGCGGCGAGATGCTCCAAAACCAGGTAGATGGTTTAGTTGTATGTGGAGCTCCAATTGTCGCAAGCCGAACAGCGTGGCTCTGCCAGTAACCTAGAAGTGGAGCTGCCACCTGGAGAGTACACATTACGGCCACAGCTGTTTACACCATTTTCAGTAATTTGAAAACCAATTACACCAAGAAATGAAGAAGGCTGGTTATTTTATTGCTTTGTGCTTCGTTTTTGAGTTGGCGAGGACGAAGGTTGATGAAGATGAATGAAATGATAAGTAACTACAACTCTTGAAGACAGTTACAACAGCTCCATTCAAATCAAAGATCAGTATCAGTTGACAGCCAACAAGGGTGTAGTAGTAAAATTAAGTACCATTTATTTGTACACTTTCGAGTTCGAGATCTCTCCTTGCGCTAAATAGAGTCGAACTCCAGCAACGTCCAGACGCGACTGCAGTCGCGTCGTTGGGACTCCAGGACCACTGTGGAGTCTTTTCTGCAAACCTCTGGCTTGTGCCGCTGTCTGCCAAGAGCCTTTCTTCTTAAGAAGCTGAAAGTTCTGAGTTCTGAGTACCGTTTTTTGTTTGCTGTAAAAAGAATATTTGCACTTTGGTCTTCCTCGATCCATCTCATTACAAGCCTTCTGCACTTGGGATTGCTCAAACTTGAGAATGAACTGTTTCAGCCTTTAATCTTCTGCACTGAAATCGATCTCGAGTGGTTCAAGTGGTAATCAGAACCTATTCAACGCAGGTGGGGCAGGTCCGCAAGGAATTGCCGCAGAGGCCGTCGTTGAAGAGCAGACGGAGGAGACCGACGTCGGGGAGTGCGAGGACCCGCAAGCAGTCCCGCTGCCACTGGATTTCGGCGTGGGCGGCGGCTCGGAGAAAATGGGTGGACCTATTGACCCCAACATTATGGCGGCCAGTAATGAATCTTTTGCATACGACGGATTTTGATCCTGAAGAATAAAGATTGAAGATTCATTAGCGTTTAAGTACGTTTCTTAGGAATCAATTTGTGTCATAGGTCACGAAATCAATTTCAATAAGAATTTTGACTGAGTAGAAAGAGATTTCTGGAAGGCGCAACATGTGTGAAGGGAAAAGTCATCTCGGCCCTCTATAGGTGCTCTAAGAAACCCGGGCAACTGCTTCTGCGGTCTCGGATTGCGGTGACCGATATCCATGATGGACGTAAGAAAGTTTTTCTTCCAAGCCCGACAGGGCTGCCGGCGTCCACAGGTGAGAGTAAGCTCTTAATGAAAGTCGAACTCCAACATTTGAGCCGTGACGACAGGGAGGACGTGCAGTTCGACGTCTCATTTCCGGGCCCGAACAAAAAATACGACCCGAAGAACCACGTGCAACCTGCAGCGTTGTATTTGTTACAGACTAGTAGAAAGTGGATTGAGGTGTCGGTGTAGTGGAACGATCTTCAGTTTGACAATAGCAGTACTCTCGCTCAGTGTCAGTCAGTGTTCTTGAAATTACTTTGCTGCCCGCCAGTGGTTAGGTATTAATTCCAATTTAGTACAAGAACGACGTCGCCCTTTATTGCTCACCTGTCGTGTCAGTATCAAAAGTTTGAGCCATAATTTCTCAGGTATCCAACTACCACGGGTTTTGCTGCATACTACGTCTTCGATGTGCGAAACTCTCCTGGGTTATGGCTGAGTTTTCATCACTCGCGCCCGCGAGCGTGCATGCTGTTTGACCTCGTGATTGAGACGCGCGATCAAGGTGACATAGCTCGCATGACACAGTGTGGCGGAGACAAGGTGGTCGACGCGGGGGCGATCTTCCCAAATTTTGGTATGCTTACTGCTCTGATGAATATAGATAACGCTGATCTTTATCAATGAATTAGAGGTCTTGCCTGTCGTGTTTAGAAGTATTTGCCTGTGTTGAGAACAAGTATTCTTACGAAGATAGAGATAGGATAAAGATTTTCATCAGCAGGTACGACACCGGGAGGGGCCTTGCAGCTTCCGTTCAAGTACGAGAGCGGTCCGATTAGAGTGCGTGAGGGGAAAGGGCCACGCCAACCGACAAAGGCGTCATTTTCATTGCCCCAAGACGCGTGGATTGTGTTCGAAATCCAGCACAACTTTATGCTGTCGCATCAACAAGCAGTTTTGCACGAAGACGACGATCCGGTAATTGATTATATTTTCCAATCCTGCACGACTCTCATTACTTTTCAAATTCAAAGCTTTTTCTTTTCCACTTCTCCTAGTGACGGAGATGTCGTCATAATTTTTCTTTTTGGCATCATGATCATGATATTGAGTTACTTATTTGAGACAAACTGCATCAACAAATAACGCATTTCATTCTACACCCGCTCTAATAGAGCTGGGTATCTCTTCTTACGTCTACCTGGACCGAAAAAAGTAGAGCATGAGCATGACAACGTGTAACATCAATCATCGTTCAGGTTTTCGACACGGACCTGTATCTCAAGGGGTCTTCGAGCGACGCGATGACGGTGAAGAAGTGGTTTGCTCTCACGCTTTCCGCAGGCACAAAATCGTGGTCGATTGAGTACACGAACGAGCTGTGGGCAGACAGCTTTTCCATCCTCCGTCAGTGGACTGGAAATATTGCTAAGGGTTTCCACATTGCATTCTTCACCATCACCACCATTCTTGGCCTTTTTCCCAATGGGAAATGATTCAGGGATGTTCTGGAGAATGTAATGCGGGCACCTCTAATGCTGACGCTTGCGTTCCCATGTCACTGTCAATCACGCTAGTGCCAATACCGAATGATCCCTCTCACGGGAGCGCTTACGCAAGCATTGCCTCGGGGTCCTCGAACAGTAATATGATGACAGCAGGTGGAGCAGGAGGAGAGGCGCCGAGTATTCTATCGGTGGTTCCGAATGGTGACTACCCTCTCTGTGCAGTTTGCGGAGCTTTGGAGGTTCGGGTACGCTTTTCTAGGCCGTTGGAGATGCCTTCTGTCAACGCAGCAGACGCCGGCGAAGCGCCGTTTCTGTTAGCTGGAGTGCCGCCAACCATCCTTGGGACGCAGCAAACAGATAACCTGCGGTGGGGGGACATGGAGGAGGGAGGCAGCGTGTGGGCGCTCACCTTCATGCTTCCCGATGGATATCCAGCGCCGATGAAGTCCTACCACTTGACACTGGGAACGTCACCGATACTCGCAAATGTCATCATCTGGGATCAGAACGGGAACCTGCCAATCTACCGCGCAGACCCGAACGCCTCTCCCTCGAGAGCCCCCGGCTCACCGGCAACTCCACCGCTGTGGGCGGGCGGACCGATTACGCCAGCATTGGCAAACGCAAACGGGCAAGCGGCGCCGGTAACGCTAATGTCTTCGGCAGTAACTCAACAACGAAACAACATAGCCTCCATAAAAACAAATGCAATGCCATCTCCAGCCGTGCAGCAACAGCAGCCACAAGCGAAGCCAGTAGAACTCGCTCAAGCTAGTATGCCCAACCCAGTGGCACAACAGCAAGAGCCCGGTCTAGTAGGAGGCTGGGGGGTGCCACAAAACCCAGGTACCACTGCGGGCGCCACTTCTTCTAGTGGTACTCCCGCTAATGTTGCGCCAGATCCTCAGCCGGTTCGTGGGAGCGCTCAAGACTTGCCACCCCGGCCGCCGCCGAAGGAGGTGCCTAATCCTAACAGCAAGTATGTTCCACCAGCGTGGGACGTCGATGGTAAAGCGCAGCAACAAAGTGGCTCTAGTACAAGCGGGGGCGGCGCCTTTTCCTCCCGTGTGCCGCAGTTTGCCTCGCGGGGGATGCCAGGCACTCCCGCTGGAGGATCAGGTAGTACAAATGCTCAACAAGCTCAGCCAGCCGCGACCAGTGTAGGTGGTGACGAAGGTCCGAGTGACCCGTTCGCCGCAAAGGGCTCAACCCCACGACGCGGTCGCAGTAGACTCATTAGTCGAAACTGGGGTGCCGGCTTCAACACCGGTGCAGATGGCGCCAATGGCGACGCATCTTCTACCTTTTCTAGTAGTGCTGGTGCCAACAACAAGAAGCCTTTGACGAAGAAGCAGTTGTGCGAGGGCGATTTTAGTTCAACGTCGTCCATTCTTGCAGCTTTTTATTACCCGCTGTCGTTCTTGAGTCCCTATTCGCTCAATGAGAAGACAGAGCAATGCGAGTTCCTCCCGTACTCATACTTATGCACTGGGGTTCGTGTACTAAGTGCAGGCAGTAGAAGTAGATTCTCACAGCTTAGATTCTTTTTTGTTCTGAGAAGTTTATGCGAAACTGCAAGGATTCCCGCAACACTATCAGAATTCTTACCGGGATAAATCCTGCTCAGCGAAAACTCATCTTAATTGTAAGTACTTGCTAAATATATATCAAAGACTAGGAGGGAGTACTTCTTCAATCCACATCATACTTGCTTAGAGTTAGGTTTTGGTTTAATTTACGACGAACGAGAACAAGAAAAGCTTATACCCTTTGCTTCTCTGGATCTCTAATAAAAGTGCAGTTTCTTGCCTCGTCGGACGCAATACCGTTTTACTTGCAGCTTTGTGGCGCGTGCATCGTCCTCTACCTTCTTCTTTTTGGTTATCGAAGGTGGCGTATGGCGCTTCGCCACAAAGACCTGGAGGAAGAGGATGAGTCCGTTTTTCGTCCTCATGTCCTACGAAGGGAGGCAGAAATGGAGGAATTTCTTTGAAAATCAATGGGAAAGAAAAATATCTCAACGAACATCTACACGAACGAGCTGTAGCTTTGATAGTAAACAACTCCATCAACGGGAACGAAGTATGTCCATGCATGTTAGTACTTGAGTATGTACATCTCGTTGATGATAGTTACATATGGCGCAACGATCCTAAAATGGTTCCAATGCGTCGGGATCGATTAATTTTTTTCATTGAGACTTATTACAATTTTATTGCTTGCCATGATGTTGTATTCGTGTTGGTATTCTTGTCTGCTCAGTCTTCATAATTAGCCAGCTTCATCTTGATCCAGGGCTAAGACTTTACCATGAAGCACGCTCCAACTTGTACTACTACAACGATATATTTTATTAACGCGCAAACGTCAACGTGGGAGTGGGGTTTATTCTGCTCACATACAAGTCTCTCAAAATGTCATTTCCTCTATCGAAAAAAAGGATCAAAGAGACAGCTTCTTATTTTTTAGGCGATGCAAGTGGAACTACGGATAGTCTTCTCGTGTTTCAAAATGAAAGCGAAATGCTAATGATATGGGGCACCTTATCAAGGATAGTTGTGGTTGAACTTCGAAGAAAGGACCGGGGGAGCTGCAGTTGTTACGATCTTGGTTATTGTAAGTAATAGGATATGAGATGAATGATTTTCTGTCCATATTCATTTGTTCAATAATTTCAGACTCTGTTATGGACCTGTATTCTTCTGGGATTCATCTTCAGAACGACGAAGATTCCTCATCAAGAACGAAGTTGTAGGTGAGGAACATACGAGACTTCGCAGATCTCAATTATCGCAGCAACTACTGCAGAAGAGTGCGGCGCTACATCGGGCGAGAAGATTACTGTCTACTGGTTTGTTTAAAACAATTTTTCGAAAAATGACAAAATGTGTTAATGTGGTTTTAATCATTCATCTGGATTTGCCTTCTCGTACATGTTCAAATGTTGGTCATGTGAAAGGAGAGCGGCAGAGACGAGAGATCAACAAGTAGGAATTACCCCTACCACTTTGCCAGAAAGTAAATGAAGATCTCTCAAGTTTTTTGCTGCCGTGCTACTGTACGTAGGTTAACAACAAGACGCAACATCCTATCATCAAGATGATTGTGCCGACAGAATCAGTAGAAGCGGGCACCCTCCGCAGCATCGACGAGCTCGAAGATCCGGCGGAGAGGATGATTGATGCGTATGCGAGGAATGCCTCGCTAGTCCACCACCCGTCTTCAACAAGCGATCCTCCACCACACGTCTCGAGACAGGATCCTCCACCACCTTAAGGTCGAGAACGCCCTCTATAGAGGCCTACGGGGAAACCTTTTGGGGGTTATGTTCCACCGCCATCAGTTTCCCTGACCCTTTCGCCCCTGCCTCCTTGGCCACCTGTGTGGTCTCCGGCCCTGCCTCCTGTTGGGTCCCTAGTGGTCTCCCTGCAAAGGCAACCGGGGGGCCCGTGGCTGCCGGGAGACCAGTGGAGACCCCACAGGAGGCCAAGGAGGCAGGGGCGAGAGGGTCAGGGAAACTGATGGGGGTGGAACACAACCCCCATAGGTTCGCCCGTAGGCCTTTATAGAGAGCGACCTCGACGCTACCCTCCACCACCCGCGCCGAAGAAGCGGCCCCCAAAACCCCGTCGCCAGACGCGAACGATCCTCCAAAACCCGTTTTCAGACAGGATCCTCCACCACCTGTCGTCAGAGACGATCCTCCAAGACTCGCCATCACCGGGAGAGAGTGAGATGGGTAGGCGACGGCGAGCTGGAAGAAATGTACTTATAGTGTTACCCTTCGGAAAGGAAACATTCCGCCTCATGTGCTTACCAAGAAGGTAAACAACAATCGCGACTACCACTACGAAGAAAAGAGGTGGGCTCGCACCCAGAAACAGAGCATCGAGGCGCCGACGCGGGTGAAGAAGTCGAGGCAGGTATCGCGCATCAACGGGGAGCCTTCCAGTACAGGAACCGACTTACACACGAGAAAAGCTGGACATCATCAGACAAGCCCTAGAAAGAGCGTGGCAGAGGTGGTCAAACGAAAGTGCAGCGTGGCAGAGGTGGTCGAAGGAAAGTGCAGCGTGGCAGAGGTGGTCAAAGGAAAGTGCAGCGTGGCAGAGGTGGTCAAAGGAAAGTGCAGCGTGGCAGAGGTGGTCAAAGGAAACTGCAGCGTGGCAGAGGTGGCCAAAGGAAAGTGCAGCGTGGCAGAAGTGGTCGAAGGAAAGTGCAGCGTGGCGGAGGTGGTCAAAGGAAAGTGCAGCGTGGCAGAGGTGGCCAAAGGAAAGTGCAGCGTGGCACAGGTGGCCAAAGGAAAGCGCAGTGTGGCAGAGGTGGTCAAAGGAAAGTGCAGCGTGGCAGAGCTGGAGAACGGACCGTGGAATAAATCGGAAACACGAGTGTTGGAGCGTTACCCAGCTGTACCCTCGGGCAACGCATGCAACCGAACAGGATTTGGAAAGCAGAGGCGCGTTCGCCAATCTTTTACCAAGAATGCCTACGGCGATAACGGCAACAGCACTTTCTGCCGTGCCATATCGATATCTGAAGGGCAAATTCGGGCTGCGGACGAGTGCGATTCACATTCCTTCCCGGATGATGAATGGGATAATTGGGGTGCGACAATTGGCGCAGTAATTGGCGCGATAACTGGGGCGAGCGTCCGAGGATTGCTCGGATCAGTGTTGGGCGGTGCTCTCGGCTGGAAAGCCGGATCGGCCATCAATAGGAACTTCACAAGTAGGCAGTTTGCAAAATGTACCACACGAGACTGATGGCCATGGGATGGAGGTCTGACTGTGAGGGCAGACAGATACCAGAAGTTCTAGTGTTACGTCTGTGCCTGTGGAGGCAGACACCTTCCAGTAATTTGTCAGGGTTTTGTAACGACTATGAACCAAAATAATGAGAAGCAACATCATGTGGAGCTCAAGCAAACATTGTGTTCGGCTCAAAGAACTCAACAGCTCGTTGTGATGCAAGCAGTGTAGCATTTTTCCTTGTATTTGCCGCGTTGTGAAAGAGCTGTTGGTTTGCATTTGAGATCCCCAACGCCAAGTTTTATCTTCCTTGTCTAGGGTATTTAGATTTTTTCGTGGGAACCGTGGAAAATTCCGTTTGCCTTGTTGTGCTTTTTCTTAATCCTCTCAAAAAGCAACCACAAACTGTAAACGTTAGTATTCACTCACACTTAGCACTAGTTGTAGATTGTTGGTGCTGTTCGTCTGCACTTAAGGAGCAACGAAATGCCGGAGCTCGTGCCGTCCGAGTGGGGCGCCGAGGCCTTACGGTTACGGAACGAGGAAGAGCTTTCTGCGAAGGCTATCGCGGAAAAGCTAGCTGTCTCTCTCCGCAGCCTGAAGAACCTTTTCACCAAGGAAAACGCCAAGTTGGAGTCGATGCCTGGTCTCGGGTCGCTCATGTCAAATACGGTCGTGGAGTTGGTCTTTCAGCCGAGATTTCAGGCGGCTCTGCATGGATACATGACCACGAATCTCAAGGTTTTCGACCTCGAACAGTTCAGCAAGCGTCGGATGCCGCTGGTCGTCATGCCGCCTCCGGAACCGATTGAGGCCCTCTACCCGCTTGGAAGTTGCAAGCTGGTCGCAACCATCATTGGTACGCTTTGCAGCCCGTTTTCCGAAACAGACAAATTCGAAAACAGCGCAAGTTTAATTTCCTGACCCGCAATGCTGACTTCGGCAAACCTGAAAAGCCAAATGCGGACGAAGAGGTACTGCGCGGCGCGGTCGCGACGGCTTGCCGCAAGATGAAGACAAACTCCGGAGTCGGCATGTGTCTCAACCTGAACCTTTCGGACGTTCATGGCACCCCCGTCTGGTCGGCAGCGCCACCGACGGTCACTTCGCCCACTGCTTCAATCTGGTTGTCACGGCGCCGCGCAAGGTTGGTAAGCGTGCGGAGGTGCGGGTTTTTTCGGCGTTCAAAGACAAGGACATTCGTTGGTGGCTGGAAGGCCCGGGAGCCGCGGTGCGCTCGGGGCCGATCGACGTGGACGCGTTTCTTTTCGCCTTTCGCGCGGTAGAGACGGCAAACACGTGGGGCGCTGCCACGGACGCGGTTTTCGAAAAGATGTTCTGCGTCACCCTCCCGGATCTCCGCGGAAAGCCCAAGCCCTGGCCTGTGATTACTCGCGTTACGGTTCTGGAGTCCGGGTTCACCGAGGCGAGCCTGCGCAGCTCGGCAGAGCTCTTCCGCCAAAAGAAGTGGCACATGTCAGGGACGCCATGGACGGCGGAGATGGATGAATCGTGGCGACAGTCTCAGACCGCGTTCGAGAGGATGTCTGAAGAGAGGCAGGACGCGTTGCTACGTGGAATTCGGGCAGGAATATCAGTGAACATCTTCAGAGAAGAAAATAGGAACGCGGATAAGTATCAAGTATAGGTCGATTTTGTATATCTTCGACGACCGTGAAACAAAGTACCGCTCGGACGGACTATATTATCTCCTCGCTATTCATGGTGACCTGTCTCTTCCGCGAAATAGGTACCATAGTCGCAAGAACATGGTCGTAGACGGCCACCACCTCCACCGTACGAGCTAGAGCCCGCAGAAAGGCTAAAAGTCTTGCTGACGCGTTTGCGCATCTCATCCTCCTTCTGATGGCAAGGCATCCTCTTCCCGTCACGAACGATTTATTCCAAAATGAAGTAGCATGGTGATGGTCATCGTGATTTATTTGCAGATGACCGCGCTCCTCTGTCGGTGTCCTAGCCATCTCCCGTCCCCTTAGTATGCTCGCTCTGATTAAGTACCTGTATCTTCCTAATTATTCCGCGCGAGTAGTGTAGTCTTCAAACTGGCCGCTGTCTAGTCCAATCACACACACTAGCTCTTTTGTGAAACACGAGGAGTGTCAATGGATTAGCTTAAGCAACGTCACTATTCTTCATTCGTCGTGGTCCTTGCGTTTCAATGTCAAAATCATATCTTGTGAAAATGATGTCGCGGGCCAATTCATCTTCAATGATAGTTGAACTTACTTCGAAGAAAGAACTTACTAACACCTTACACGTGCTGCTATTTGATGACAGGAGCTAGAGGACTTCTATATTTAATTCTATCTATTCTAATGTTAAGTTCACTTTTGCATTCTCAATGACAGTCTGTCATGGACTACATGATCGTAGTGTTAAAAATGGTAATACTTTTTTGCGATCCACCTCTTTCAGCAACAAAGAACATACTTTCGTTTCTCTATCTTCAGACACTTCGCAGATTTCTTCAACCGGCGCAGCAGCTAGTGCAGAGGAGCGCGGCGCCACATTGAGGTCAACATTGACAGACGGCGCACCTACTGTAAAACAATGATTATATGATGTCAGTTTTCGGACGATAGGATCATTCACATGCCTTTAAGATCCTGAACCATTTTCAGGAAATGTTGATTATGAAAAAGAAACATCAGGAAAGAGAGATCCAGAACCCTCTATGACTTCCCCAGCACCTGCAACATTCAACATCACGCATTAGGAGTCTTTTTCTAGTACTTCTGTAAAAAGCACGCAGTATTCTTTTTGTCTTCGTAGTTTTTAAGACAAGCTGTAAATTCAAACTAGGATGATAACAAAAAATGTTATAAATTTAGATCTCACTATGGATTTTTTTGAACCGCAACCGATCTCGTCTTTTTCTCCGTCGTATATGCTTGGAAAAAAAGTCGAACGCTATAATGTGGAAAAATAAATAGTAGTAGTTTAAGATAGTTGAAATTCAAGTTCATTTTGAATACGACCACATGCGTAATCTGGTGTCTCACTACGGTGTTGTCATTTGTTCGGCAAGCGACTAACTGACTCAATAATCGCAAGCGTGATGCCATCCTCGTTGTCGTTTTTAGCTGCATCTGTATTTGTAACGCCAGCGTCTTTGCTTCTTTCATCTTTCAATTTAATTAAGCCGAAACTCGAGCGAGCTACTTATTTATTAGTTCTCACCAGTATTCTATCACTGTGAGTTTGGGTCGTCTTTTTGCTTTTTATCCTCCTCTTTCTACTCTGTCATTGATAAAACTCAGCGTCAACAGCGCCCACTTTGTGGAGTCCATCATTGTTGCTATTTATCCGTTGTAGATCTTTCGCAGCGGTTACCGTCGTGCACGTGCTTAATCGTTTGGTAGTTTTAGCCGCCTGGCCGTCGTGCTTCAGGCTTCTTGCTGAGTGGTTAGGTGCTCTTATCGCGAGGAACGTAAACCCAGGCAAAAAAAAAGAAAAGATCTTTGGTGAGCACAGAATGAGTGAATGAATGAATGAATGAATGAATGGCCCAGAGTTCATCAGGTTCAGGGCCTACCAATCTCTCCCTCCGAGTCCGAGTGCAGCAATGAATCCGCCGACTTATGCCAGGACTGAGCAGTCCACTACTACAAGGTCGACTATTTGCAAGCGTTGCAAACAGCCTTTCGAGATTGTCTACTTGCCACCACCCTCAAATGGACACTTGAAGACTCCAGAGATGACGTCGCCAAGTGCGACTACAGCACAAAGTACCACGATTTAAGGGCCAACATATTACGAGTCATTTCTCACGGTTTTCTTGGGATTCCGAAAAAATGAACCCTAGAAATGAATTTTTTGAGCTCTAAACAATGCCAGTCCCAGTTCCTCTTCCCGGTGCTGGAGTAATTTCTCATTACGGCGATATCGTAACACCAGCCTCTTCATCGAGCTCGTCAGTAGCAGGAGGTGCTATTTCGTCCACTCATCTCTCTTCCCCGTCCGCTGCAGCACTGTCGAGTGGAGTTCAATATTTGCGACCATCCACTCCTCCTTCGTCTTGGATGCTCAGTCACGAAGGAAGAAAGGTCGTGGAGGCGAAAAGAGATCCGACGGCATGTCGATTCCATCCAGAGGCTTACTCGCAAGAAACGGCCCAAAGATGGCTAGAGCCTGGCAGTACTGAGAATGGCTCCAGAACCGAAACCTTCTGGACGTGTTGCGGTGCGGCAGCCTATGACGCGCCAGGATGCCGGACATCCTGGCATATTACATTTGATGAAGAAGATACTATTTGTTGGATGTGATTTTCGTGGGATTATATTATATAATTTGTCAAGAACATTTAATGGATCCATAGCCAATCTTACTTTAGTCGCGCTTCTTTGGGGTGATAAAAGATGAAAAAGATTCTTTCATGTTTTCTCCCGTCTGTGTGGTCGACGTCGACGTACCGAGTCGACCTTTCACACACATCAGAATGAAAATGCAGGCTTGGTCGTGTTCTTCATCGCAAGAACAAGTGTAACCTCAGGAGTGACCTTCTCTGCTCTGAACGATCATGACACGTCGAAAATATGTGACATCCGGTTCATGATGGTTATCTTTCAGCGCTACTTCAAAAAATCTATGCGGTCGAAGTGGTGAATGCGATCCATCTAATGTGGTCTTCTTTTCAAATCGGTCCATCGCTCATGTTGTCCAACAAGTGATCCTTTTTATAACGCTCCAAGTAGAATGACAATGACTGTTACTATCTACTTCATGATGAATCCTGATGTCGACGTGGTCGTGGAGGTGGGGGAGAAGGAATGACAATCTTTACCTTCGTGTGAGGACACATCTTCTTGGTAGAAGAACTTACTAGAAGTGCATTGACGAGCTTGAATGCCAATCATGAGTTTGCAAGCTGAAAATACTGTCGTGGGCGATGATTCCCCTTGTGCTTACCACGATCATTTCTGCGAGAACCGTTCCCGTTCTGGATGTTGATGGATGATGTTCCTGCTCAAGAATATCACTATCATGGAAGGATCGATCTCTTACGAACGCAAAAGCCTTCTGGTGGAAAGCTAAAAGTAAGAATGAAGATACACGTGGTGGCACTTGGTTTAGAGCTAGAAGAAATCGATCTTGTAGAGCATCTCGGTGACCGTCTTCCCTTAGGAAACGGGCCGAAGATGCTGGCCAAGATGGATTTCTTCAAGCCATTAGTTACGTTTTCTTTATTTAAAAATTCTCATACTACATAGACTGATGTAATAAACTAGTGCTACTTTTGATAGTTGCATTCGTTCATCTCCATCATCGTTTGTTTACTTGTTCGCATTTCATTTCCTTAACTAAGAAGTATTCAAATTGAAAAATGTGAGACTACTTGTTACATGTCGCTGGTATGGTCCCAGCGTAAGAAGCAAACCAATTTTATGTTTCAACTACTCTTGCAGGTCTCGTTCTTGTTGTAGTACTATCTAAGAAGCAGCGTAGACAACTTGTTGAGCCGTCGGCTTCTGTTGTGTATCAGTAACTGATTTGTTTCACGATCCTATGAATGTTTTTACTCGTGACAACGATGACGGAAGCTTGTAGTGCTTCCCCCTTCCGGGGTGGTTAAGGATAAGGCCTGACGTTGAAACGTTGATTGTTTGTGGAGGCGCTCATGACATCGTAATCATTGTTCGGAAGAGAGCAGCCGACGTTTGTTGTAGAGCAGCCGACGTATTTGGACGACACCGTGCTGCCTGTGGTACCTCTCTACTCAGTTTGGATCGACGATAGAAAACGAAGTTATCGCAGACGAACGCATACGCAAAGAAACGGCGCATTACTCTTACTACCAAAAAGAGGAGAGCAACTTGGCTACAAGAACTACAACAAGCTCCTAAACACTTCAGGGACGAGTTTCAAGCTCGAACGAGAAGTCCTGCATAATCTATTCATTTCCGTATATCTGCGCATTGAGAATCGAAAATGACGCAGCAGGGTGGTTACGTGACGGAGCTCCCAACCGATGCCGAGCTGAAGGAGAAGGATGGCAAGAAAGCCGGCTATTCGGGTGGCTTGCAAGGACAGGTAACAAACTATCCTATTAATTAACTTCAAGTCCGATTACGTATTATGATCATTATGAAGTTGTTGATTCGTCATAAAGAAAAAGTAGATGAAGGATAAATGAAAGATGCTTGCCGATCTTATGTATGATGCACTTACGTTCTCAATCTCATTGAGTGTCGTCTTCAACATTATTCGCTGATGAAGATTATGCTTTTACCCGCTAGGTCCAAAAGGAGATGCAGAAAGAGCTTATGGGGGAAGCTCCCGATGTGGTGATGGACGGCGCCGGCGCCATTCGTGATCGGGAATCTGCATACCAGCAGAAGCGGTTGGAAAGAGCATTGTCACCGCCTCGCGCAGACCCTTTTGCGCTTTCCACCCCTGCGGAGGGTCTTACGTCGTACAAGGACGTGATGGAGAACGCAGCCGCGGATCGGGAAAATGCCGAACTGAAGCGCAAAATTGCGCAACAGAGGGAGCAACTTGGGGATGCAGCATTTAAGGCAAAAGTTGCTGGAAATGTTGCAGCACTGGGTACATCAGGCCAGGCGGGCGGCTCGACGTCGACCACCGGCAGAAAAAGAAATCGATGGGATACGCCAGCAGATGGTACAAGAAGAACATGTCCTATGTTTGATACTAACTTTTGTTTGACCTGATCCTGAAATAAAAAAAGACGATCTTCATGATCAACATGATGAAGAAAAATAGAACTAGTAGCTGTACGTTCTTCTCCAGAACAAGTTATTCCAACTTTCGCACCACAGCTGCTATGGAGACCCCCGATATGGGTGACACTCCTGTTATGGGTGCGGCTTCCGGTGGTTCCGGTGGCATCGATATGAACGCGACGCCGGAGGCTTGTCAGTGGGGCGAGACACCAGGGGGACTGGAGGTTGCAAAGCCCAAAAGAAAACGCGCTAGATGGGACGAGACACCTTCGGAGGGCGTGCAGGTCGCCGACCCCAATGCCACCCCGAACATGGCTGGAAAGACGCCAGATCTAGGCGACACCCCGGACGCGCGATTCATGGGCGCAGAAGAGACCCCGGTCGGACTCACTCCGAATTTCGGCGAAATGACGCCGGACCAGCTCCAGCAGTGGAGGTTCGCAAGAGAGATCGACGAAAGAAACAAACCGATGACAGACCAAGAACTCGATGAAATCTTCCCGCCAGGGTACACTACGACTTCTTTAACTTTAAAAGCTCAATGATGATTTAGATTTATGACTACGTACGCGTTGTACCTCTACAACCTCAACAACCTCAAACTTATCTACATATAACTTCAAATCTTGAGTTTCGACATGACAAGCTTAGACCTTTTATTCGTAAGAAGTATGGACTGTCTCAGCGTCATCGTCTCTGTCTGCTATATACGTCTACGCACAGGTACGAAGTGGTAACCCCACCAGCCAACTACGCTCCCGTGAGGAAGAACGTTTTCTCTGCACCAACACCTGATGTGGGTATGACTCCTGGTTTTCAGATGCATTCGACGCCATCCACAGGCACGGGCGACGGAACCGACGACGGTGGTCTCGCAGAGCTCCACGGCGTCACTGCAGCCGTACTTATATTATAAAGAATATAGATACTTCAACATAGAGGTGTCGACGTGAAGAAGATTTTCTTTCTCGTTAATACTAGATCAATTATCAAATTATCAACACGAGAACCTTCATTGCGTAAAGGATGCTCATGCTCCAATGTCAAAGTGAAAATTGTAGTTTCATAACGCATAATTGATGCTCCCTCTCTTCAACAGAGCGGCGATCTACCGGAAATCAAAGCAGAGGATCGCGCCCACTTTGCGGCGATTTTGGGTGACGTGGATGAGGACGAGTTGTCGCCAGATGAGCACCGGGAGCGACGCATCATGAAACTGCTCTTGCAGATCAAAAACGGTGAGCCCTCTATGCGTCGTAAGGCGCTGAAGGAGTTGACAAACAAAGCGCGCGACTTCGGAGCTGGTCCTTTGTTCAACCAGATTCTGCCGCTGATGATGAGCTCCACCTTGGAAGAGCAGGAGCGACACTTGCTGGTGAAGGTGATTGACCGCGTTTTGCATAAATTGGACGATCTAGTGCGTCCCTACGTGCACAAGATCCTGGTGGTCGTGGAGCCACTCTTGATCGATGAGGACTATTTTGCGCGAGTCGAAGGTCGCGAGGTCATTGCCAACTTGAGTAAAGCCGCGGGCCTGCCGACGATGATCGCGACTATGCGACCTGATATCGATCACGTCGACGAGTACGTACGCAATACGACAGCACGCGCGTTTGCGGTGGTCGCCAGTGCGCTTGGTACAACTATTCCGAATGGTGGATTGATGGACTCTAATTAAGTATGACTAAAAAATCGACCATGAACATGATTCATATCTGAAGCACCTCTCGTCGTGTAATGAAGAGCACTCTCAACGTTAGCGGCATCGTCCTTTTCCATCAAAATCAAAAATGCTCTTTTCCCTATGCTGTTCCCTCCATTAGGTATTCCGGCTTTGTTGATGTTCTTGAAGGCCGTGTGCAACTCGAAGAAATCGTGGCAGGGACGACATACCGGTGTAAAGATCATCCAGCAGATCGCTATTTTGCTGGGTATTGCTATTTTGCCGCACCTCAAACAGATGGTCGAAATCATCGCACCAGGGCTCAGCGACGAACAGCGGAAGGTACTGTAAAATACAAGGGACGAGACTCATATGTAACAACACGCTTGACTATTTCAAAGGAAAGATTCTATGCTTTTATCGTACAAAAAAGTTGTGAAGTCACAACTATAACAAACTATCACTTCTTTCAAGGTCCGAACAATGACTGCTCTCGCGCTCGCCGCACTTGCCGAGGCTGCTACCCCTTACGGAATTGAGGCCTTTGATAGCGTTTTACGTCCGCTGTGGAAGGGTATTCTCGAGGCACGCGACAAGGATTTGGCAGCTTTTCTCAAGGCAATCGGTTACATTGTGCCCTTGATGGATGCTGAGCACGCAAATCACTACACACGCGAAGTGATGATCATTCTGATTCGTGAATTCTCCACGACGGATGACGAGATGAAGAAAATTGTACTACTTTTTCTATATTCATTATATATAATGAAGATAGATATTATATATTTCTAGTCCGAAAGTCGATTTTTTCTCTATTCCCTGTTCTTGAACCAGGATTGTTGCAAACCAGGATTGTATGCAACATGATCAGTAAAAAGCTAATTAGGTTAAAAGTTAGCTCATCACTTTCTATTCCTTTTGGCCACCATCAGGTGTTGAAAGTGGTGCATCAGTGCGTTTCCACTGAGGGTGTGGAAGCCACGTACATCCGCGAAGAGGTTTTGCAGCCATTTTTCCGTAACTTTTGGGTTCCGCGTATGGCGCTCGACCGTCGCAACTACCGCCAGTTGGTTGACACGACCGTCGAAATTGCGACCAAAGTTGGTGGCGCGGAGGTCGTCAGCAAAATTATCGAGGATTTGAAGGATGGAAACGAAACGTACCGTAAAATGGTCATGGAAACAATCGATATCGTAGTCCAAAACCTGGGAGTCGCAGACTTTGACTCGCGCTTGGAGGAACTGCTCGTGGACGGCATTATCTACGCTTTCCAGGAACAAACGAGTGAAGACACCACAGTCATGCTGAACGGATGCGGCTCTGTCATTAACGCACTGGGAACGCGCGTCAAGCCTTATTTGCCGCAAATTGCAGGTAACAAGTTTTGGCTTCCTCGACTTCTGATTAGATGGAAACAACATATAACAAAGTCTTGCTTTAATAGAAATTGAACAGATCATCAACATCGTCACTAGTGTAGACGAAGATTAATACACTGTAGTTCCAAAAATTTGCTTATCCTTTGTGATTTTGAAATCGTGTTAACCTCGATATCAATACGTTGAAAACAAGGTATTGTCCGCTGGCGCCTGAACACTCCGAACCCGAAGGTGCGTCAGCAAGCCGCTGATTTAATCGCTCGCATTGCGGGAGTGATGAAGCAGTGCGGCGAAGAGCAGATGTTGGGCCACTTCGGCATTTTTCTGTACCAGTATTTGGGTGAGGAGTACCCGGAAGTGTTGGGCAGTATTTTGGCGGCTTTGAAGGCGATTGTGAATGTGATCGGCATGAACCGGATGACTCCACCGATTAAGGATTTGCTGCCTCGCTTGACCCCTATCCTCAAAAACAGACACGAGAAGGTGCAGGAAAACGTGATCGACCTGATCGGGCGCATCGCGGACCGCGGCGCCGAGCTCGCGCCACCAAGGGAGTGGAACCGCATCTGCTTTGACATTCTGGAGCTCCTGCGCGCCCACAAGAAGGCGATCCGACGTGCCAGTGTGAACACCTTCGGCTACATTGCGAAGGCCATCGGTCCCCACGACGTCTTGTCCACACTGCTGAACAACCTGAAAGTCCAAGAACGTCAGCTGCGTGTCTGCACGTGTGTGGCAATCGGCATCATCTTAAGGCTTACTACAGTAATGCATCTTAAGAAGGAGCATCGGCGGCCCCTTTTGAAATAAGGGGGAAGTGCGTCAAAGATGCTTTTCAAGATGATGATGAATATAGATCAGCTCTAATTATCGCGGAAACTTGTAGCCCGTTCACGGTGCTCCCGGCAATGATGAACGAGTACAAGACGCCGGACCTTAACGTCCAACACGGGATTCTCAAAGGTATGGCCTTCATGTTCCAGTACATTGGCGAGATGGCGAAGGACTATGTCTACAGCATAGCGCCACTTCTAGAAGACTCCTTGCAGGATCGGGACGCAGTGCACCGACAACAAGCCATCGTCTGCACCTATCATCTCTCTCTAGGTACTACTTCGATGTTGTGATTTTTGTATATCTCTAACTACAACTACTTTTGTTTGCTACTCTTTGTCTTGTGATAGTAGTCTCGCTCAAGAAAAAGGTCATAAGCATCATCTCATGCTATTTCAAAATGAAGAAAACCAATTCTTATGATATATATAGTTCTACGCAGCAATCCCTACAAGCAGTTTTTCATGCTGTTGTACCTCTTACTTATGTCTAATGAGTAACTGAACAACAAGAACAGCTACAAAACACACTCATTCACTTTTCCATTTCAAACCAGGTGTTCAAGGGCAGGGGTGCGAGGATGTTGTGCAGCACTTGATGAATTATGTGTGGCCGAACCTGTTTGAGAATACGCCACACTTGATTCAGGGTTGCTTCAACTGCATAGACGGTTTCCGGATAGCTCTGGGTCCGACCAAAGTGCTCCAGTATTTGCTCCAGGGTCTCTTCCACCCTGCACGAAGAGTGCGAGAAATCTATTGGAAATTGTACAATAACCTCTATATCGGCGCACAAGAAGCGCTGATACCAACCTTCCCCAAGCTGCGAGAAAAAGATTTCCACAGACCAGAACTCGAAATGCTCTTGTAATTATGCTGGTGCAAGTGGGAGACGAACAACTTCAACTTCTTTTTACTTAATGGCAGCACCGAGTTACTGGGTGGAGGATGAGGTGAAGCGCTTCTTCTTTGGGCGTTGGTGATCAAGCTGAACTTCTTGCCCCGGTCGAGGTTGTTCAATTTAGTTGTGCCGCTGTTGTGAAGATGTCGCGACTAAATAAGCGATATGATGCTAGAAGTACAACTTGCAGTAGTTGTTGTATTTTGAAGACTCGGAAGGAAACAACATGGCATCTAGGAAATTATCTTCAAAACTTTCCGAACAATATGCTGACATTGGGCGCTCTTGGGAGTATCCTGGCGTCTGTGTATCGGTATTGCGGTGCGCTGTGGGAATTTAGTGAGACGTAGTAGTACTTGCTTCCTCCGCGCGGCCGCACCAAATGGCACCACTGGTACATATGAGGAAAACCCGCTCAGAAACACATGAAGATCATGTCCCTTTACCACGACCTTGAAAGATTTCTACCCCATGAAACAAAAATGCACGGAATTCTCGTTTTTGCGCTTCTCTTTTTTCTTCATACTATCTAGTTGTACTAATTTACTATCAGTATCACTATTATAGTCACCTATCATCTCGTTTTAAAGGATATGGCTCCTTACGTGTCAGAAAAATAAAGAACCCAAAAAGTGTGGCAATGCTAGTGACACACCCTCAGCACAGGACGACGCATAAAAATGATCGACAAGCATCCTCTCAAATACTTTCTAGCTACATCTTCATTAAGTACTTGGCGGACTTTATTAAAGAACTTTTTGTTTTTTCGTGCTCATACTACCTCGTAAGCACGACCTCTCGTGGAGACGACTGTCTACCGGGGGTTCGTGCCTGTCTAGGACCTTTTACGCATGCTCGTGCGCATCCTCCAGGATATGAGTGTTCATTCGCGCGATGCGCCGTGACGATCTTATTTTTCTCGCGTCAGTGTCACTCTGCCATGCCACAGCAGATTCGTCTTCGGACGAGATCGAATCTCCCGTTGTCGGTCTTCTAGCTGCATTAAGAAGAAATATAGAACCTCTTGGGGACTTCTTAAACTTCTGTTAACCTTGATGATGTTGATGTTGATGAACAGACGAGTGGCATTGATCGGTATTAATTTCTACATGCACGAAATCTTCTGCCTGTGTAGTTGTGTTCTATTGATTCCAAAGAAAATATAGTGGTAGAAGAGCGAGAAGCTGAGCGAGAAACTATGAGAGGGGAATTCCAGAAGCTTCCAGCATGATCTTTCGCTTTCGGTGTTGTGTACCCTTATTTTTCTAGGTATTCACTTACACTTTTGTGTGTTGCTTGGTGTTCGACAAATCATATTCATCTTCAAGATGCTCTATGTTTCTGATTGAGAGATGCGGTTGCCGCCTATAAATTGTTGCGTGATTATGGCATAGCTGCATGAATAACAAAAGAAGTATTTAGACATGCCTGTTGAAGTTGATACAGAGGGCATGTTGCTTACTCTAACTGGAACGACGTTAGAGATGTGCGTTCCTGAGCGAAAACACAAAAAAAATCGATATTATGAACTCTGCACTCGCCTGAAACAGCCGATGGCTACTCATTTTGTTTTCATCCCCTCGAGCACCTTTGATTTTTAGGCTGCCGCCGTCCAACCCCCCACATTCTTTGTTGAGGTCTTCCTGGCACAGTTCTAGGTAGTCAATGGTTTGCGTTTGCTAGGATTCTTTACGACCTCCTTCTGTAAAAATCGTGTGTCTCTTCATTTTTTAAATAGTACACGATTTTTCGATGTGATTTGATATAATGTCGATCAAAATCGTCGTGGGACGCCCGGAACAGCACTTCCTGCTTCAGGTAGAAGGATACTACTACAGTATTTCGTTATTTTTGCGATTTTGAGTTGTGCTTGTGTTGAAAAATATCGGCGAAATATTTTTTCGGTTTTGTTTATTTTGGTGAGTGCCGCAACTTCCTGAGTGAACAAACCGAAGTTTGCTTATTCATGTGTTGATGTTTGTACAACTAGATGGAGCATGGAGGTATCTCTATAGTCAGATTCGTCTGAGAATTTTGACGAGGACATCATGTAATTACAATGGTGAACTGTGTAAACAAATGGTGTGTACCACTACCAGACTGATCTTCTTAAGGGGTCGCGCTGTGTTTGGGAGGTCGCGCTGTGTTTGGGGAGGTCGGTCGTGCTGCGTTTGGGGAGGTCGTGAGGCACTTTGGGGGCCGAGGCGGGATCGATGGGCAGCCCCCGCTCGTTGAGCCAAAGAACAAACCCGAGAACAGTCAGCTAGCCTTAGGCGAGAACGCGGGCAGCTCAGACCGGAGAGGCTTCAGCGGCCAAAGCTGACCCCGGCCAAACTGCCTGGGCAAGCTGGGCGGGACCAGCGAAGCAAGACGAGCAGGGCGCGCGGGCTTGGGAGGGCTCACCGACGTCGGGCGCACCTTACGGCATTGGCAACACCTCCGGCCCGCCCCCGCGCGCGCATGAATGTCTGCCGGGCCTGTCTCATTGGCGTGGCGTGCCTAATTGATTCCGCGCGCAAGGGTTCTGGGTTCCGTGGGTTGCTTCGGTCTTTGTTCTTCTCCATCATCTCGACGGCAGCCGCCAAGGCCAAGGGGCGGGCGCTCCGTGCCTCAGTCGCTTTCTTTTTGCTCTCTCTTATGTTTCTACTCTGTGCCTGTGCCTGTGCTGTTATCAAGGAGGGGTCGCCCAAGGGGCGACCCCGGTTTCTTGTCCGTATTATAAATTATAGTTGATAAAATGAATACCGATTAGATGAACCACAAAACTTTTTACTTTTTGTGAGAAATAAATTGATCATGATTGATAATAATTGATACTCCCTTTCTTAAAAGTCTCCCGGATCGTCGAAAGCGAAGCAACGTGCTACTTCTTTTTGCACCACTGTACACGAGAAATAAGCATTGATTGTTGTATCCTCATTCTTGTCCGTTTTGCGCTCGTAGGTAGCAAGCTGCTGTTTGTTCTCGTAATCTGGAAAGAACACCTTAAAATCAGCCGAGTCATGCACTACGCCCGCGCAGGAGATTTTCTTTCTTCATGCTAGAGAAGTTTGAGCTGTCGTTGTGTTGTGTGCAGGGATGACATGTTCTCAGTAGAACAGTGATTCTTCGTACGTTGAAGAATATGAATATTGAGATCACGACCAACAGTTTCCGAGGACTGCCCTAGCTATCTACACGACCAACTCGTGGAGCTGCAGCGCCTGGTCGTGCCAGGCAGCACGGAGAGCAGAAAGACTGATTGCTGGAAGACAAGTTTTCTAGTATTGTCGTTTCATCATCTCGCACACGACGCAGACCACTGGTGGCGTGCAAGGCATCATCAAGATGGGGAACGGCAGCAGTCTTGCGCCGCACACGACGTACTGCCATGCCTGTGGCCATCGGCAAACCGTGTTGGGGCAGAGCGATTTGGAGGTGTGCGTGAATTGCGGCAGTGGTGATCATCTGGAGATGCGCCACATGATCCTCATCGGCGAGGACGATGACAGAGGAACACTGAGCAGGGACGGAGATGACACGTCTCGAGATATTGCTGGTGTGGACACCCCATCTAGAAGAGATCGTGGCGCAGCTGCGCCTCGGCCTCCCTCGTCTGGCGGATCGCGACAGGGATCCCTCCAACTCCAAGGAAGGGGAGCACCTACTCAGCAAACAGGAGAGCAAGTCAGAAGGCGCGCCGCTTCCGAAGGCGGCGTAGCAGCTCCGTCGCTGCTGACGGGGCCACTTATTTCGGGTGAATCCGTGGACGACGAGCTTCCACCAGCGGGAGTGCGCGCAGCACGGCAACCTTTAGGAGCTGCGTCAGCATCTACAACCCAGGTTTCCTTCATGCCCTTGACGTCGGCCTTGATGGGACTGCGAGAAAGGACGGCTTCGGTAGCTGCGTCGGCGGCAAAACACAAGGTAGTACTTTTGTGAACATATGCTAGTAATTACTTAACGTCTATTGGCGTCACTTTGATGTTGAATCTGTTAGGTTGTTCTTGTTGGACTCAATTTTTTTCTAAAAAACAAAGCTTTTTTGATCATTTTATCACATTCATAGGAGGCGTTGCAGCGAGACGCGAACATCCTTTGGAGCGACTTGGAACGTGTCGAGTGCCCGCACGCACTAGACGGCGACTGCGCGATCTGCACGACCGAATTGTGCTACGTTGTGGATCATGACCGTGGTGTGGCTCCCACAACAACTTCATTGACGACTGGACTGACGGGGGAACAAGACGTAGGCGTTGAACAAGCAGAAGGTCTAGCGTCACTCGTAGCGAAACGATCCACGTCAAAGCAGAAACAGAAGCGGTTTCTGCAAGGCTGGGCAGCGGCGCAGCGGGCAAGACATCGGCCTGGCTGTTGCGAGTTCGATCTAGGACTACCACGCTCGACCTTGCAGCGATTCAAGTTGTTTACAACTGAAGAAGGTGGAGACATGAACAACAACACTCACAAATTCTGTTTCGCGGTAAATGCTGAGGAGGCTGGAAAAGTATGCAAGCCGAAAGTACACGACGAGAACGGCACGTTAGTTTGCGATCTTCCTGGTTCCTCTTGTTCCGAAAACGACACAGACCATAGGTCAGGAACTGATGATTGTAGCCCACAACAGGAGGTAGTGCCCTGCACCCTGTCGGTGAGCCGCCACTCGTGGTGGTTGAAGCAGGGCAGCCAAAGATACAAAGATGTAGATTCCGAAAAGGAGAAGGAGAAACAAGACGACGAATCTTTGTACTGCACAGAAGTGAACGTAATCCGATTACCCTGTCGGCATATGTTCCACGAAGCGTGTCTAGAGAGTTGGTTCTTCGCGCCACAGAATTATCGTCGCAGTTGTCCGGTTTGCCGAGATGCACTACGGCCGGAAGCTGTCGCACCAGCAGAGGCTCCGGCTGGGGCCTCTCGAGGGCCAAACGGAGAAAATGGCAACGCCGCGGCAGGAGATGGCGCACCGGCCGCCGGCAACGGGGGACAGCAGGAACCGCACGCGTTTCTGCGGGCTGCGCGACAGTTCTTCGAGTCGTTTTCCCAAGTGACTCGAGCGGCGCACCAGAATCTTGTCCGCGTCCTGGAGGAGCAGCAGCAACGCTCTCGAGAAGAGCAAGACGATAACGAAGAAGAGCAGGAGAGGGGAAGCCAACAGAGCAACAACAATAATCGTGATCCGAGTGCGACAGGAGCGGGAGCACCGAGCGATGGGGCTACAGGCGCGGGTACTTCCAACCGCATTATGCATGTGAGTCAGATCGGAGCGCGCAATGATAATTGGATCCCTGGAGGAACCTCAACACGAGCGGGTGCGGCCAGGCGCGCTAGCGAGGCAGCGACTGCAAATAATGAGAATGAGACTGGTGGCAGTTCCACGATCGCAGAACCAACTGCGTCTGGAGCTCCTGTTCCCAATTCAGATCGGATGAATGATGACGCAACAAGAAGAGGAGGCGCTTCTTCATCGCCTCAGGCGCAGCGGCAAGCAACAAGAGCAAACGAAAATAATGCATCTCGTCCTCCCGGTCCGTCGACGTCGGGCTCCGGCATTGTCGGACAGCAGGGCTGGGGGCCCGAGTCCTCATCTGCGGGTGGAAATACTGGGAACGGCTCGTTTCTGCGCTTCATGCAGCCAGCTGTTCATACACTAGGAGATGGAAGGACGGCGTTCCTCTTTGAATTCGTAGACGAAGACGAGGCAGAACAAGCAGAGAGTCAATTGCTGGGGAGAGGAGCCGATGACAGCTCCGCGTCAGCATCTTCTTCGTCAGCCGATGAAATCTTGTCAAGTTCGACCGCTGCGGCACCAGAAAGCAGTTGGCATCGAGCACTTTTTGGTGGTGGTGGTGCTGGAAGTACCGAAGAAGAACCTCTGAGCCGCGATCAAAGACGAGGCGAGCAAAATGCTGCTCAGTCAAGGTCCAGCACTATTGAGTCCAGCTCTGGACCTTCGCGGCCCGGAGCTGGTGGAGGTGTTCGTGGAGCGACATCGCGACCGGGCTCTGCGTCACCAACTTCCAGGAGATCTGCTTCGCAGTCGAACATGACTGCATCTTCAAGAGGAGTAGATCACACCACGAGGAATTCAAGAACAAGCCCGTCGAGGACTGCAAGCGTTGCGCGGGGCCCGTTTCTTCGGCCCACAGCAAGTGAGTGGAATATCGTAAATTCTAGAGGCACGCCGCTGCGAACGTTCCCGCCATCGGAGACCAGCGACGAAGAAAATGAGCAGGCTCTGGCAGATTTCCTCGGAAATGACGCGGCATTTTCTTCGACCGGGCCAGCGTGGTCTTCCTCGTCATCGTCGGCTTCGTTGATAGAAGAGCCTGCACCAGGGCCGCTTTTCCACGACCAGCACAGGAGGCATATCGCAGGACAGGACGAGACGAGTGCTCTGACGGTAGAAGAAGACGATGTAACGCTTGGCGGAAGAACGGCCTCGGTTCACGTGGTAGAAAACATTCTGTTTTCGAACATGTCGAATCGCCTCCTGGATGGCCTGGTGAATGAATCACGGGCGATGCACGCAGACGTGCTTGGAAATGCGAGCAGTCCATTGCATTCGATATCGAGGCCAAGGAGTGCCGTAAATGCTTGTAGACCGCCAGGCGGACTTCAACAAATGGAACAAGAATTCCAGGCTGTTGGTGACCGGTTGCACGGCGAATCGTCAAAGATACTAGACGAGAGTGAAAGTCTTGACGGGAAGAACAGTGGTTTTTCAACAGCGCGGCGGGCTGGGTATCAGCTTTTGGAGGATGATTTGGCATCCCCAGAAGTCGAAGACGCTCAGGGCCGCAGAGCAAAGCGCGACGTTTTACTGCAGGGCTTCGTGGAAAGAAAAGAACTTACGCAGCCGTCGCGCATACCCCCATGCGATAAAAAGCAGATATTCGATGCGTTCACGAGCGATGTTGTCACGACGCCAATTTCAACCGGCGGTGTTGTAGCGAATAGGAACAGCGCTGCCGCTGCTCCCACTGGTCGTCTACAACAGGGACGACCTTCATCACCGTCGTGTCGTGTCAGAGAAGGCGTCTCATCTCAGCGAGGAACGCCACCACCAGCACTTTCTCCGGGGGATCCTCCTAGCTCCAGCGCAAGAAAGCGGAGCAAGGCCTCAAGTTCTGGCCTCTTATCGTCTGTGTCCTCGGCCTCCCACATGTCCTCCGTTAGCACCTCAGCAGCGCTGCATCCTGCGGCTGAACAGACGACACTTCATGAGCAGTTTTCGTTTTTGCCCAAAGGCAGTTCATCCTCCCAGCAAAGTGTTTCGGTCCCTTGGCGTGCTGCTGCCTCATCTGCTACGACAGCTGAGGTGCTAAGTACCAACTCCACAAGTACAGCAGCGCGCTCACGGCATTGGGTTGCGAAACGAGCGAAGATGCTACGAGAGGAAGTCACCGCCTCACTACAGAATCAGAATGGTGCATCTTCAACACCGTTGTTTGCATCATCCAGTGTCCACCTTCTCAAGGACGGAAGCTCAAAAGGGCGTGTAGGAGGACTTGAAACTGAAAATGTGATCGCAAATAGCAGTTGCGGTCCACCCCAGATTCTTCACGAGGCACGCAGTTTCGAACCTGCTGCAGTCGCGGTAGCATCTTTGTCCTCATCTTCATCATCTTCATCTACGTCTGACGCAGGAGCTCTGTCATCTTCAATAGTAATTGGTGTATCTTCCCTCATACCTGGAGGAGATGAAGACTTCCTTGTCGCCTGCCGCTCGAAGGCTGGCATCTCACGACTACGTCATACCCCCGCAATCAACGTGGCTGCAGAAATTTCAGATCCGTCCTTGGCTTTCTCCAATCCGCTCCTTTCTCAGGTGTTGCACGACTCTCTGGCTTCTTGCCCATCTGGCATAGCGCATTTCGAGCTCTTCCGCAAAAATTCAAAAACGAGAACTACAACTGCATGCACATACTCTAGAAGTAGTTCTTCCAATTCAACATCTTTTCTCAAAGGAGAAGATGAGCGCCGGCCCGCTCACGATCAAGACCGATTTCTGCTGACGGTCGTCTCCGACACAGAGGGTGATCGCCTCCTTATCGTCTGCGAGGAAGCCACGACTTGTTCATCTAGAAGTACGGGGCAAGGAGAGAACACACATTCAATGCGAACTAGAGGGAAGGACCCTACAAATACGAGTGACAAACACACAGGAGGCGGTAGTGTGTTCTCCCTTCCAGGCGTCCGACGACCAACTGGCGTCTGTTGGAGTCCCGCGAGAAGGCGCCTTTACGTAGCATCTGCGCATGCTGTTTGGGAATATAACATTTCTTTCGACGACGTCGATAGTGTTAATGCTGGCACTTCTGCGGCTGCCGGTGCTGCAAGAAATGATGGGACAACTACAGCGCTTCGTTTCTCCTCGTTCTCTTCATCATCCTCTTCTTCCTCAGAAGTTTTACCCAGTGCGGGTTTGTCCAGCGTGCTCGTCGAGGATTTTACTGCAGGTTACGGCAATCCTGTGTCCGTCGCAGTGCAAACGATAGTTGCCGACCATTCACCGGACACAAGCACTTCTGTTCTTGTTGTCACTCGTAGCCTGACCCTCGGCAGCGGAAAGCGCGGCAGCACTCTCCGCGATCTGGCATTCCCGTCGCAGATTGCTGTCGACGACCCCAGAGGCGCGCTCTTCGTAGCCGACACATTGAACGATCGCATACTGCGAATTGAACTCCAGCAGCAGGGTAACTGTTTCCCTACTCCTTCATCGAGCAGGATGACGACCAAGGGTCTGGCTCAAGTAGACGGCGTAGGAAAGGCCACTGTTGCTCTTGGACTAGGCCTCCAGAGCGGCGTTTGTCTGAACAATCCACGTGGTGTTGCAGTAGACGACTTCGGCCGTCTTTATGTTGCCGATACTGGCTTTCACCGCTTACTGCGACTGTCCGTCGAAGAGAGCACGTTCATCAATCAGACGTCGACAAAAACGGTCATCGAGGAGCTGCCAGGTCCCTGGGTTCGGCCTGTGAGCCTCTCGGTGGACGGCACTGGATTCCTTTACGTGGCTGACAAGCAACGCCTCTCGCGCATAAATTCATCAATCCCACCACCTTTTCCAGATGAAGGTGGAGGCGCTCGTCCGAGTGCTTTTTCTTGTCCGCCTACCTCAAAAATCACAGGTGGAAGCACAACAAGAAGGAAAGGCAGAAAAATAGATCCACCCGGCAGCTCATCAATGACCTCGACAGGCGTACTCGAGGAGAGAAAGAAACCAGGAGAGGACGACGAAGGACCACATAGGCGGCTTTTGGCAGAGACTGTGGTGTAGTGAGACAAGCGGGTGAAGAGTCTTACCATCATTTGCAGCATCTTCTGGCATAATGGCAAACACGTCATCTTCTGCACGAAGATAATGCTCATCTACTTACTTACTTGTTCACAATCACGTTGCACCTTATCCTTTCCAGCAAGGAAGCCCCAAAACATAAACAAAGCTGTTTTGATTCCCGATCATCGCTGCCATGACGAGAAATAGTCGTACTTTCTCAGCATAGCGATCATCCCCTTCCGCAGGTGATTCACTTTCACGTCTGACACTGACACCTTTCACAACTTTCTAAATGCATCATCTGAATCCATCTGCTCCTAATGCAGATGAGCAGCGGTTATCATGATGGTTTGGCTGTATTCTTCGCCTCTGGACGACGTCGGTAGCATTGTGAGACCCCGTTCCTATGGGTGCTACGAGTGGCAGCATCAGGGACTACAATAAATGCACGAGGACTCTCATTGGTGGACAAGAACAAGAGAGGAGAGGAGGAGAGAGATCCACTACAGCAGCAGCACTTCAAAATAGTTATACATATAGTTGAACAATTATTATTATATGCATAGCCATCGCACACTTTTCCTTCTGCGGGGTGTAAGAAAATGCCAATTTTTTTCTTTTTGACCGGAACAACTGGCAGCTGCAGGACGACGACAAATTCCAGTGCGACTGACGTATCGACGCCGACGCATAATTGTGCCTAGGCAGTTGCAGACCATGCACAACAAATACTCGGGGCTTCTTCTACACCAGCTTCGCCGAGCTGCAGCAGTGCCGTGTTGAGCTGCCTGCCTGTATGTTGTGTTACTAGCCAGTCGTAAATCGGGCAGAAACAGGGCCAGCAGAGCAAGGAGCATGCCCCGAAGCCGACGACAGCGCGGAAAAAAGTCCTCTCCCACGCTTGTTTCGCCTGATGGTGAGAGAGAAAAGCGAGATGCAGATGCGGAGACGGAGAGCTTGTTGCCGGGGTTGGTGGCGGACCAGAGGAGATCGCCTTTTGCATTAGACGAGAATCGTGAAGAATCTTGTATTAAGGGTCTGGGAAATGATGATGGTCGTGATCCAACATCTTAATTAGAGTCATCTTTTGGGTCTCTTTTCATCCTTCTTATTTTATTCATCATCTGGTTCCCTTCTCCTTCTTGTGGAAAGAGAAAAACCACATGGATTCCTGGGATGGATTTATTCCTACGCAGCCACTAATTCTACAAGTGCTTGCGCGAAGATATCTTTCGGCGTTGCGGTTGTTTCTGGCGTGATTCTCGTAAGGCTGATCCTACTTGGGCAGTCGGATGGCCGCGACAGTTTTTTTGAGTTGTTCTACTCGAACGACACAGTTAGGATGGAGGAAATCCAAGTTTTTGTTTCTTTAATCCCAGAGAACGATTATAAAATATATTGTAGTTATGACACTTTGTCTGAAGAAAGGAAATTGTTAAAATGTTTGACAAGATCAAAGTCATCCGTTTCGATCTGAACTCTCTAAAAATGCCGACATAGGGTGGGGAATTTTGGAAAGCGTCAAACTTCTTGCGGCGTATGCTGGCAACGTGACTGCTTCATGGATAGTCCCATGGTGCACAAATGACGCAGGCTGCGGCTTTCAGGTCGCTTCAATATATGGCACGAGAAATTTTATATTAATTCAATTTCCACAAAGAGGAAGGACAGTAAGTGATGGGTCTTCATTCAGGTTAGCTTTATAATTATAAGCAACTACAAAGAAAAAACAGATCTGGCAGTAATTAGGTAACGACTTTCTCCTTTTCTCTAAGGTGTGCTGCAAATCTAGACTGGCTTCTTCCTTTTCATAAGGTTGGGGCTTAGGTCCGGCGGCGCTCAAAGCACTACATATATAAAGCAGCCGGTTAGTTTTTCCCCCTAGAGTCCTAGCCCTTCCAGCAATATACTAATAGCAGAGTAGTTTATAGCACGCATGGCGCATGGAGTAGCATGGAGTGCATGGAGCGCAGAGCTTTAAGGGGCGCAAGAAGCTCCCCCCTTAGCTCCATGCTACTCCATGCGATCCATGCACTCCATGCCGTGCGAGCTGTGAAACCTTATAAGTTTCTCTGTAATAGAAAGGGCGTCATCGGTTTGATAGAAGAAGATGAAGAAGTGCTAGCACTAGAAGAACAAGCTGAAGCTTTGGCTTTTTAGTAATAAAGAGCACTAGCTTCCACAAGCTTCGCCCGGCTTCAAGTTAGTTTAGCACTTTGCTGCGGCCTCCCACGGGCTGCAGCCGCTAGAGTAGAGACAGCCCGCGGGTGAGCTGTTGCACCCTACGAATTGACTACGACAAGAGCCGAGTGCCGGCGGTGGCCGACTCAGATGCGTCGGCTCATGTGCATGGCATTGCGCTGCCTTCGGTTTTTTTATGAGATTGCCGAGGGGGTCGCGCAAATTCATAAGAATTTGCAAAACCCCCACGGCAGTCCAACAAAAAAAACAGAAGAGAGCCACCAGACGCGCGCAAGTCTTTTCAAGAATCCGCAAGCCCCAACGCACGCAAGCGCCTCGCGGTGGCGCCAGGCAAGAACGAGGGGCGATCTCAACGGGCCAAACAAGACAAAGCAACGCGGGGCTGCGCTGCTTGGGTCTCTCTACGCGCTTACACCTGGCGGCGCCGGGGCTTCTTTGTTTCGTCAGATGTCTCTCGTCAGAAACAGACGGGCGCACTTCGCGGGGGCGTGAGGCGTCGCGCTTCGGAATGTGGCTGATGCCTCTCGGCTGGCTGACGTCTTTCGCCAGGATGGAGACTGAGGCACTCCATCAGACTGATGCCGTTCGTCAGACCAACGCCCTGCGCCAGGCTGGCGGCCTTCGCCGGGCAGGCCGGTGCCTTTCGGCAGACGTCTTGGGCCAGGCTGAGGCTTTTCGTCAGGGTCGGGCGACGTCTCTCGTCAGGCTGAAGTCTTTCGTCAAACTGAAGCGCTTCGCTTGGTCGACATTCTTCGCCGGGCCAAGACTCCTCACGCCTTTGGGCAGGTTGATGGCTCGCTTCAGCTTGACGCCGTTCGTCAGGTTGATGCACTGACCAGCCAGGTGACGCCTCTCGCCAGACCGGCGCACTGCTTCGCCAGGGCCAGGCGTCTGCCTTACCTGCGTCGGAACAGGCTGGTCGGGGCTGTTCTTCGGGCTGCGGGCGTCTTTCCTTCGTGAGATTGATCTTGTTCTTTCGTCGGACTGACGTTTTTCGCCAGACTGACGGCGTTCGTTGGACTGGCGTCCTTTGTCAAAGGTCTTCGCTATCGTCAAGGTCAGGTCTGGCGTCAGTTTTTCTGGCGGAGGTCGTTCGTCAGATGTCTGCCGTCGCGGGTCTCTTGTCTTGTCGGAGGTCTTTGGTCCAGCGCTCTTTGGTCCACAGGTCGCCTGTGGTCCAACGGTCGCATTTGGTCCAAACCCAAAGGTCGCGGCTGGTCCAATGGTCGTTTTTGGTCGAAAGGTCCTCTGTGGTCTAGCGGTCGCCTTTGGTCCAGCGGTCGCCTTTGGTCTAAAGGTCGCCCGACTTCGGTCCAAAGGTCGTCTGACTTTGGTCCAAAGCAAGGTCGCCTTACTTTGGTCCAAGGGTCGCCTTACTTTGGTACAGAGGTCGCCTTACTTTGGTCCAGAGGTCGCCTGACTTTGGTCCAGCGGTCGCCTTACTTTGTTCTTACTTTGGTGCAGAGGTCGCCTGTGGTCCAAAGGTCGCCATTCGAAAGGTCGCCTGTGGTCCAAAGGTCGTCTGTGGTCTTAAGGTCGTCGGTGGTCCAGCGGTCGCCTTTCTTTGGTCCAGAGGTCGCCTGTGGTCCTGCGGTCGTCTTTGGTCCAGCGGTCGCCCTTGGTCCAAAGATCGTCTTTGGTCCCAAGATCGTCTCTGGTCCATGTGTCTCTTGTCCAAGGTCTTTGCGCTTTCGGTGGGAGGTCTTTCGGCGGCTGTTTCATTCTCTTTGGATGGACTTCTCTCTCCAGCTTGCGCCCCTACCCCCGTCGGGCATTTTTCTGGATTCTTTTCATTCTGGTAGTTTGAGAGTGAGGGGAAAGGGCAGGAGGCTACGGGCAATAGCCTAATCGCCGGCGGGGTAGGCGGGGAGTTTTGTGGCGGTGATTAAATATAGCTTAATTATATAGAGGAAGAACATAGATGAAGAGCATAGATGATAAAGAACATAGATGATGAAGAACATAGATGAGCATAGATGATGAAGAACATAGACGAAGAATATAGATGAAGAACATAGATGAACATAGATGATGAAGAACATAGATGATGAAGAACATACACATAGATGATGAAGAACATAGACGAAGAACATAGATGAAGAATATAGATTAAGAACATCGATCTTTTTCGTGTTATGTTTAGTTTTTTACCTATCAACTTATATATATTATAATAATTTCCTTTCTTTGTTTCCCCAGCACCAGTTGCATCCCTATACTTCGCCCATAATTAACATGAATCGCCTTCGACGTTGAATTAGTCACCTTTGATCTACGAATACAGAACTCAGTGTGAAATTTCGCTTATTACCTTCGTCGAGAACAAGCCCCATGAAAATGTAGAGAGCTCGGTCTACTCATCTAAAAATGATATTTCTTCATTGGGACCATTGAGCAGCCAGGACGAAACTTCACCACCTACAGTGGGGATTATGCTCCTTCATTGGTCGGAGAAAATAGTGCGAACGATGTCTCGCCGAAAAGAAGGCGGCTGCGTGGAGTGTCATTTCTACGAGACGCTGTCAGTGAGGACGCCACGACCTCTGTGGCCACAGTATTAAGGGCAGGCTTAGTTGTTCCTGTTGCCGTTTGTTTTCACTCTTCTGCTAAGGGGAAAGACGACAACACGCGGGAAACAGAAACACCAAGGAGGCCCGACCTCTAACAGTGGAGAACCTTCGTCCGGATGAAGAACGGCATCGTCCTACGAAGCGCCTTCATGGTGGAAGAAAGTCAGTCTTTTTATGATATCACACCTACATCTGACGGTCTTGAGGTGGCTCATTCTGTTGAGGTGAGATAATTCTGTTGAGAACAACATGACCCCAACGGAGGGATGACTGAACACGAACAACTTCTGCTGCTAATCATGATCGTGTGCTGACTGACATGATAGTGTGACTGACAGAAGTACTTCTAGAATGTTACAACTAACAACTATCTTCTACTGGAAGCGGATCCAGAAGCAAGAATGTCTAAGCATTTTTGCCGGGCGAAGAGAGCGCGGTCAGCATCGGAAGCGTCAGGATGCTAAAGATAGGAATGTGAAGGCTCCTGATTTAAAATACCTGTATCATCACTGGAAATTATTGCTAGGTGAACGTGAACCTTGTTGCTCGTTTTCATGCACTGTTGGTTCTCACGACTGCTTCGGTGAATCTTTGTGCCAGAATCCTGATTAAAATCCGTAATATCCGTTTACCTAGGTTTTTCCTGGGACTTGCTTGAAGAAGGGTTCCGCGTAGCACCTCAGGGGGATCAGGATCCCCTGCCTGAACATAATGCTTACACTGCGAGCTCCATACTCAAGAATGCAAATACTGTACTAGGTCAGGAGGACTACGACCATTCTAGATATTTGACTATCAATTTAGAACATGCAGATGAGATACCATATGCATATATTAGTATGTAGGTCTTCAACGTGAAAGTAGACAAGCGCTAACGATAGGACATTTGTGGAGCTGGGCAGGATGTCTTCATCAGAGATGAAAAAGCCAAAACGGGGCAAAAGCAAGAGGAAACGGGAGAGGCAGTTGGTGGAACAGAGGAAGCAGAATATACACAGCTTAGATTAAGACTTCCCCGGAAATCCATCTACAGAAGCATCTCGTAAGGGCGAAGCCATCTTCTCGTAAAGGGGAAACGGGCCAAAATATGTAACTTAAATAAATGATGGATCATTTCCGGAGCGTCTTCTAATTAGAGACCGAAAATGTTATGACGACTACTAGCCGATTGGGGTGGTCTCGATTCACCTGGTTCCCTATATTTGTTATATCAAAGTAGTGAAGAGCTTTAAATTTCGTTTTCTTTGCGCAGCCTGTGCTGTTGGCTAACATGATTTCGGATTTCCACGATAGATACGTCTTCCTTCTCATATGCGCGTCAGTATAATCCAGTTACATATGGATTAGAGCGAAGAGAAGGAGGACGATCTGAATTTGTTCTTGATAAGTAGATAATTTGTTTAGCTGACAAGCAAGTAATTTTCAGCAGAAGCAAGTACGACCTTTTGTCTATTTATTAATATACCTTTGCTTTCTGCTCCTAGGTGTTACTGATAGCTTTTGGTCGGGTTTTCATCGAGGATAGAAAAGAAGAAAAACGCAAGATCATTATGATTATCACCACAACTCTGATGCGGCATGACACTCTTCTAAACCGAAGCGGCTGCGCACAGAAATAGCCCAAATGAAGGAACTGGAGGAGTTGCGTCTCGAAGCGAACGCGAAGGAAAGGTTAAGACTACACGTGATAATCATAATTCACGTCGGTAGAGGCCCTGTAGTTAAATGCTGTGGGTACCAGAAAAATTGAACTAGAATTATATTATATAGTTAGAAGAAGATTTACTCGATACGAAGAAGGACGACCACAACGTTTTCTCGTCATTATCTCTTTAGAGCACATTATAGTCATAGCAAGAAGGAATTTACTGCGTGGCCTCTTAGTTCGACACAAATAGCTTGTGCTGGCGTCTTACCGGTTTTTCGTCCACTCTTTAAATGTCTCAGGCGTGTAGACAGTAGGACACCCAAGAAAAAGGCGACTATAGCAGGGGCACAGACATGACACTTGAAGCGTTCTGTCTAACCTGAGAGGAGATCGCGGATATCGAAAAACGCGAAAAATTACAGGAAGAGGAGCAGGCGGGAGATGCGTTATGCTCTACTTATTAATTTGATTGCTTTTGATTTGGATATCGATTGCTCCCCCTTATCTGTCGATCGTTCTCCCGTACCTGCTTAAAGAAAGATGAATCTAGTTCACCCGGGAAGATGCTAGTAGAACTATTTGGGGTATTTTGATTTTGATGAGGAAGATGATCATCGAGTTTTTGTTCCATTTGAATAAAGATAGTTGAATAAATTTATCTGATCTTTATCTAGTAGTACGCTTACCACGTCTCTAAAATAGCTCAATAGATGGCAGATCACACAGCAGGGACGGGAACACCAAGTGTCGGAGCTTAAAAAGGAGCTCAATGAGCTCGAGGCTGCGACATCCAAGGATGACCGCAACAAGGAGTTCAACATGGAGATGGAGAAGTTAAGACTATCCTTTTATTCTTTTTTAAAAGTTTCGCTCTCGTTGTACTAGCGCTAGCCGTGCCATTTGCTTGCAGAGATAGAGAGGAGGTGTGAGCTCAGTAAGACCTGCAACGCAATGACGACGCTCTCGACATTGCCTGCCTCGTGTATCTTCTCAGGGATGGCGCATTCACTATGGCTGTAAATTTTCGCTTGGTTCTTTGTAAAACATGCTAGCCCCCTGGTGTGGTTCCCCAGGGGAAGGATACGATGGGAACCAGAGGCACTTGCTAGACAAAACACACACACGGACATGCTTGAACAGGCGCCACAATAAACTGGGAAAAAGCTTGAGAAGTGTCAGCCTTGGCGGGGCGACATTGGGCGCGTTGCCGCGGGGCGGCGAGCCTTATGAGTGCGCGCCGCTTGCCTCCGGGGGATATTTGGTTTTGGACGTACGGCAGGGGTGGAAGCGCCTGCGGGCCCCTCTTCAAGCGGAAGGCGCAAGCAGGCACATGCTACGCCTTGGGAATTTGTTCGCTGGGGTCTGAGGCATTCAGCGGCCAGGGCCACGTCGGTCTGCGGGGGTTCAGAGGTGTAGGGCGTTGCCCGTGGGGCGTGGCGCTGCAAGCAGGCGACGCGACTGCACGCAAGCTGGCGGCGCGACTGCATGAGGCCGCCGCCTCGCACTATCGGGCAGCGCGGGCCAAGGGCTTGGGTGAGAGGAGAGCGCGGCGCCAAAGCGGACGCCTGAAGTTAAGCCTAAGCACTCACGGCCTAACTGCGCGGGCCCAGGGCTGGGGGGAGAGGAGGCCGGGGCTTCAAAGTATTGGGACGCTTTAGACTTCAAAGCTCACGCTTTGACTTTCTTTCAGAGTTCGCGCCTTGTAAACTTTCAAAGTTCGCGGCTTAGCTTTCAGAATTTATCTCCTAACCTTCAAAGCCCACGCCTTATCTTCCAAAACTGATTCATGCCTTAACTTTCGAAGTTCAGTCATTCTTTGACTTTCAAAATTCATGGCTTGGCTCAAACTTTCAAAGTGCACTCCTTAGCCCTCGCAATTCATGGCTCGACTTTCAAAGTTCACGCCTTAACTTGCAAAGTTCACGCTTTAACTTTCAGCATTCGCGTCGTTTTAACTTTCAAAGTTCGCGCCTTAACTTTCAGAATTCACGCCCTAACTTTCAGCCTTCACCCATGTCTGAACTTTCAAAGTTTATGCCCTAACTTTCAAAATTGACGCACGCCCTAGCTTTCAGGAGTCACGCCTTAACTCTCAAAATTCACACCCTAACTTTGGAAATTCAGTCACGCCTTAGCCAACTTATCCATCGCAAAGTTCACGAGTATAGCGAGATGTATGCTGCGCGGTTTTGCGGTGTTGTCTCTGCGTGCCTTGGTCTTCAAGATTCAAGACCATGCCGCAAAATCAAACCTCAAGAAAACCAAAACGCAAAACCCAAAATCAAAACTCAAAAGCAGAACTCAAAACCAAGACCCAAAACCGAAACTCAAAACTTACTCGAAATAACGAAATAAAAGTCCCGGTCCTAAATAAGCCGAGCGCGCAAGCTTTTTATGCGGGATTTGCTTTTCTCATGGCTCCTGAAGCTACGCCCTCGCCAATCAGGGGGCACCCGGGCGAGCCTGCCGCGCATCTTTTCCGACCGCTTTGCAACGAAAATAGCCTACAAGGCTGCCCGGCTGTTCGGGGGTGGGCTCCCGCCGTCGGGTTTGTTCGCGTGTTCGTTTCTCGCCGGTGCAGGCTGTTGGCCAGGATGCCTGCAGCTTGTGCACAGGCACGCGAGTGGTGGCACAATGCCGCAGACCGGTCCCCGCTCTCAGGGGCTTATCCTTATTGGCAGGCCTGTTTTTCTGGGCATCTGCAAACATGCGGCGCCGAGTCCCTCGGGGGAGGTTGTGCTTGCGCCGCCTTCCGTGTTCATCTTCCTTGCCGGGGGGTAGCTTTCTCAGCCACGCGCGTGCCAGTATTGGCGGGCGTCTTTTCCTCGCCGAATGAAAGCGCTGGGATGGGGTTGGCAGCTTCTACTTCTAGCTGGCTCCTGCGCTCTGTTGTTGTTTCGCCTTTCTCCTTATCTTTGCCCCAGGCTTTCGGGGGTGGGAGGGTGGGGGATCCCCTTGCTTACACGCGCCACCCGCTGCAACTGCATAAGCCACCGGCCAAGTAAGGCGCTGGCTTGTGGTGTTATCTACCTCTAGGGGACTGGCCTCGGGGGTTTGTCTTTGTGGCTGCTTGACGTTTCGAGGGAGTGTCGCCCAATCCACTGCTACGGCCCGCCCACGATGTGCACTGCCTTTGCTTGTCTTCGTGGTCCGCTTCCTTGGGGGTTTTCTCCGATGATGAAGGGGAGCGGCCCATCCACCGCTCGCAGATACCCGCGGCGCGGTGGCTCTCTTCTTTGTTGTTTCTTTGTGTTTGCTTTTGCTGGTCAGCTCTGCTCCTAGGCTGGCTGTGAGTGTGGTCTCCCTGAGTCATGGGAGCATGGGCGGCCACGCGCTTCACCTTGGTCACGTGTTGTGTTTATTGTCTTCAGGCTCGGGGGAGCAGCGCGGCTTCGCCTTCGTGTGTGTCGTCGGGGGACAGGGTGCTTCGCTTAGTGCCTGGGCGTGTTTCGATCGTTTGTCTCCTTCGCGCATTGCTTCGGGGGGCTGCCAGCGTGGTGCTGCTTGGTCTTCTTTTATCTTCGTTCTTGGTGGTGGCGTGGGCGAGGTGGGTCGTTGTGCCAGTGCCAGCGCTTCGCCCTTATTGGTACCAAGGGAGCTGCCAGCTTGTTGGGCTGTGGCCTGGTGTGCTGCGTGTGTGCTCTTTTGAGAGGCTGACGCTCGGGCAGGGTGGCTTGTGTATAATTGTTTGGCTTTGGGCGGATGTTTTTGCGGCGTGCCAACAGCTTGGGGCAGCTGTTTTTCGGGGGTTGGGGGGTGGTTTTTCGGCTTGGGGTGTTGTTCGGCGGGTGGTAAGCCACGTTACTGCTAAAGTTAGCTGGGCTGGCTTGGCTGTTGTCGCAGTCCCATCGCCTGAGCATCAGGGGAGATGGATGCCCCGCGGGGTGTCTGCTTCGGGGACTTTCCCCGGGGGGTGTAGGGGGTGTCGCTTATAGAAGTGCCCGGAGGCATGTCTGGTGGGCTTTTTCGGGGGCGTGTGGGTTACGCTGCAGGGGCGCAGGACCATCTAGTTGGTGCTCGCCGCGCCTTGTGATGGTTCTCTTTTCCAAGGGTTGCGGCTGTTCGTTCTTGGGGATTTCAGAAGCCGGGTCGGGCCCGTCTGGCTTAATCCCGTTGGACGCGCGTCCAACGGGATTAAGAACGGCCGTTTCTTAATCCCGCGCACTTTTTAAGGGCAGGATTATGATCTGGCGTTTCTTAATCCTGTTGGACGCGCGTCCAACGGGATTAAGCCGGACGGGCCCGACCCGGCTTTTGAAATCCCGAACAGAGGGCGCCCTCGCACGTCTGGGGCCTTCGCAGGTTGTGGGGGTATTCGGTCTACTCTGTGCGTTTCTGCGGGGGTTTTCGTTTTTCCAAGTGTGGTCAATTATCGAGGCCGGGGGGGCATTGCTCATCTTGTTCTTCTGCATTGCCTCGCCCGCGCCCTGGTCGTCGTTCGTGGCTTGTGCCTTGTCAGAGGTGGGGGAGATAAGTGGAGAAGCAAGCGGGGGCGGCCGCTTGGCGTCGCCAGTGAAGGGTGTCGTGTGCGTATACTAGCAGGAAGGGTGGTGGGTGGCATTCGCTTGCTTTGGTTTGTCTTGCTCTTGGTGTGGTCAGTCGTGTGTCGTAAGCGTGCTCGCTGGGGTCTTAGGGTTTGTCGCAGGCGTTCGTTTGGTAGACTTTTTCTTTGGATCGCATGGCAAACCGCCCAGGGATTGTCTGTCTGTGGTTGGTTGTTGGTGACCAGAAGCCGATCAGGTGCCCCCACGCGAAGGCTGGCCAAGCCAGGTGGGCTAACTGGGAAGCGGGGCCTCTTCGTGGAAACAAATGCAAAGCCTCAAACGCCGGGCAAAGGCGTGCCCAACCACCACGCATGACGCCACTCGGCGGCGCTTGTTCTTGGATGGGGTGGCGACTCGCGTGGGCGTGGTTCTTTCTTCAGGGCTGTCGTGGATCTCTTAGATGTGAACGAAGACAGCTGCCGTTGTTTCTTTGTGTGTATGTCTTACTTTGCTTGTTGGTTGCCTGCGGTCTCGCGCCTGGGCGTGTATCTGGCTGCCGCCTGCCATTTCTTTTGGATGGATGCTCTGCTCGTGTGTCTTTGTGGTTGTGTGTGAGTGCTGTCTGTGTCCACGGGCGGCCGCAGCGTGGTGCGTATGCTCGGTGCCCCGTTTGTGATGGGCGTGCCAGCCCAAGTGACAGATCGAGGGAGGCACACGCCGGACTGCAGTGTCTGTCTCGCAATATGGGCCTGCTGGTGCAGGCTCGGGCCCGTTGCGTAGGCGTCAGCCGGTGCCCGTGGGCAAAGAGCTCCGGGCCACCGGCACGGCGCCGTGGCCAGGTACGTGAACTGAAGCGAGGGGGGCGGCGTCGTCTCTTACAAGGCTCAAAACAGGCGTCCGGCGTTGGCTTATGACTGCGCGCGCGACTGCGACGCGTGTTTGGGTTTCAGATTGTTAGCTGGTCGCCTGGGCTGCGTGGTGTCTTATTCATTGTGTTCCCCAAGCCCTCACCCTCCGCCCCTCGCCTCGTGTGCTGCGGTGTTTCTTTGTTTTGGCTTGGCGCTCCGGTTCTTTTCTGGCGGGCTGCCTCTCGGTGCGCTTTTGAGGGGGGTGGGAAGTGGTGCGCCTGACTCAGGCAGTGGCTGGCTTGGGTGAGAGGGTCTTCTTGGTGCTGCGGGGTTGGCAGGGAGGGCGCCGGGGTCTCTGGCTGGTGTCTGTCATGTTATGTGTCTTCAGCGGCTGTGGCAGGTCGTGCTGGGCTCGTCAGTCGGGCTCTGGGTGTCCTCGTTTCGCTGTCTTGGCGGCTTGAGTATGGCTATTTCAGTCCGCGGGGAAAATGCTCTGCATCCATCGCGCATATGTGTTTCTCTTTTTGCCCTCTGTTCTGCGTGCTGGGCGGGCAGGCCTCCCCCGCTGCTTGTGTCTCTTATGTGTCTGCATTATAGAGGGATGGCCCCACTGCCACTGCGACCATGCGCGTGCGCTTGGCTTATTTGCTTATTTCGGACTGGGATGATTATTCCGTTATTACGAGTAGGCGCTAAGCCAAGAGCCCAAGTTAATAGATCAAAACCAAGGCAAAACTTGACAAGTAAAGAGATTAGCACTCATAGGGCAGACGACTTTCTTCAAATCCTTAAGAGTCTGCCTTAAGTGCTTTCCCTCAGGAGATTGATTACCTTAAACAAAGATTCTCTATTACCAAAGAAAAGCTAGCACAACTTACTTCCCCTAAGGCGAAAAAATCTTCTTCAGGGGGCTCCTTAAGGAGAAGCTGCGACGAGCATAAGCTTAGGCTAATAATAGACCCTCCCTTAGTTTTTAAGGGCCGCCGCCACCTCGCAAGGGCTTTAGCTTGCTAGCACTAGCTTAATAGCCATGGCCAGCTTGCTAGCTGCTTAGCCTTGCCTAGCTAGCTGGCTTACCCATTACCCGTAGCTGCCTGTCTAGGTTAGCCGTCGCTAGCTCGCTAGTTGCTAAGCTATAGTTAGCCCGCTAGCTGCCTAGCCATAGCTAGCTAGCTAGCAAGGTAGCAGCTTGGCCATAGCTATCTAGCTAGCTGCTTAGCCATAGCTAGCTTGCTGGTTGCTTAGGCTTAGCTAGCTTGTTAGCCTTAGCTGCTGCGCCATAGCTAGCGAGCTTACTAGGTAGCTGCTCGGCTTCATTTAGCTAGCAAGCTAGCTACTTCGTCACGATTGGGAGCTAGGTTCCTAGCTGCTTGGCCATCGCTAGCCTGCTCCTAGCTGCTTAGCCATGGCTAGCTTGGTAGCTGCTACTTCCTTTGTGTGACCTAGCTCAGCAGCCACTTCCTCAGCCATATCCAGGCCAGCTTGGTGGCGAGCTCGGCCATGGCCACCTTGCTAGCTTAGCTTGGCAGTAGCAGCCAGAGGCAGCCTCTTAAGCTAGCCGAATCTTGGCCAGCTTGCTAGCCCCGCCATATCTAGCTTGCTAGCTTTGCTTTTGCGTTTGCCGTGGCCTCGCCAGCTCGCTAGCAGCTTAGCCACAGCTTGGTGCGTAGCTTGTTTCTGTAGCCACAAGACAGCGGCAGCCAGCCCGCCATGAGATGAGGGGCGTCCACGATAGTCCACCCTGAAGCTGAACCAGCCGCGCGTCGCTAGTTTGGTTCTCGGGGCATGCGTCGTAGTCTTATAGAATATATTTGCGGCCCACGTGCCCCCGGCGTGTACACACGCCGGGGCTGGGAGCTTGCATGTGTTACATAAACAAAAACACTGGCAGCACCTCGAGGCGGATGAAATGGCTCAAGTGACTGAAATGCAGCAAATGGCCAAAAAAGGAGACTCTTTGTCAGACAGAGGGCTGAGCCTAACCTATGCGGGTAAAGCGTCGCGACCGAGGCAGTCAGATCTTTTACCAAGAACCAAACTGCTGCCCGCTTTATAAGGTTGCTATTAGCTTTCTTACTTACTTTCGATCTGCTTGCGGCGTCTTGGTTGTCTGTGAGCTGGCTCAGGTCTGCGCACTTTTGACCTGCTTGGAGGGTTTTCCGCTTATTTGCGGCGGCTTTTTTTAGGTTTCTTGTTCCTCTCCACGACATCGTGCAGCATTTTGGTGCTCTTGCTTACTTTTCAGCTGGTGCTTCGCAGGTGCTTTGCTATCTGTGAGCTGAGTCTGGTCTCTTAATATCCAAAAAGCGCAACGGCATCAGACTGCTGCTGACTTTGACTGGCTTGAGAAAACCCATCCGCGAGCAGCCTCAGGCTCGCAACTTCTAGCCAAACAGGGCAGCCGCATGAGGTTGCTGCCCCCTCATTTTTGAGCAGCTTGGAACGCCGTACACTTTGGCCCAGCTCCCGCAGGTCTCCGGTCCAAATCGTTCAGCTTTATCGGGTTCTTGTCTACTTCTGGCTCTGTGTCTGACTTGCTTGGAAGGTCTCACCTCTTGACCCAGCTCAGGCCCCCGGCTTAAACTGACGGCACCGCCTTACTGGGTTGCAGTTTGCTTCTGACTTCCTTGGAAGGCTTTGCTTTTCCTTTTGAGCTGTCTCTGGTCTTCCTTGCTTCTAGCTCTATCCAACTGGCGCAGCTTAACTTTCAGAGAATGTGGCGCACATTTCACCTACTTGAGAGGTGCCGTCCGTGAGCTGATTCAGGTCCCCCATCCAAAAGGCGCACTTCATCTCATGACGCTGCTGCTTCCTTTTGAGTTTGAATTGCTTGGAAGGTCCCACTTTTTGGCCCAACTCTCTCAGATCTTCCAGCCAAGTCGCGGAGCTTTTTGGTTTTGGGCTTGCTGCTTTCTTTTGACTTGCTTGGAGCTGGGCGGCCTTACCTTCTGAGCTGTCTCAGGTCTTCTGCCAAAATTCATGGCGTAACTGTGTGAGAATGCTGCAGGCTTTTCACCTGCTTGGGTGGTCTTATCTGTGAACTGACTCAGGCGGCTTAGCTTATCCAAAGCGCGCATCTTTATGAGGTTCGTTGCAGTCTGCGGCGGATTTGCTTGGAAAGCCTTGCCTTTGACTCAGCTCAGGCACCCGATCCAAAGCGCGCAGCTTTATCCTGTGCGACTGCTGTCATCTACTTTGTTTTGGCCTCCTTGGAAGGTCTTACCCTTTGAGCTGTCTCGGGTCTTCTATCTAAATGGCGCGGCTTTATCCGTAGGCGAATGCTGTGCACTTTTCAGCTGCTTGAGAGATCCCATCCGGGAGCTGGCTCGGATCGTTATCCAAAGGGCGCAGCTTTATGAAGCTGCTGCTTACTCTTGGCTTGCTTGGAAGGTCTTCGCCCTTTCTTTGGCCCAGCTCTCTCAGACCTTCCACCTCCCCAAGCCGCGGAGCTTACTTTCTGAGATTGCTGGCCACTTTTGGTTTTGACCTGCTTGGAGGGCTTTGCCTTTTGAGCTGTCTCCGACAGGTCTTTGTCGAAATTCATGGCGCACCTTCATGCGAAGGCTGTCGGCTTTTCACGAGCTTGGGCGGCCCCATCTGTGACCTGACTCAAGTCGCATATCCAAAGTGCGCAGCTTCATGCGGTTGCTGCTTACGTATGTTTGGCTTGCTTGGAAGGTCTTGCCTTTTGGCCTTACAACTCTCGCAGGCCTCCCACCCAGATCGCGGAACTTCATGGGGCTCGTTGCTGCCTATTTTTGGCCTGACTGAGAAGCTCTGCGCTCTGCGGGAGCTGTCTCAGATCAAGAAAGCTGCGCAACCACGAAGAAACCCACCACCGCCGGCTTCTCTTGAGCAAAAGAACTTGCTTCAAATGACCAAAAAAAGTCGCCAGCTTTGGAGATGCATCAGGTCGCAACTTATGCGGTATCGGTATAAGAGTAGCACGACGTGAGTAGTCAGGCCTTTCCCATTCATTCGCGCACAGCGTAGCCCACAACCTTGGCAAGAATTTGCGACAAAAAACGCAGGGGATTGACTGCAGTGCAAGAACGCGACGCGCCTGGCTTCTCGTCTTTTGTGCGTGCGGCGTAGTTTGTCATATGTTCAGAGTTTCGGGCCTTGCTGATATACTTAGCAGGAGCAGAATCAGGGAAAAGATGCACGCAAAACCGCGGCACTTTTACGGCGCGAGATGTCTACATCGAGCCCGTCGCGCGTCTTTCTTATAATTTTTGCACATCTCAATCTCAAAAGAGTAGACTTTTGGAAACCCATCAGGAATCGCCCCGGTGTGAGTACATCTCGAGAGTGCGTCTTTCTTGTGATTTACGTGGAGGGTATACCTATACGTCTCGAGATATATACCGCAGGCGTAGAGTATACATATAGCCCGCACATCTTTCCCATGATTTACGTACATCCAAAGCCGTAGGCGCGCCCTCCTGTTTAGCTCTTAGCATAGTCTTGACCTATCACATACTACATTGCTATAGTATAGTATCTGTCTAGTTGCTAATGTTAACCTATGCCCAGTGCAGCGGGCCCTTGATGGGCCCGCTTTCTGGGCATGCGTGACCCATATTAGAATCTAGCTCATCTAAACTCTTTCATTTTAAATCCATAATAGCAAAAATATTGGAATCGGGCGAAGAAGTATATAGTAGTCTTTCTATCGAAATAAAGATGAAAATAAAGAGCTGCGGTGCCTTTTTGTGCAAGCAGTGACTGTCTTGCTCTTGCTGAGCGCCTGACTGACCATGACCAAGTATGATCTTGGAGCTGTTGGTCAATATGTTGTAACGGAGAAGTAGTAGGGACCTTTACCACCAGGATCCTCGTCCGATCAACAGAGAAGTAGATGGATGCATTTTCCGAGCTCCAATGATTATGCAGGCCGAAGTTGCAAAAGAAGAGCGCCTGAAGCAAAGCCTGGAAAAGACTCTCGCAGAGGAAGGGGAAAATTACGGGCTGTGTCATTCACTAGAGGGCGGCTTTTAACTCCTCTACTACATAATAGAGACAACTAATACCTGTAGTTGTTAATGCCCTTAGATAGGTTAGTCCCTTCTAGGCATGAGAATCTGCATCGTCGTAACACATGCTACATTATTCATAGATAGTGCGTAGTTGTAGTATGGTATGAAGTAAATGCAACAAATCCAAGTCGTAATCGATTACTACAAGTACATTAGTAATGAGGCTGCGGAGCCTCGGACTTCCTTTGGTGAGGAGCATCCAAGTGGAATACTAGAATACAGTAGAGGCTCTTGTTTCTTGATGTTAATGTAGATCACCACCTGCCGCCGATTCGCGAGCGCGCGGATATTAAAACTGGGCTCACTCTTATTTCGGGCCTGTTGGCATACATATTTATCTTATTTAGGGTACCCTACTACTACTTACCCCCAGATTGGGCACACTACTACTCCTACTACTACCAGGGTTTTTTTAGGGTTCTACATGAATTCCAGGTTCAGAGACTTTACAGCTGGAAGAAGTTGCGACAATCTTCTTGAGTCGTCTACGAAGCCCTTCTTCTGCGTTGCCTGGTCCTGTGTCGTGATCCGTGAGAAATAAAAACGGACCCGAGGGGAGGGCACTAACGACTGAAGACTTTATCATAGCAAGTCATGCGTATGCATTTACAACATTTCAGCCTTCACCTTCTACACTCTCTCTTTAGAAAGAGTTATTATGTATGATTTTACTACTTTGCGATTACGGCTGAACTAGCCTGGCCTAGGTGGAGGTGTCATACTCATATCGAAATCTTTTACGTAGTCCCCCAGTATTGATGTCTACTGAGATCGTGACTAGTTCTCTTCGGAGTAATCCTATTCTGACAGCAGTAAAAAGAATACATTGTGGCGAGGAAACAGATGGGACAAGAAAATATATAATTTGTGCGAGGACCACACCGCTTGTGCGGAACAATGTTGACCAGCAAGGTCATGAATAGAAGTGAGGGAGATAACGGTATCAATTGCTTGAAGAACAGAGATTCTCAGAAGATGAGGAAAACTGAAGAAATAAAGTTAACACAAGTCTCGATTAGATTCCATCTAAAAATAGGAGGCGCAGTTAATGAAGGACATTGCAACTCTCGAACGTCGTAGTTCCCCGAAAAAGCGACTGCAACACTCTGCACCTGCTAAGAAGATACGATATTCGGGGCAGGTTTTGGGCGATGAAGAGAAAGACGTCGATGCAATCGTGCGTGGATGGATACACGACTCCAAAGACACGAATCCAGAGAACCCAAGACCTTACATCGATTTTGACCCGTGGCGGTTGAATGCCGACCAACTCGGCTTAAGGCCATCTATTTCTTGTATTGTTGTAACGACTGCAGGTCCTATAGTTGGTCCTCGAGTCGTCCATACAATCGATTATACGACTGACATATAGATAGTAATAGAAAGAGCATCATCATCATCATCATCATCATCCTCGTCGTCGTTTTTGTTTGTTTGTATAGATGCGCTCCGGGCAACGCGTACGATTTCGCCAGGTGATGCTTTCTGGTTCAGATATAATATAATTACTGAGGTGCTGCAGTTAGCAGACCGGAAAAGTATCCAGGTGTAAAATATCAACAAAATAAGAACAGTCATACAGCCACCCAATCCGCAAGTCAACCAAGCAATCACGAACCAATTGAGAGTCAAGCAACTACGGTGGTCGACGATTACCACCTCAGCATCGTCGTTGAGAATGACAATGATGCTTGTGACAGAGACTGATGATAGCCTACGCCTGGGCGCACTATGTTCCTCTCTGTCTTGGTCCGTGCTGCTCCTGTGGTCAACTGAAGTTGTCCACTCTTTTTGCTCTAATGGAGACCGTCCTGGCATGGAACCGACGCGTGTTCCCATTTATTTGAGGCTGACAAGCAAAAGATGAACCTCCTGCCACCACGCGCATCCCGTTGAAATACTGTGCTGGTGGTGACTGGCAGAGTCTCGCGCTGTGCAGCTTCATCGGAGTCCCATACTGGATCCAGTATTTTAACGGGGTTGCTCGCTCTTTGCTGGTCAGGTTGCGGAAAGCTCTAATCTATTAGTCGGCTCGTTGCACCACTCCCCGTCCAGGAAAAGGAGAGAAAGGTTACGAACTGGGTTTCGCCTGCCACTGTTTGTCAATGTCCTTTGCATGGTGCCTAGTTGATGTTGATTACCTGCACTGGGAATTTGTAGCTAGTTGTAGAAACTCTAGCTCCACTAGCTTTCCTCGATGGAGATGTAAAGCTTTGATTTTCTTAGTTGGGCTCACTCTACTACCCTGGTGCTGGTGCATAATTGTAGAAACAAAATCGTTATGCTGGATGGGTTCAGGTATAAAAGTGCTGTACTGGCCTTTAATAAGTAGCGTATGGCAGAGAATCGGTCTGAAGAAGATAACCGATCCGAAAAGGATTGGGCGCTGCTAACGGCGATCCTTCGCAAGAATCCTGCTGATGAAAATTATGGGTCCATCTAAAATCAATGATTAGTCTCCTCTTGCTCTTAGTGCAGCTGTAAGTTATATGTATTGTAAGTGGTTGCCTCAGTCAGACTCACATACTTTTTATATGTGATAGGTTTTCATATACTAGCCTCCACAAGGAATTCGTGGCTTTTCCCCTTAGCATAGTATGAGTCTGTGCTGCAGATCTTGACTGGCTTTTGCCCGTAAAACGGCGAAGGTTTAGGTCCAGCGACGCTCAAAGCACTTATGTAGGCGCTCCTCTTTAACTTTCTATGTAATTTTAGGCTGTCACTTCTTGGAATATATACTAGCCTCCACAAGCTTCGCCCGGCTTCAAGTTTAGCACTTTTCTGCCTCCCACGGGCTACAGCCGCCAGAGTAGAGACAGCCCGCGGGTGGGCTGTTGCTCTCTGCGAATTGACTACGACACGAGCCGGGTGCCGCTGCCTGCGCTGATCGACTCAGATGCGTCGACTCATGAGCAGAGTTCTGCGCTGCCTTCCGTTTTTATTTTTTGGGATTGCCGGGGGGGTCATGCAAATTCCTAAGAATTTGCAAGGCCCCCACGGCAGTCCAACAAAAAAACCAGAAAAGAGCCACCAGACACGCACAAGGGTCCGCAGGCTGCAACGCGCGCAAGCGCCTCGCGGTGGCACCAGGCAAGAACGCGGGGCGACCTTGACGGGCCAAAGAAGAAAAAGCAGCGCGTCCGCATGGCCGCGCTGCTTGGGTCTGTCTGTCTGCGCGCCAACTACAGCTGGCGGGGCTCCTCTTTTGCTTCGTCGGGCGTCTTTCGTCAGAAGCAGAAGGCTGCACTTCGCGGGAGCATGGGGCGCCGCTCTTCGGGGTGAGGGCGACGCCTCTCGTCTGGCTGACGTCTTTCGTGGGGCCTACGTCTTTCGCCAGGATGGAGGCTGACGCCTTTCGCAAGACTGACGCCTTCCGCCAGGCCAGCGCCTTGCGTCGGGCTGAAGACGTGACGGCTTTCGTCGGGCACGCTGGTGCTCTTCCGCAGACGTCTTGGGCCCGTCAGACTGAGGGTGAGGCTTTACTCTCGTAGGGGCGACGTCTCTCGACGTCAGGCTGACGCCTTTCATTCGTCAGACTGCAGCGCCTCGCTTGGCTGACATCCTTCGCCGGACCAAGGCCGACGCCGTTGGTCAGGTTGATGGCTTTCTTCAGCTTGGCGCTTTTCGTCTGACTGATGCACTGACCAGGCGACGCCCCTCGCCAGGCCGGCGCACTACTTCGCCAGGCGTCTGTCTTGTGTCGGAGCAGGTTGCGCGGGGCCTTTCTTCGGGCTGCGGATGTCTTTCGTCAGGCTGAAGCTTTTCACTCGTCGGGCTGACGTCTTTCGCCGGACTGACCTCTTTCGTCGGACTGACGTCCTTCGTCGAAGGTCTTCGCTATCGTCAAGGACTATGGGCCAAAGGAGCGCTCTTTCTTATGAATATGAAGAAGGCACGCTCGTCAGATGTCTACTGCCATGGGCTTTATCTTTTGCCGTGATAGGTCTTCTCTTTCGTCAAAAGTCTCACCTTGCTCTCGTCGAAGGTTTTTCGTCAAAGGGCTTTGGAGTTTTGCCCAAGGTCACTGGTCTGAGGTCTTTTGTCCAGGGTCTTACTTTTGCCGAAGGTCTTTCGCCGCTGGTCTTTTGTCTGAGGTCTTCTCTCCAAGGTCTTTTGCCCAGGGCCTTTTGCCTGAGGTCTTTTGCCCCAGGTCGCCGCCTGTCAAAGGTTCTTCGCCAAAGGTCTTGCGTCCGTCAGAGGGGGAGGTCTTCGTCAAATGTCTTCTGTCAAATGTCTTCTGTCAAATGTCATCTGTCAAATGTCTTCTGTCAGATGTCTTCTGTCAGATGTCTTCTGTCAAATGTCATCTGTCAAATGTCTTCTGTCAGATGTCTCCTGTCAAATGTCTTCTGTCAAATGTCTTCTGTCAAATGTCTTCTGTCAAATGTCTTCTGTCAAATGTCTTCTGTCAAATGTCTTCTGTCAAATGTCTTCTGTCAGATGTCTTCTGGCAAATGTCTTCTGTCAAATGTCTTGCGCCAGAGGTCTTTCGTGAGAAGTCTTTCGCCAGGGGTCTTCTGTCACCAGCGGTCCTCTGTCGCAAGTCTTTCGTCAGCAGGTCTTTGGCTGGGCGAAGGTCTTTCGTCAGAGGTCTGCTCCTTCAAAAGTGCGAACTTCTTCAGTGCTGTAGTGTCGACAAACGGGCGGCTACTTTTGTCGCAGGTCTTTTGTCAGGGGTCTTTTCTCAAAGGGCTTGCGTCGGAGGTCTTTCGTCGACTATTTCTCTTCGGACTTCTCACTCTCCTCAGCTTGCGCGCCTATCCTTGTCGGGCATTTTTCTGGCCTCTTTTCTGGTAGTCTGCCACGGGGCCGCGCAGTAATCTACAACATGAAAACGGTCGGCGACTCCGTCGCGGGGTTTGAGACTGAGGGGAAGGGGCTGGAGGTTACGGGCAATAGTCTCGCGGGGGAAGCTGGCTAACCTCTAGCGGGGTGGGCGGTGATCAGTTGGGCGATTGCCATAGATTACTTAACAACGCAGACTAATGGCCTACGTTATCGATTTACGTGAGTGACTAGACTCACTCCAATGACTTACGTCATTAGTGGCTTACTTACATTAATGGCCTCCAATACATCTACACCGGTAACGCACTTGAATAGGGTAGGGGTTGACCGTGTAGACTCCTAGCGTGGGTCGATAGCGTAGACCATTAACGAGGCGACGCAACCAGCCGGCCGGCTTCTCTGGGGCTGATGACCTCGGACGAAGTCAGGCAAAAACGTTGCTGGGAGAATTATGCGGGGAGGAAGCGCGGCGCGTCTTGTCAGAACTTGCAGGCGGACACACTGCCAGCGTGGGCTTCCTCCGTTCCCTCGACGTCTCTCGGGCGGGCCTTGGGCGTGCCTTGCGGTCACTACAGGGGGAAGGACGCACTGCGCAGCGGGTTGCGCTTGCGGCGTCTGTTTTAGGTGCCGCGAGGTTCCAGCGCGTTGCACAGGGTGGCTCGCACGCCCCCCAGCGTGTGCCCGCCTTATTTGTGAGGATGCAGCTGGCTCCGGGCTCCAGTCCACCTGCGCCAGTGCTTGGGAGCGGGAAGATATGGCCGCGCGCTCTTCACTCTCTCGGACTCCGACGGACTCACTTCCGCCTTGGTGCCTCTACTTCGCCGCCGTTATCCTTGACTTGGTTGCCTTCGAGCAACGTGCCCTCTGTGAGGCTGCACGAGTAGCAGTAGCGCCGCAGCCTTAGGCCGGCCCTTTGAGTGAGGCGGAGGCGCCACCTTCTGCCTTGGCCCAGATGCCGCGCCTTTCCTTGTGTTGCGGCTAGTCGTATCAGTCTCGACCATACTAACGCCAGCGGGCTAAAACTAATTGGGCCCCGCAGAAGGCTCTCGGGCTGCATGATGTTGGAAAGCCGCCAGGCTTCTTAGGGTAATTAACTAACCGTCTAGCTCTAGAGCCTAAGAGCCAGTCTAGAGATTTACAATCTAGAGACTTGCTGGAAGTATGTGAAGGCCTGTAACCGCAGACCAGAACCAGAAGGCTGCCACACCGTGGCAAGGTCTGCAAGACCAGTAGAAGACTTTGCTCAAGGCGTAACGTACGGAAGTCAAACGTCTCGGCCACCGCCAAGGCCGGAGAAAGACAGGCAAGGACAAGCAAACCGTAACCACTGTGAAGAGGAAGAAGGCTGGAAGGTTTAACACCACAAGGATCGAACTCAGTCGAGCACAGTCACGGCGGTGCCCTCTCACGCACTGCACTCACGTCACCACTCCCACCTAAAGGATCCAGGGCCATCAAGATGCTGGACGGTATTGGCTGGCGTTCGGGCTCTTTGTATTGAAGCAGACGGGTTGGAGCGAGACACTGGACGGCTTGCCCTTGATTTTCAAGGTCTCAAGTACTGGCCAAGGCAGGCATAGGGTGAACCTGCCAGATCGAGCCTACCGGTTGATGCTGCTGCTGCTGTCCTCCCCTTGCCACAGGCCTAGCTAGTTTAAACTTAAATATCTAAGTTAACTAGCTAGATTCCTCCTTAAGCGTAGCTAAAATCTATTTTCAGTTGATTTGAGAACGAGAAAGGTTTTCACTTCAATACTTTGGCTCGTTGTTCTATTGGTCAAGTGCTTTGATTGACTCACACCAAGCCGCCAACTCGGGAAGTGGAACACCTTCAAGCTCAAGACCTCGCAGGTTGGTCGCTTCGAGCTGTCTCTGGCAAGGTTTAGCCTATAGAATAAAGATGAGACAGATAAGTAGACTGATAAGAAACTTTTTGCAATGTCTGACTGAGCACTGTCAGCTTATAATAAAAATTAGCTACATCCACCACGTGGCCTAAGCGTAAGCAGTATGCTCTGTCTTTGATTTAGGCCTCCTCGTCTCTGCTACTCCTTTTTCGGCGGATGGTCATCTCAGTGCCTCAGTCATTCTTTCTCGACTACTGGATTGACGAGTCTCGAGATAAAATTAAAAAATAAAGAGGACGAAAATGCAAAGACAAATCTCTAACGCATCGCGCTGGCAAGCGATGCGTTCGTTGGGGAATCCCTAAAAAACGCTGCAATACTCTTGGAGTCAAAGTTTTTGGAAAAGGATAAAGTGTCGATCTCCAAATGCTTCGCTGTGAAAGCAAAAGAGTTTATGGTGAAGTTTGCGGCAGTATTTTTTCTACGTATATTGCGTTTCATCAAGAATCACTGCCCCTGCCGCTCGTACCCGTAAGTGTAAGAAGATGAACAAGAACTATGCACTTCTACAAGTAAGCGTGGAACAAGGACTGTCACATCCTTTCCTGGTGCTCGTAGCAAGTTAATCGAGAATTCAAAAATTATCACGCCTACATGTTGTTCCGATAGCGCGCTCTTAAGTAATTGCAGCCATGACACTCGCCGCACCACCAGAGTGATTTGTCGGTAAGTCGCATCCTTGTTTTCTGTGCACGACATCTGCTTTTCACTATTATGATTTCAAGTAAGATAATTCGTTCTCCTACCAGAACCTTTTTTACTTAATACTGCAGGTGCAGACATTAATTACCATAAAAATTGTAATTGTTGTTCTGATCGTCGATCTACTTTGTATTCGTTCATATTTCTGTTCAGGCTCTTACTTACGAGTGAGACTGACAGCAAGGCCACGCTGGCTCAGATTGCGGGCGTATTAAGGGCTGACTTTTGGTGTTTCTGTTGCCGTTTGTTATGCCTTTCCTAAAGGGGAAATAAGACATAACGAGCGGGGAACGCAAACACCAAGGCCCTACCTCTAAGCGTAGAATTGGCTGGAGCTAGCGAGTTCGTGAGCAAGGAGTTCAAGGTATGACAGGGAAAGTAAGCTTATACTCACACTCAAAAATCTAGCTCTAAGTAAAAAGTAGATTGTCACGAGGAAGCAAGTGCTCCCTTTCTTGAGTATGAACAGAAGCACACTTCATCTTCCTTTCATGGAAGGACAGAGCCGACAAAACAGACCCTGAAGTACCCGAGCAAGCTAAAGCTCTCTTCGACTACTGGAAGGGAAAAGCGGTCCCCTTCATATTTTCGGCGCGGAAGTTTAATAGCCGGGTGTTTGCCAATGCCTTATCCGCTAAGAAGCGTTTCAGCCCAAATCTAACTAACCGTAGTAAAGTTATGCTCAGCTTTTATTTTTTGTATCCATCTGCCTCGGCATGATCTTGATCGCCTTTTCCCTTGTATTTCCATGAAATACAAGGGGAAAGGGGGCGAGATGAGGGGACTGCGATGCATCGAAGCCGCGTCTAATAGAGTTGCTGCGGACTTCTTTTTCCTTTATGCGTCAACTCGTCTGGTAGAAGGCATCGTGATAGGCCACAAGAACGGGGAGAAGATCGACTGCAAAGAATAGACGCATAATACTAGTATATATGGAAGAGGTGGAACAAGATAGCACTCAGCGCGCGACTCTCTGCTCCTCCTACAACATACGCAGAGCCACAGCTACTGGGAGGTGGAACAAGACGCACTACTACAGCTCCAGCACCAATGTCTAGGAGTGCATGGAGGTAGGGGTGGCCAAGAACTTAGCTTACAAAAAGAAATATATACATTTCACTTACACTTTTCTCTAGCCCTACAACGTAGTTCTAGTTCACCAATCTAAAAAAGATGAAAATCAAAATGAGTATGTCTCGACGATGATGTACTTAGTTGTCTGCAAACCACAACAAAATTATACAGCTAGCTCGTACTTTCTTCTCCGCATCCGATGAGGTTTTCTTCGTATCATTTCGTGATCCTTTGTTATGCGCTGATTTTTTCGTGGCATCAAGCATGTTCGACAGTAGTTCTGCGAAAAGAAGGACAATTCATCATGTCTATATCATGATTGAAAAATCATGAAGACTTTCACATGCGTCTTCTGCTCTTTCTCGAAAGAAATTCACTCGATAATTCTTGCATTGGAAATCATTACTAACGGGCACGAGAAATGGTGCAAATTATGACCACTGAGACGAGTCAGTGTTGTAATGCTACAAGACACTCACGAGGAGGAAAGCGCAGGCAGGAGTTATTTTCCTGTGTACACAATCAGGCACCTTTCGCAAGGATGCGGTTAGATATCAAAGCTGCTTCTTGTGCGATCTTGGTCGATACAAGAGGGCCGTCTATGATGATGGATTTGGAATGTTTTGATTGTCAGTCGCTCGTAGTTCATTCATGACCCTGATTCTGAACCGTTTTATCTTTGCTTCCCTTTCCTGTAGGTACAAGAACTAAGAACTATTCTTCAAGAACAAGAGCATTAGTAGTTACAGATTGTTGTAATTTCAATCTGGTTGTATCTTCCTCCTATCCACGACGCTACTCTATTTCCACATTGTCAAAGGCCTTGATCTTTTTTGCTTCCGCTCATTCTCTAGGAGTCGAGCTCGAGTGTTGAATTCAAATTTGCATTGCATTAGGACTTCTTGTCTCCCTGACCCTGAGCTTAACGAGAAAAAGCAAAAGATACCTGTGATTATAGGCACAGAAATGTAAGGCAACAGAGGCTGCACGGTTCTGATCGATCACATATCAGATAGAGACTCATGATGGTACTTAGTAGTACTCCATCGAAGAAGATGATAATCAAAAATTTTAGAATCTGTACTAGAATGATCATTTTTTTTATTGTTCTTTTTCATGTCGCGTTTTTCACTGCAGGAGGATATTACAGGTGTACCCTCTGGAAGATGGGTCAACTCCTATCTTATGACACGACGTTGAGGCTTTCTAGTCCAAATTTTTTAGGTACAGAATGAGCGGTTCCACCCTGTCCCCTCGTAATAGTTCTAGGAAACGTGGAATCGCAGAGGAGGCTTCCTTTCTTGATTACGTACTGAACACAAAAAATCATCTTCAATAACATCATCATGTAGAGAAGATATGAGCAGTTACTTTTTATTATCAGTAACTACTTGATAGTAGCTCGTCCTTCTCGCACCGAAGACCTGGACTATGTTATGATCAAATGCACCAGACCACAAAGCTTATACTCTATTTCCTATCGAGAGACCTGTTGTGGTGACTTTTACTTTGTTTCTTCCTACTCCAGCTTGGAGTTATTGTGTAATTAGTTTTTGAGAAATGTCCAGGGTTAGGGTTTAGGGTTGGATCGGAGGAGGCGATTCTGAACTTTTCTTACGGGCGCGCTCTGAAAGCGATGGCCCTTCATAGTTCGGAGCAAGCAGACACTCAAGATGACACCATGGAAGCGGCCGCACTTGGACGCGGATGTCTTCAGGGGTTATTTGGTCGAAGCGGGAAATTGGAGACCACCGAAGAGGCTGGTAGGAGCAGCCGCCCCACAGTGCGCGAGAAGAGCTCTTGCCTCGAAAGTCGAGTTTTTCGATATTCTAGAGTTGCAGCAGCAGAATGAGATGAAAGCCAGGCTCATCGCCTCGCGTCCCAGGTTGGCGGTGGATGAAATAGGACGCGTTGTCGATAGGCGTGCGCGTCAAGCTAGTAAGTACTGTATAAAAACGGGCGATGTGCTATTTTGACGAAGACGAAGCTGCCCAACGCCGCAGCCGCAGCCACCGCTGTGGTCTGGTGCCTGAGAGAAAGGGCAGAGAAGGGGCGGCGAGGACACGGGCGTCCTGTAGAAACTCGAACTAGAGAGAGAGGGTTAGATAGCCTGAAGAGAGCCTAGCTACTTACGTTCATCGCGCATGCGACTATCGCCCGCTGCGCTGCCGGCTAGACGGATTTTGTTTTTGCCGCAAGTGGGTCGTGTGCGGCTGCGGACCATGTGTCAGCTTTTGGGGGCGCGCTCACGTCGGGGCGTAGGGGAGCATGTTTTCCACGTTGGTTTGAGCGCGCCCGGGCGGTCTAATGCTGCCCGGTCCCTCGCTTCGTCGTGCGCAGGTAAGTCGCGGATGAGGCGGTGTAATATCATACGGCGAGTTTCAAGAAGGCGGGCAGCGTAATGCGGAAGTGTTCGACGGAGGAGGAAGATAGAATGGCGCCGCAAGAAGAGTTGTAGAATAACAAGTAGCGCGTAGAACGCGCATTCTTCCCATTAAACCCAAAACAGCCACAGGATCTTCAGGAGGGTCCTCTGAGCCCTTACATCAGCGTCCTTGGCGACAGATGGCAAGGGCGCTCGTGAGCGCGGCACGCCCGTGTGAGGCGGTAGGGTCGCGCGCGAACATTAATAATAAGAATAGTATGAATGATAATAATATACAATAATTAAAAGAGTAATAATGGCCAAAAGAGTCGAGAAAGGTTTTTCGAGGGATTATCGGGGGGAGAAGGTGGGGCCTTGGGGGGGGTAGGGGGGGCCAACCCCTGCGCGACCCTTCGTTCCCTGCGGGTCTGAGGGGTCGCGCAGTGCGGGGGGGTCGGTGTGTGTCTGGAGGGAGATCGCGGGGGCTTAGGTTGGGGGGATGCTTGGCTGCGGTGCATGCTCGAGCTCGGGGCCGTGCAGATCTTAAGAGGCCGCTTCACGTTTTAGATGGCGTAGCGCAATGCTTTCGGGGGGCCGCGTTTCGACTAAGGGGCCCCGCTGTAGTGTATCTAAGTGGCCGCGGCGTGTTTGGTGGGTCGTGGTGTGTCAGCGTCAGGGGGAGCTCGGCGCGCTTTGGTGGTGGTCGTGATGTTTCGCTTTGTGTTGCGCTTTTTTTTGTAACTTACTTTGGGGGCGTGCGCTGTGTGGTTGCGGGTATCTGGCTGCGGTGGTCTTCAAGGATCGCGGTGCGCCTCGGGGGTCATCGAGTGAGGGCCTTGGCGTCCATGCTGGCGGCAGTGCTTGCCTGGGAGTCATGCTGTTTCTCCTTCTCGAAGCTGCGCGGTGTTCGGGCAGTCGTGGCCTTTGTGTTTCACAGTCTTTCGGGGTCATGTGCGTAAATGCTTCAGGCGGGTCATGCTGTGAAGGTTTTCGGGGGGTCGATGGTGATGCGTTGGGTGGTCGTGGTCGTTGTCTCGTGGGTCACTTTGTTCTTGGGGTCTTGCTTGGGTGGTGCTCGGGGGGTGGTGGGTGCGGCCTGTGCAGGGGGGGCCAATACGTTCCCAGGGGGGCGAGCAATGTTTTGGAAGGCATGCGGATGCTTCAGCTCGGGCGGCGGGGCGGGTTGTATTTTGCAGTGAGTGTAGGAGGCCGCGTAGCGTCGGGGTGCGCGTGGTGTGTTTCGGGGGCCAAGGTCTTCCATATGGGGGCGGGATCGTGGTGCCTTGGGGGCTGCGCGTTGCTCTTTGTTTGGGGGTCATGTTAGGCTGATCCTTCTCTCTTTGTGGCTTGGCTCTTTTTCAATGTCGTCGCGTGCTGCGTCCATTTGGTCGCCATGAGTTGCGGTGGGTCATGGTGAGCCGTGGCTGTGCTGTGCTTTTGGGGTCGCGTTGTGTTTTGGTGCGTGGCCAGGTGGCTGTGCTTTGGTGCGTGGTCATGCGGGGCCTTCAGATGTAGGGGCGAGAGGTCTTAGTAGATTATGGCGGTCGCCATTTTTTCGGGGGGTCGTCTCGTGGTGGTTCTCGGGGGTCGTGATGTGTCTTAGTCGTCGCCCTGGCGTGCTCGGGGTGGTAGTGCTGTGCTTTTCGGGGTCCTGCTGTGTTTTGGGGTCCGCGCTGTGTCAGGGGTGTTGTGTTCGTTGTTTTGGGGGTTCGTGTTGTGTCTGTGGCGGTCGTGTTGCTGTGTCTTGGTGGTCGTCGTGCTTACGGTGTCTCTTTGGGGGCCTATGCTGTGCTTTGGGGGTCATGCCGTGTTTTTGGGGCCGTGAGTGTTCAGCTTTCTCTGTGGTTTGGCATGCAGTGCCTTTGGGGTCAGGGGGTGCCTTGGGGGGTCGTGGTGCCAAATCAGGGCCGTGGTGCCTCTTATGGTCTTGCGCTTTTCTTTCCACGGGGCGGGCGCGCGGGTCATGTCATGGCCTTGGGGCTGCGTGTTGCCTGCGGGGTTGATTCTTTTGCCTTTTGGGGGCTGGCTGTCTGTGGTAATTTGTGCGCGGGGTCATGCTGTGCTTCCCCGTGCTCGTCTTCATATTGTGTTCTGGGAGCTGTAGTGGTGTGGGTTGCTTGGAAAGTTATGGCGTGTCTTCTTGGTGGTCGTGGTGTGTTAGTAAGTTTGTGGGGCTGTGGTGTATTTGGTGCCTCGTGGGTTGCTTTGGGGGCGCGTTGCGTTTGCGTGGCCGCGTTGTAGCTTAGGGCCGTGCCGTGCTTAGGGGGTCGCGGTCGCGCTGTGTTTGGGGAGGTCGATCGTGCTGCGTTTGGGGAGGTCGTGGGGCACTTTGGGGGCTGAGGTGGGATCGATGGGCAGCGCTTGCTCGTTGAGCCAAAGAACAAACCCGAGAACAGCTAGCCTTAGGCGAGAACGCTGGCAGCTCAGACTGGAGAGGCCTGAGCGGCCAAAGCTGGCAAGCCAATCCGCAGGGGCAAGCTGGGCGGGACTAGCGAAGACGAGCAGGGCGCGCGGGCTTGGGAGGGCTCACCGACGTCGAGCGCACCTGACGGCATTGGCAACACCTCCGCCCCCGCGCGCGCATGTCCGCCGGGCTTGTCTCGTACTCATTGGCGTGGCGTGCTTAATTGATTCCGCGCGCAAGGGTTCTGGGCTCCATGGGCTGCCTCGGTCTTTGTTCCTCTCCATCATGTCATCTCGACGGCAGCCGCCAAGGCCAAGGGGCGCGCGGGCGCTCCGTGCCTCAGTCGTTTTTTTTTTTGCTTTCTCTTATGTTTCTACTTTGTGCCTGTGGCTGTGCTGTTATCAAGGAGGGATCGCCCAAGGGGCGGCCCCGGTTTCTTGTAAATAGTGACTTCTAATAGTAATAATGTCCAAATCCTTACTTGAAACAGCACGCAGGAGTATGACTGTGACTCGAACGTGATTAAACGTAGGAGTTAGACGGTGCCTTCATCTAGTTGCACGAACACCTAGTCCTACTACAAGCAGTAGGCATTGGTTTTTTGAGCTAAATTTCGAATTTTTTGTTTTGTATAATGGATATGCTGTATTTGTTAGCGAGTTCGCTATCGCTTCCGGTGCTTTTTGTCATCGCGATGGTAAAGACCTAAAAAAGTCGTCACGATACGCACTGGTAAATATACTCTTCTTTCCTGAAAAAAGATACAGCGAACTTGTTGTATTACGTAGAGTTATTTGATAGAGTTGCGTTCCCGCCACCTCCTTTTTGGAGTCTGGTCACCAGACACAACAACAAACAACGCAAGTATAGCAAATAAGATGGACCAGTTTGAGCGTGTTCTGTTGCGCCTCGTGGGTACCGAGGACGAGCAGCTGAGCCCCGTTGTGTATAAGCTGC